GGCATGATTGCATAGCAACTCGCAGCAACTCACGAATTCATTTCATATCTGGGAGCGCGAGAAAGAAATATCAACCCCCATAGTAGGGTACGTGAAAGAGCAATACACATCACCATAGCTTCAATTACTACATCATCAATACAAGTGATTAAATAGATTCTCTTTTTCTCAATTGTACTTGACAGGCATAGAGACGCTAAAAGAAGTCAATCTACCATCCGCACAGTGAAACGACCAAGTACAAGGAAGACGTGGAAGAAGAACAAGTGTAGCACAATCACTCAGAAGCATTTTTATTTTATTTTATTATCAAGACAATTTATTGCTTTAGCAGTAGTTAGTTACCTCCGCCTCATGTAGGCCCATCGCATTAGCGATTTATTTAAATTCGCCTCACATCGGCTTGTAACAACTCTCCTTTGCTATCATCGAATATATCACAATTTTCGTTTTACTATCTGTGCCTTTACATCGATATAAACTACTTCTCATCAGGAGTCTAATTCAATACCACCCTATAAACACTTAGAGAGATTTAGATAATCCATATAGCCTGGCCAGCTGGATTATCTAAGTCCCTCTACTTGTTTCACGAGGTATTAATTTTAAAACGTGGCCACGGACAAATATATTTAAGACCCAAGCGGTCCAAACAAAGGGCACGACCCTTAACAAAAACCTTGGGAGACTGATCCCCTCCTCAAGTACATCGCGTACAATGCTAAATGTAAATGCATATAAGCAACGCAGTAATTCTTGACAATGTCAAAATAAATAAATCGAAATTTTAAATTTCAAAGTCAAACAAAGAAGACAGTCAAATGGAATAGTAGTGGACATACCCATCTACATCAGCGATAAAAACAAACTAAGAAATCCATAAAAAAAAAAGGGAACATAATAGTGAAAAAAAAAAGGGGGGAGAAGGATAACTATCCTAGCAACTAAGCCTAAGCTCCCCTACCGCGAGCGGACGACGTACCCACAGTGGAGTCATCCGCAACCATGTCGTTCACGACCTCTGTGCCCGTCCCATTAACATCTACCTCATCCTCCTCTTCATCGGATATGCCAGCTTCCATTCCACGAATCACTTCCTCGCTGATCCCACCCGCATCACGAAGATATTTGCGACAAGCACGCACTAATGGCTTATAAACCACAGCCAATGCATGCTCCTCAACCATAGCAGCACACTCATCGCTACCTCGGAAATTAACCTTGGTCTCCTCCACAATGGACTCTTTGTAAGCGGCACCACCCGATGTCGTGAGGAACCTTTTCCCCGTCGTCTTCTCGACTTCGTATTTCTCCTTAAGCTGGTCGTAGCATTCGTTCAACTTGTGAACATCATCCTTATATGCCTGCGCATCACGTCGGATGACCTCGAGCTCCTCTGTCCTCTCAGCAAGCTCCTCTGTCCTCCGAACCAGTTCTTCCGAACGTTGAGCAAGATCAAACCGCGCTATCTCCAATTGGCCTAGAAGCTCATCCTCACGCGCTTGACTTCGAGCCCGCTCCTCTTCCTTCATAGCTTCCGCATTCCTACCATGCTCCATGAGATATCTCCAAGTCGCTACCAACTATAAAAAAAAAAAAAAATAATAATAATAATAATAATAATAACAATATTATTCGCAAGCCAAGAGGGAATTAAACATAAAATCTTGTTTTAAATAGACAAGTACTCACCCGACATATGTCTCCACCAGCTAACTCTAGCATATGAGAAGGACCCTTACCAGACATCCGAGCACGATCATACTCCCGAACGAAACCCTCGGTACTCAACATCGGCAAATCATAGTCCGACACATCCCAGTACGACTCCTTACCATCGCGGTTTACGCCATAAGTAAACAGTTGTTTCCCTCCTCCACCATGGAAAGCATAAGTCTCCTCTGGGTCTACCCGTGGACGCTTAGGAACAGCCACATACTCAGTATCCACCCTCTTTCCCTTGCCACGGTCCCTCGTCGATGGACGTCCCTCCACTTCACCAGCACTGCTACGATCATCTACGACTACTCGAGGAATTTCTACATGGACCTCCTCACGAAGCAAACCACTTGAAGAACCTCCCAACGTAGAAGGTATCTTCTTCGATGCCTTCTTCGACGCCTTCTTCGACGTCTTATTCGCCTTAGCTTGAAGTGCCGCAAAGGTAATACCCCCATCTACAAAAGAAAACAAAACACAAGTCAAGGTAACAAAAGGATATATGGTGCTGACCCCTCGCCTTTGGTATCAAAACCCTTGGGTCAAATTCCACGTCACACAATCCCGACTCTTCAATCCTTTTCGCCATATTCGCAGTTATCGTGAAGCTCTCGCACGTAGGATTCCAAACTACAGGAACGTCAAAAGTGGGAGCCTTCACATAAAAAAAATGGGTCTTCCATTTCCCCAAAGATAACTTCACACTCTTCACAAATTGGTAAGGAACGCGAGGATGAAAACAAAAGAAAGGCATCTCATTGGGCCGATGTAACGTAAATAACGCCTTGAACAAACTCACGATCATAGGCAAACCCACTAGAGACACCCTATGGTGAAACGCCTCAAACACAAGAACTGCAGTCGGAGTAAGCTGACTATACCCTATCTTGAACTCTTCGCAAACCTTCAACAAGGTCGGATGCGGAGTAATCTGAGATGTACACGTCAAGTAACCCAAAAATACCGTATGAAACCCATCGGGTGGCGAATACAAACGGTCGCCCTTCTGAGGCAACAACAACTCGACATTACTTGGCGCTCCAGATAGACGACGAATAGAGTGCAAATGCTCTTCCGTCAATACACTATCGAAATCAACTAAGTCCAAATTAATTGGCTTCTTCTTCTTTTGCCTCCTCTTATCAAGCTCAATGTCACCCGGCGGAATATCATCTTCCTCCTCCTCTTCATCCGTCAGCTCAACTTCACTATTGGGAACCCCATGATCACTCGCCAACGGTGCTGCAATCACATCATCACTATCACTACCAAAATCCACGACTTGACGCCTATAACGACGTCTACTAGAACCCACTTCATCAACAATGGGGCAAATATTAATATTATACTCAAAATCATCACTCCAAGACTCAAGGATTTCTCGCTGACCAAAATTCCCCCGAACCGTAGCAACTTCATCGGCAACAGCCAACTCCCAGACCCCGACCCGATCGCGAAAATCACGTCGAAAACGGGGCCCGGACGCGCTCTCACGCGCGCGAGTAGCATCCGGAGACGCCCTACCACGCGCGCCATCCCCCCCAATTACTGCGCTTTCACGCGCACCGACCCCCACATCAGACGCGCGCGCACGCGCGCTCCTATTGGGCAGCGCGCGCGCGTCTGCCAACTCATCCCGCCCCGTCGACGCGCGCGTACGCGCGCCCTTATTGGGCAGCGCGCGCGCGTCATCGCCCATCACCACCCCTCCCTCCCGCGCGCGCGCGTCCATGCACGCCCCAATACGACGTGCGCGTGGTGACACCGCCGACGCGCCCTGCACACTGCCCGCCCCTCCACGTGACCTTCCACTCCCCTCGAGCTCCGTGCCAGCCGCCACGTCACCAGCTCGGCTCGGCTCCCCGCGCTGGACGAACGCCTCCCTCTCACAAAGTTTGGGCCGGCTACCAACCCGGCTCAAGCCGTCTTCCGGCTCCAAACCCTCCGCTACCCCCATCTGCACAATATTTCGTGCTATGCCCACTGCGGATCCGATTTTCGCACCCGATACCACAAGATTTTCGCGATCCATACCCACTGTACCAAAAGTTCTCTTGCCCCCTTCAACCGGATCTCGAAGTTTAATTCGCAAAGATTTCGAATTACCCGAGTTCGACATGATCAAAAAAAAAAAAAAAAAAAAAAATTCTACCCTACCGCTAAAAAATAATAGAAGAGAAAGCAGAAGAAGTCCTGAAGTTAAAGATACATACCCATATTTATTACGCAAGAGTTGAAGTTTAATTCTTTCCACCGCAAAAGGAGTCTATTTATCTGGCTCTGGTATATTATTTAAAACCCTTAAATATATAACTCGCTGCCAAATAAATACAATTCTCCCTTGTTTAAATCAAGAAATTATTTCACCACCAAAGGAAACTATTCAATCCACGACGCAATTAACTCTCGACACGACCCGGACCCCTCTACACAAGTCTCCGTCTCGAATCGAGAGTTGGGGGCTTAATGATATACCTAAATGGGCCGGCCCAATGGGCCCTCAAATCTATCTACCAATTAGGCCCATTACAAGAAAGCCCAGTCACATACATGTGGGCTCATTACAACGAAAACCCAAGCTCTTTCAAAATAAGGCTTGGGCCCAGCAAAGTAAGCCCAACCCATTTAACAATATATAAATAGATGGTTTATTCATTGGTAAAGGTACGTTCTAATTATTCACAATCAATCTCGAGTTTATTCTCTCTACTCTCTCTACGATCCAGACATCTGACTTGAGCGTCGGAGGGGTTTCCGCCGGATCAACCCCCGGCTTAGTTCACGTGTGCTCTTTTCGCAGGGACCTCAGGAGCATCAAATTGACTAGCTACTGATCAGCTTTGCTCTCCCAGCTCGTTTTCTACGTTATCCTAGGTGAGCTAAACTTTAGCATCATCAGTTAGGGATTGTGATAGAGAATTTAAGTTAGATGCGATCGGGTCGGGTCAATAAGGTGGGCGGGTGGTAGGTGGGGATAAAAATAAGTAGTTAATTGGTTAAGAGGAAGGCGCCCGACACGATCGACCAATGATGAAGCTGACAGAAGAGGGACGCTAACAATCAATATTCAATACTCATCACGGGTTTTGGATTACACTATTTTTCCGGACTGTTGTTATACTACTATACGACTATTCCACTCATTACTTTTCGTCCAACAATTCCTACAACTATCCTATCCTATCATCATCATCATAAACAACAACAACAACAACATGGGATTTATATTCGAGTAGAGAGAGAAACACTCCTCTGTGTGTGTGTGTGTGTTAACTGTGTGTGAGAGAGAGAGAGAGAGAGAGAGAGAGAGAGAGAGAGAGAGAGAGAGAGAGAGAGATGAAGAAAGAAGAAGCGCATCCCTTGTTGAGGGGAGGAAGGAGGAGGTCAAGCTACAGCCACGGCTTCTCCGCATCTCAGATCCAATCACTAACCGCCATCTGTCACACCATCATTCCTCCCCTCACCAATCTTCGTGCTGAGGTCGACGACGACGACGACGATGACGTCATTACAGGCGGAGATATGTCGAACCACGTCCAGGCTTTTTACTCCTCCAACGGCCCTGATGAGGTTTTATTATATATTTTCACATCGCCTTTTGCATTCCTCTTTTCTCTTTGTTCATGTTAATTTCAGTACTGCTTAATTAATTAATACTCTGCCTCTCTGTATTAAGTATTAACTAACTAGAGTAGTGGCAATTTCAGACAATTTATAGTTTCTTGTAATCATATGTTTTTTACTTCAATTATTGTCTATTATTATTGAACTCACCAGTGACAACAGTTCAAGAATCAGTTGCAGAAAAAGAAAAACAAAAAAACCCGAAAATTGGATGATTTAATGTATTGTCAATAAGGGATATATATATATCTGATTATTATTATGATCCAAATTTAGGAACATTCAAGAAAATCGAACCGGAAATAATTCACGCCGTGAATTATTTAACGTATTTTTAACTCGTTTTAAGTAAATTTTCTTCGGCTTTCGTGATGTAATATATAGGTGGCGGAGCTAATTGTGAAGAGGGGTGTGCCTAAAGCAGTGTTCATAGTGAGCTTAGTGTTGAAGTTTCTGTCAAGCAGATTGGGAACACTTGTTCTTTGTGGCTACATTTGTTTCGACAAGAATTGGCCGTTCGTACGCACTTTCTCCGAGCTGCCGTTAAAGAAGAGAGAATCCGTCCTTCAGAACTGGTCCAGACAAACTCTTCTGCTCCCTCTACGAATCGCTTTCTTGCTTCTCAAAATCATCACTCTCTTCATCTTTTTCTCTTGGGTAATATATGCGTCTCGATGAACAATCACTTTTCGATTTTTTGCTTAATTGTAGCTTATATAACGTTATGCTATATATTTTGCTGCAGACTGATGAGAACTCGAGTAATCCAGCATGGGAAGCAATCGGATACCACGTAGAAGAAATCCTCGAAAAACAAGAAAACGAGCCCCCGCTCAAAAAGGGAGTAATCGAGACCATGAAGAATGAAGACGACGCCTCACTAAAGGAATCTCTACTCCAAAAGGGTGTTTCCGTGATCGAAGATCCGAACGAAAAAAACACGTTCAAGATCAAATGCGACGTGGCGATCGTCGGATCAGGCTCTGGCGGCGGAGTTGCCGCGGCTGTTCTTGCAAAATCGGGCCAAAAAGTCATCATAATCGAGAAAGGCAACTACTTTACACCCCAAGATTATTCTGGTCTAGAAGGACCTTCTTTATCCGAGCTGTACGAATCGGGTGGAATTCTATCAACTGAAGATGGGAAAATTATGATCCAAGCGGGGTCCACAGTGGGCGGTGGCTCTTCGGTAAATTGGTCAGCTTGTATAAGAACACCCGATTATGTCCTCCAAGAATGGTCTAAACAAAATAAGCTTCCTCTTTTCACCACCAACGAATATAAATCCGCCATGGATGATGTGTGCGAAAGGCTTGGAGTAACTGAAAATTGCGTAGAAGAAGGGTTTCAAAATAAAGTTCTTCGAAAAGGGGTCGAAAATCTTGGCTTGAAAATCGAGCCTGTGCCTAGAAACTCGTCGGCGGATCATTATTGTGGCTCTTGCTGCTATGGCTGCAAAAGAGGTGACAAAAAAGGAACCGAGTCCACTTGGCTAGTCGATGCTGTAAACGAAGGTGCAGTAATTTTATCCGGTTGTAAAGCGGAAAAATTCGTTCTTGTTAAAAACAGATGCATTGGAGTAATTGCAACTAGCGAAAACAAGAACATCAAAAAGAAGCTTTACATCGAAGCACGTGTGACGATTTCCGCATGCGGCTCTCTCCTCACGCCTCCACTATTGATATCGAGCGGCTTGAAGAACAAGAATATCGGAAGTAACCTACACCTCCACCCCGTTTCGTTCGTGTGGGGGTACTTTCCGGAACCTTCATCGGAGATCAAAGGCAAGTGCTTCGAGGGCGGGATACTAACTTCACTCCACAAGGTACAACAAAATCAAGAATCGGACAATTTCGAAACCGTGATTGAAGTTTCGGCTCTCGGGCCCGCTTCATTCGCGGGCCTTATTCCTTGGGCATCAAGGCAAGAAATAAATGAGAGAATGACGAAATATTCAAGAACTGCGGTTTTATTCGCCTTAACAAGAGATCAAGGATTAGGTGAAGTGAAAAGACAAGGGCATGTGAAATATAGGCTAAGTAAAATCGACAGAGAGAATATTAAAACGGGCTTGAGACGGGCTTTGAGGATTCTGATTGCAGCTGGAGCTGAGGAAGTTGGGACGTTCAGAAGCGACGGGCAGAGAATAAAATGCAGAGGGATTAAAGATGAGGAGTTGGATGAGTTTCTTGATAATGTTGGTGCGGTAGGTGGGCCCCGTTCGAGATCGGAGTATTGGACGATTTATTGCTCGGCTCATCAAATGGGGAGCTGTAGAATGGGGGAGAGTGATGAAGATGGTGCAGTGGATGAGAATGGAGAGTGTTGGGAAGCTAAGGGGCTGTTTGTTTGTGATGGGAGTGTTCTTCCTTCTGCTCTCGGTGTTAATCCGATGGTCACTATTCAATCGACTGCGTACTGCATTTCGAAAAGACTGGCTGCTTCTTTGAAGAAAGGGAAGTTAGATTCTTGATTTTTTGTTCCTTCTTTTTTTGGCCTTTTCTTGTCTTGGTTTATTTGACAGTGTGTAAATATGAATTTGAGGAAACAAATAGAGACTTTATAAATTTAGGTGTAATTTAGATAATTCACGAATTTCATTACGATTTATATTAATATATACAGTAGAACCTCGATGAATTAATAACGTCGATTAAATAATAGTTTCTCTCGGTCCCGATTCGATGAAAATGTGTTCAATTATTAACTCGATAATTTAATAATTCACTAAATTAATAGAATTTTCATAGTCCCGACTATATTAATTTGAGAGGGTAACCTTAATTTCTACAAGGGAGATTAGGTAATAGAGACATAAGTTTGTCACAAAGTGGTTCATTCATATGTGATGTGATAGTATTAAGGTCCCAATGGGAGGGGGGATTCAATTGTGGCCCTCTGTCGGTTTGATTCGATGTAGACATGTAGTACGAGAAGATTTAAAATGGGTGGACAAAGGGATTCCCCTCTTAAAATGTTTCTATTCTTTTGTTTTTTCTTTAAAAGTTTAATAAACGTGGTTATACAAAATATTGTTGCCATTTGTAAATTGATTGAAAGATATATGGAATTAAACATATTAAATTATTAGTTTGGTAATTTAGTATTTCACTGAATTAATAGGGTAAATAGCACTTAACCCCTGTAGTTGAAAGCTTTTGCAGATGACTCCTTATGCTTTTTATTATGAGCAGATAGCTTCCCTAAGTATTTCCGTCAAACTTCAAGAAAAGATGGGCCATCTATAAAAGCTTGCGACCACGGGGGTGTTAAGTGTTATCTACTCAAATTAACAAAATTTTGCTAGCCCCGACTGTATTAATTTATAAAGATTTGATTATACATAGAATTAACCCTTCTTTTACACCATTATTATTGCATTTTTTATGTTGCATTACTTAGTAAGGACGATTCTGCATAAATTGCACAAATACCTGAAATTAATGAGCATTTAAGTTCACACAGCTGAAATTAAAGTATTCCTAAACTCTACATCCCCAAACCCCAAGAAAAGAAGACAACAGTGAAACATGGAAGAAAATGGTAGCAAGATAAATCGAATGGCTCGTACAATTAGTCACGATATTAACTCATGCACATGACATGTGTAAATGAGTCAAGTTCGAGCCAAGCTCGAGTAGTACCTAAATTTTTAGGACTCGAGCTTAAATTCAACATCAAAGATCACGAGCCGGCCCAAGAGCTTTATACCAAACGATAAAAAATTACCTAAAAATGGTAAAAGATGAACTCGAACTTTTGTCCAGCCAACTCATCTGATGTATATCAGAACATGGCATTGCCCTTGTTAAGGGTCTTTCAATAACTCGGAAAGTGATTTTTCTTTTTAGGAAAATAAGGTTCCAAAACAGGTGGGATAACATCTGCACACAAAAAACTTAAGGTAACACGTGTTTAAGACGTTTTCAACAATGGAACGAGACAAATGTTTACCTAGTATAAAATCAAGCAAAGATCATAAGCCTCATCACTTGCATATAGAAGCTTTATCAACCTTAAAAGAGTCGAGATTAAGAAATAAAAGAATGGAGGGAAGGAAGAGCCATCCTTTGCTGAGTGGAGGTAACTTAAAAGAGAAGCCAAAATACATGCATGGCTTTTCTTCATCTCAGATTCAGTCACTAGCTGCTGTTTGTGAAGCCCTCATACCTTCCCTTCCCACTAATGGAGTCAACCAAATATCGGACGATAATGCCCTCTACTCGTACTACACGTCTTCAGCTTCTCAAACTCCATTTCCTAATGAGGTATTTACACTCTTGAATCTTCACACACACACACACACACACACACACACACACGCACACACACACACATTCTTTGTATCTATGTGTGTGTCTTTGTTGTGATTGTTTCATGGAACAGACGGCAGAGCTGATAGTGAAGAGGGGGATACCAAAAGCGGTGCTGGTAGTGAGCCTAGTGTTGAAGTTTCTATCGACTAGAATAGGCACACTTTTGCTGTGTGGGAGTAACTGTTTGGATTGGAAATGGCCTTTTATTCACAAGTTCTCAGAACTATCCATCAACAAGAGAGAATCGATCCTCCAGAAATGGTCGAGAGGAACTCTTGTCCTCCCTCTAAGAACAGTCTTCTTCATGCTTAAAGTCACCTGTTTCTACACTTTCTTCTCTCTTGTAACACTTTCTCATATTCAACTAAATATAACAACAATCTTTTGTTGTGCTTTTTTTTTTTTTACCTCAAAAGTGAAATGTGTTTTTGCAGACCGACGAAAAATCGCAAAATCCAGCGTGGGAAGCAATTGGTTACCACATAGAGAAAGTCGAAATTTCGGGACAACCAGAAAAGGAAAGGCCTCTCGAAAAAGGCGTCATAGAAACCGAGAAAGAAAACAAGCTCACGCTAAGAGAATCTCTCGTTCAGAAAGGCCTAAAAGTTGCCGAAAACCCAAAAGATCACAACACACTCAATATCGAATGCGATGTAGTGATAGTGGGTTCGGACTGTGGAGGAGGAGTTGCAGCAGCAGTTCTTGCAAAGGCTGGCCTAAAAGTTGTAGTCCTCGAAAAAGGGCATTACTTCACAGCAGAAGATTATTCAGAGCTGGAGGGACCTTCCATGAATGAAATGTATGCCTCGGGTGGAATTTTTTCAACTCTACACGGCAAATTCATACTCCTGGCTGGTTCGACGGTTGGGGGTGGTTCAGCTGTGAACTGGTCGGCTTCCATCAAAACTCCCGATCATGTTCTTCAAGAATGGTCGGCTGAGAAGAAGATTTCGATGTTTGGAGGTGCTGAATACCAATCTGCCATGGATGAGGTGTGGGGAAGAATAGGTGTAACCGAGAACTGCGTAGAAGAAGGGTTTCAGAACCAAGTAGTGAGAAAAGGGTGCGAAAATCTTGGACTCAAAGTTGAGGGGGTAGCGAGAAATTCCACAGAGAATCACTACTGTGGTTCTTGCGGCTATGGCTGTAGAAGAGGTGAAAAGAAGGGAACTGATTCGACTTGGCTCGTCGATGCAGTGAACAACGGTGCAGTGATCTTAACGGGGTGTAAAGCGGAGAAGTTCTTGTTGGTAAAAGACAAGAATCTCGAGCAGAGAAAGAGATGCAAAGGAGTAATTGCAACTGTAGAGAGCGAGAGCGAGAGCACTCGAATGAAGCTGCACATTGAGGCAAAGGCGTCGGTTGCAGCTTGTGGTGCTCTTTTCACACCACCTCTACTAGTTTCCAGTGGGCTGAAGAACAAGAACATAGGCAAGAATCTCCATCTCCACCCTGTTCTATTTGCCTGGGGATACTTCCCAGAATCCGGTTCCCAATTGAGAGGCAAGAACTTCGAAGGAGGAATCATAACCTCCATGAACAAGGTGATAACTGGAGAGCCCAATTTCAGGACAATAGTCCAAACTGCAGGATTCGGACCAGCGTCTTACGCTGTCTTCCTGCCATGGGTTGCAGGTAAAGACATGAAAGATAGAATGTCGAAATATTCAAGAACCGCGCTTCTGTTCACACTGGTCAGAGACGTGGGGTCCGGTGAGGTGAGAGAGGAAGGAAGAGTATCGTACAAGTTGAATAAATTCGACGAGGAGAATCTCAAAGCAGGGCTGAGACAGTGTTTAAGGATCATGATTGCAGCGGGGGCCGCTGAGGTGGGAACTTTCCAGAACAACGGGCAGAGGCTGGAGTGTGAAGGGGTCGGGGGTGAGGATGTAGAGAAGTTTCTGGAGAAGGTGATGGCTGCTGGGGGGCCATCTTCTGGGGGGCAATATTGGAATACTTACGCTTCTGCACATCAGATGAGCAGCTGCAGGATGGGGGCTGATGAGAGAGATGGTGCGGTTGATGGGAATGGGGAGAGCTGGGAAGGTAAGGGCTTGTTTGTGTGTGATGGGAGTGTCCTGCCCACTGCTGTTGGTGTTAATCCCATGATTACTATTGAATCAACTGCTTACTGCATCTCCAAGAGAATTGCGGACTACCTGGACAAGGAAAAGCAAACTTAGATTATGTGGATGCTCGTGCCTTTCTAGTTTGCTACATGACTGTGTGTGTGTGTGTGTGTGTGTGTGTGTGTGTGTGTGTGTGTGTGTGTGTGTGTCAGTACTATGTGTCTTAGCATTGTCCCTTTTGAGTTTTGGGTGAATAAAATGTTGATGTAAGCAGCTAGTCCCTATTTGGCATAAAGACAGTCCATTCCCTACAATCCAATCCTCTCCATCCAACTTAGACTAAATAATTAAAATATTTCTCATATCACTACACTGCCCAACCGGAGAATGCTGCTGACAGGGCTTTATAATTGATCTCCTAACTAGGGGGAAATTTAAATTGTTCAACTGAGTGAGGTGGCTTGGTTCGATTAACGCTCCTTACTTCTCTTTTGCCACAGTTTGCTCAAAAAGATTGTTTACCGGTGTTGTCTACAGCTAAATCACACAATTTCTCATTGACCATCAACCCATAAGCTACTTTTATTATTAAGGGGAAAAAATCCATGTCTACAGCTTGAAGAAAGTAAATACCATATCCTGTTTACGGTAAACACAATCATCAGGAACTAGACAACAGAACAAAATTACCGACTACTTTCCTTAAGTGAAAGTAGGTAAGATTAGAAACCTTCACCACAGACCAATGGAGATTAACAGGTCTGTGGCTGAATGTTCATCTGTGCATCTCTCGAGAAAATGTAGTATTATATGTAAGAGTTTAACCCAAAATGGACATGTGAAAAAAGAGTGACCTCAAGCGATTTAGACAAAATAGACGCGATGTTCTCAGCTTGCTGAGGCTTTCACTGCCTTTTCAGCTGCGTCATCCAAATCTTCAGCAGTAATTAAAGTCATGCTACTTTCCTGTAGAATTTAAAATTTTAAGTTGACTTAGTTACACATACTTTTGACATGCCAAATTTCCAATGTGAAACATACGATTTCAAAATTCACCTTTAGAATTCTCTTTCCTTGGTCAACATTGGTGCCTTCAAGACGGACAACCACAGGTACTTTCAATTGCACCTAGACCAGAGCCCAACAATGTTCAGAATTGTGCATGGTTCTCATGAAAGGAATAATATTATTAATTTTCAGCAGAAACATAGCAGCAAGCTTTTTTTAACTGTATGTGTTTCGAATATTCAGCCATTTATCTTTCTTTTTTTGCCGAAATGTCCTTGCATGATTATCATACTAGTCTAACTTTCTAACTTCTTAAACAGCCAAGTTCATTGAACAAAGGACATTTGAAACAGCTCATCCCATAGATAGAGGGAAGGTCGATTAACTAAATACTGAGGTTTAAGTTTGAAAAATCTGATGTAATATACATCAGAATGGCAAATGGCAAAAAATGGTGATGACAGAATATAAAATTTTGATAGGCAAAGATGCAAATGACAGATTTCGAGTCCAGATATGTCAAAAAAGCAATCATAAATAAAAGGAAAAATATAATTTGATGTATCTTTTACCTGTTTAGCAGCATTCACAATGCCGCTGGCTATTACGTCGCACTTCATTATTCCTCCAAAAATGTTGACAAGAATAGCTTTCACTTTCTCATCTGAAGTCAAAATTTTAAATGCTTCCACAACCTGTTCATTCAATTAATATTATAACCGAAAATTCTTTAACGGAAAATAGAGGAAGATACCAATTAAATAATTGCATTATTTGTCAAAATTGGAATTTATGTTCTCAAAATCATCAGAATCGTACAGAAATAAGCACAGTCCAATATATCATCTCTTATGCTTTAAATGATTTAAAAAGAAAAAAATCCAGTATCCAAATGATAGCAAAATCAGAATTACCTGACTTTCTGAAGCATTTCCACCAACATCAAGAAAGTTGGCAGGAGTTCCTCCATGTAACTTGATTATATCCATTGTTGCCATGGCCAATCCAGCACCATTCACCATACAACCAATTTCTCCATCTAAACCAATGTAATTTAAGTCAGCTTCTGCTGCAGCAACCTGAAAATTTTGGTAATATTTTATGATAAAATAAACATCATCCGCCACATACATGGATGCCCATTTACAAAGATTTACAGAGACAAAGAGGCATGAGCAGTACCTCACGAGGATCCTCTTGTGTTGGATCCCGAAGAGTAAATATCTCCTTTTGACGGAAAGCAGCATTATCATCAAAGTTGAATTTTGCATCAGCAGCTACTAGTTGATTATCAGAAGTCTCAGCAATGGGATTTATCTGTTAAGAAATTGTGATTATAATTTATAAGTAAGACAAATTAGGTGGTTCATGCAAAAGCTGGTGCACATTATAAACCTACAGAACAGTAAATGAAACATTTTCGACAGAAAGCAGATTAAAGTTGTAACCTCCAATAATGTGCAGTCGCATTTGCAGAAAAGTTCATACAACTTCTTCACTTGTTCAATCGAGCTATTTCTATCGGCCACTTTGGGGGACAACCCATCAACTACCTTGGCGGCATCTTCATCGGTAATTCCGGTGAAAATATCAATAGGCACCTGACACGAGGAAGATACAGAACATCAATTAGTAAAAGGAATCGCATCCAGGGAGCGGGAGAAAATTTTCTGTATGACAGCTGGATCCAAAAGTAATGGAACAGAGACAAACCTTTACAATCAGTTCGGGATGTTTCTCTGCAAGATCTTCGATACTGGTTCCTCCCTTTTTACAGGCGATAATAAGCTGCAGGATGTAGGTGTAAGCACATGGATAAGCATATGAAGAAAAAATTTGAATATTGGAAGTTCAATTAAATAAGTACTTATAAAAAGTCCTCAATCTTTAGGAACTTACAGGACCAGCAGATGCACGATCAAGAGTAATGGCAAAGTACATCTCATTGACAAGGGATAACTTCTCAGCCAAATACACCTGTAGAAAGGAATATCACTGTATCTTTTAGCATGACCTAACTTATCAACATAGCAACAGATTGACCTGTACTCCGAACGAATACGCAGCAAAGGTTTACTAGGGAATAAAAATAAAGAAACGAGCACATCCTATGTCAAACTATCTTGCAATACTTTGTTTGAAAAAAGAGCAAGCAAACATAATTCCACTCAAAAATGGAAGCATTGAGGCAACTCTAATGCGAACTGCAAATAGAAGATATAGTTAAATACAAACCAAGCAGTCAAGAAATATGATATAACTATGATGAGAATAAACAAAGTGAATGAATAATAGAACAAAGGCAGAAAAGAATATTCATGAGGTTCAACTAATAAAGATATTACAATAATAGAGGCAATGGAATCATATCTAATACTCTTCCAATAAAATCAAAAAGTTAGTTGCAACTAAATTACGCTTGAGACAGTAATAGTCCATGATTGAAAACAATGATATTCTCTATGTCTATAAAATATAGATGGAACCAAATCTCTGGCAAGCATTCAATACCATTAATTTCTAATGAATTCCGTTGCTCTCTTATTTGAGCATTGACCGTGTTATAAAATCCACAAAACCTTTAATAAATCTAATATATGCAAGTAGTATAATATTAGCTAAAGCACTATATTAAAGCACGTAGCAAAAGTGATGGCTTCTGAGCAAGGATCTTTATGGATTTCAGCTACATTATGAGCCTATATATACATGTATGGACAATATACGCAATCTATGACGAACCTTGCTGACAATTTTTCCTTGAGGTCCAGTTTGCTTAGTGACAAGTATCTGCCCAAGCATTTTGCCTGAAATAAGATAAATATCAGAAGTTATAATAATTCTTTGACAGATACAAGATATATCTCCCAATATCCTTCCAAAATATGTTCCATAACTTAAATCAGGGGTTACGTTTAGATAGCGGGACATTCTTTGCCACATTGGATTAATTAATCAGAAGTCAACACAATTTCATGCACATGAAGTAAGGAAAAAGGTAGGGAAAATGACCATCCGGTGATGAACCTACGTAATTTTACGATCCAGCAATTGAAACTGACTTTGACAATGCTTGTGTAGCTTTTATCAATTACCATTTTCAACACTCAACCAAAGTTATGCATAAATTTCCTTATGAACTGGAACAGGTGGACTATTATACCTGCTATACCCTCAACCTGGTCAGACTTCACAATATGAACTCCACCCTGGAGACCACTCTTAAATGTTCCCAGCCCTCGACCACCAGCAAGGATTTGAGACTTCACCACCACCTACAAAATTTGTGTCTAAAGATCAGTTACTTTTTAGAAAAAAAGTATGCACAGGGATCAAAGGCCCAATAAATTGTCCACATCACTACCTCACTCTGGCTGGGAAACATTTCATGCATCGCCTTCCTGACTTCATCAATGGAACCAACTGCCATGCCTTTTGGAACGTTGATTCCATGTTTACCCATCAATTCAGCTCCCTACGTCAGTTAACAATTTGGACGAGTTAATTTCTATTTTCTACGAGATTCCAAGGTGGAGCTAAAATATGTCGAGATTCCGGTCCATTTTCTTCTCATTTGCACATAATTTAATATCTACCAGCCAAAACGTGCGTCCATAAATCTAAAAACTAGAACTATGAAATTCTAATTCATAATTAAATTGGTAACGCATTCTTCGTCAGTATCAGAAATACTAAAACGAAAAATCGAAGTAGATCTCGCTTGAAAACGTCAATACCAACAGTAATTTGACATATATGTAAAACAAAGAGTGCGAGCGAGCGTCTCCGTGTATGATAAAGGGGGGCGTTGTTACCTGATACTCGTGTATGTTGAGGCGGCGCAGCTGTTGCTGCTGGCATTTTCCGGCGAAGGAGAGAGACCGAGTGGCTAGTTTCCCCAGCAATTCTCTCACCATTTTTTGTCTACGTTTTTGTTCCTTTTCTTCGAGATCCTTTAGCGCAAAATCAAACTGCAAAGCAGAGATTCAGAGAATTATGAATAACTTGTTCAACAGAAACCCTAATCGGAGAGAGAAAACAGGCGCAGATGCCGGAGGCATAGGGACTGACCTTCGCCGGAGAGGAGAGCGGACCCAAATACGTTTTTCGTATTTTTCTTTTTATACGAACATTGACCCCCAATCAAATGATCCGGCTTTTAAATATTTTTTTTTTTTATTTCCATAAATTATATGTTATTTTCCTTTTCTTGTGGAGAAATTACTTTTATTTCCATAACTTCTACGTTTGCTGTTTATTTTCCTTTTATCCTGTGGCTTCTTTATTTTTTTATTGTTTTATTGAGATACGCTTTTGTTTGATTATTAATAAACGAATATTCTTTAATTTGTGCATGCATATAATTTCATCACGTGCATTAACAAACAAGTACAAATCTATTACAAGGATAAGAAAAACCAAATAAGGAGCTCAAAAAAAATGAAAAAAATGGTCCGTTGCATTTACCGGTAAATCGGCATTCAAGATTCGGAGACCCGTTCTTGTGGCAAAAAGTGTATCCCTCACGTTTCAGTTCATTTTACACGTTCAATTTTGCATACGGTACAAATACATATACCATTGTTCCAGACTCCAGAGTACATGGAATTGATATCTTCCCCTTTGTACAGCTTCAGTCGTATCTAACGACTCTATAAACTCGATTTTCGTTCGCTAAACCTCACCTGCATTGATTCCTTACTCATTTATATTGAATATAAACGAGATATACTTGAGCTCAAGAAATATAGAGAATTAATCTTACTACCTCCACTGTTTTGGTGAAGAGAGATCCGCATCATTGATAAACGAAGGCTTCTTCGCGTTGTAATAAAAATGTGCAATCATTTGAACCAGCTCATCTGATGATCTCGTGTCTGAAAATCAATCGCGACAAAACTTAGTATGATCTATGCTACAAACCAAGAAAGATATTAAAATTAAAAGAAAAAGGGCTTACCCTTCTCTCTATATAGTATCTTGTTTCCGCGCAAGAACAAAATCTGCGGGCATTCTTTAACTTTAAGTGCGTACGCTAAATCCCTCTCGATATTCATATCTATCTTCACCGTCTGCTCGTGCAAGTTAGTTAAGCAGAGAGATTAACACTTGGGAAAACATAAATAAAAAACGAAATTAAACGAAACGAGATTGAGCAATAAATTATAACCAACCCGAGGAGGTAATCGATCTTTGGCTTTCCAATAAACCTCTGCTGCTTTCTCCAACTCTTTCAAGACTTTCCAATTATCACTTGCTCTGGTATAATTAAAGGAAAAAAAACATAAAACATTTTTATCCACCAAAATTATATTACGGAAATAGATTAATGTTTCACCTGTTGTATCTTTCGAAAACGAGGACAATTAGTGGGCTAGGGTGAAAAGCAAAGCTCTCCCACTCGAGACAATTGATCTCTTTAACTAATGCGTCGTCAATTTCTCCTTCCCAGTTAATCTCTGTGCCATCTTCGCCTACGACGTTTTTTATCGGGTGCTGATTAAAATACTCGGAGGCTTTGATTCCCCATCCTATATCTGCATCCAAAGGCCAATTTGGATCCTCCTCCTCAATCAGCATCTTCTTTTTTCCAGAATCACCGATTTCATCTTCATCTTCATCGTCACTATCTTCATCTGATGAGTCATCGTCGTCAGAACCAGACTTGCGGTTTGATTTTTCTTTCATTATATTTTCCATATTTTTCAGAATTTCTGGATTTTGGTTCCGTATTGACTCGAAAGTTTTTCCCAGTGAACCACGTATGAAATCCTCGACAGCTGCTGCTTCACTTTTTCGACCCCGCCTTGGCTTTTTAGGGATCATTGGAGGAAATGAACTCTCTGGGTTTTCAGCTTCGTTTTCGGGATTTTTAGCTTTACGGGTTTTTTTCTCTGTATTAGACTTCGACTTAGAATTCTGGTTGGGGTTAGTTTCGGATTCTTGATCGGATTTTCTCGAATCAGCAGAGCATGAGAGGCGTTTCACAATGCAATTGAGCTTCTTTCCAGGAACTTTAGAAAGGAAATTTGCACACGAAATGGATCTTGAAAACGAGGTGCATATCGTGGCCCTTGTAGGAAAAGGCAACGAAGAATGGTGACAAGAATTCGTATGTACTGCCGAAAGCAACATCTGTTGATGACTTGTTACGTCAAACCTCTCTAATCAAAGACGCTGCTAAGAAAATTATGGAACCAGCAACTGAAATGCCAAAGAAATTCGCCGGTTAATTTCGAATAATCAACAAAAAACAAAAACCACATACTCGTACGAACATGTACAAACAAATGGACCAAAGATAAGACCGAGCAGAACACACACACACACACACACACACACACACAAAAAAAAACTTTTAATATGACAACCATAATAACTGTTCAAAATAAAGATTAAGATGAATAAAAAGCGTAGAATAACTAGTGGCTTTGATCTAAAACAAGACACCCAGTTAAGGAAAGTCATTAAATTCATCAGTACATGTGAACGCCGACAGGAAAAACAGAAAGTCCTCGACTGCGCAAATTATCAAACAGGTGGCGTGCATCCAACTGATAAAACAATAAGTATCAACTTATACCCCAAAAAATCGGGAACTAACGTCGTTCGACGCGTGCTCTCGCCTGTGTGTGTGTGAAAGAGAGAGAGAGAGATTACGAGATGTTGGCCGAAGGTGGCGGCGCCGCCGAGAGAAAATCGGATTGTTCTAGATTTTGCGCTGGAGGAACGAGTACTTACTACTATAGTCAACTTAGTCAACTGCAATAACAACTCATGTCTATTTTTATACTGTGTGCGTGTCACACACTGTGAGTGTGTCGTATCTATTTAGTATTATTACCTTTAATAGTATTGTTACTTTTTTTTACCTTTATTATTTATTATTTCTATTATTATGACGAATGACGATAATTATTATTAGATCCAGATCCAGCCACGTCATAAATCCAATTTTGGAAATTAAATTTTGATTACGGTGTTACTAGGTTATCTTATTTAGCAGGCCCAAAAACTAATTGAACAAAATTCCCATGTTACGTTATTAATATTATATTTAAAATTAAATTAATACGTTAATATCGGTGTCAAATATTATCATGCACCACTAATTTTATTTTATTTACGTACGAGCCTTCTTATTGTTAACTGAGTCTGCCCAATCTTTCTATGGTATATGAATGCATGAAAGCTATGTTAATTAAATAGCAAATAAGGGAATTATGGTAATTAATTTGATCAATGAGTCTACTAAGAGAATATAAATGATAAGATTGTCAGCTAGTTCGATAAACAATTTAAAAGTGAAAAAATGAATTAATACTTGAAAATTATATTAATGTCTGAACGTCTATACGCTAGTATTCCCGTTCGAGTTTTACTATGTGCGGCCCAATATCTAATGGACCAAATTATAATTTAATACACGCATCTTTATGAATATGATGTTATTGAAATATTTCCAATTATTTCAACTATATTAGGTTAAAACTATCACATGCATGCATGTAACCTAAGTTCATTAAATAACAAACAAGGAAATTATTGTAACTAAATAAAGAAACAAGTTTATTTAGAGAAAGAATTTGAAAAAAAAAAATTAAAAGGTAACACTTGAATTATATTAGTGTAAGTTATATCATACCTTGATATTTTTTCCGTCAGTCAAGCCTTGTTATGTGCGGCCCAATAATTAATGGACCAAGTTCGGCATGTTACATATTTATCGTACCTTAATATTCTTTCTATCAGTTGAGTTGTCTTATATGCGGCCCAATAACTAATAGACCAAATGTCACCTTACATGTTTACTGTACCTTAATATCTTTTTTCTGTCGACCTAGTCGTGCGTTTTATGTGCGGCCCAATAATTAATGGACCAAGTTCGGCATGTTACATGTTTATCATACCTTAATATTATTTCTATCAGTCGACTCGTATTATGTGCGGCCCAATAACTAATAGGCCAAATATGTCACGTTACATGTTTACTGTACCTTAATATCTATTTTCTGTCGGCTGAGTCGTGCGTTTTATGTGCGGCCCAATAATTAATGGACCAAGTTCGGCACGTTACATGTTTATTATACCTTAATATTATTTATATCAGTCGAGTCGTACTATGTGCGGCGCAATAATTAATAGACCAAATATGTCACGTTACATGGTTACCATACCCTAATATATTTTTTCTGTCGGCCTAGTCGTGCGTTTTATGTGCGGTCCAATAATTAATGGACCAAGTTCGGCATGTTACATGTTTATCGTACCTTAATATTCTTTATATCAGTCGAGTCGTCTTATATGCGGCCCAATAACTAATAGACCAAATATGTCACCTTACATGTTTACCATACCCTAATATCTTTTTTCTGTCGGTCGAGTCGTGCGTTTATGTGCGGTCCAATAATTAATGGACCAAGTTCGGCACGTTACATGTTTATCATACCTTAATATTATTTTTATCAGTCGAGTCGTATTATGCGCGGCCCAATAACTAATATACCAAATATGTCACGTTACATGTTTACCATACCCTAATATATTTTTTCTGTCGGCCGAGTCGTGCGTTTTATGTACAGCCCAATAACTAATGGACCAAATTTGTCATGAATACATGATTAACCTAATTTCCAATTCTTTCTAATGCATATCCTAGATAAATTGAACATTTTCAATTAAAAATAAAAATCATTTTTTCACTAATATTATCGTTTATATAAACCCTAAGTCAAATTAAAGAACAAATACGGAATATTTTCCAGAAAAGATATTTCTGAGGTTAAATGTGACATAAAAGTGACATATTAATAAACAAACTAGTGCAAAAGAGGAAAATGCTCGTTCCCAGTGCAAGTGAAGAGTGAGGAAAATAATATACGTTTAAAGTGCAACAACTCTAAAAGACAATTGTACCCCTGGAATATTCTCGAATTTCATCCCGAGCAATAATATATATACTTGTCTGCCTGCGTCTATGTCGCAGCACACAAGGGGGAGAAGAACTTAATCTCACCCATAGCAGAACACAAAAGGATGTAAAACCATTACAAAAAAAAATCCAATGAAAATTAATTAAACCACAAAAAAAATAATCCATAAAACAAAAATTAATTAATTAGTTCTAGGAAAGCATATAAAAATTACAACACATTTTACATTGACTTTTTTTCCTCTCAGTCAGTCCTCACATCAAAGATTTAAGAGACCTAGCCTTGATTGGCTTTCTTACCCTTTTCCTTCCATTATTATTATTATTATTATTATTATTATTATTATTATTTTCTTCTTCATCTTCTTCTTCTTCGTACTCCACCTCATCAGAATCTTCTTCACCAACTGCCGCCGCAATCATTTCCTGTTCGTTTCTAGCATTTTCCGGCGTGATATTTCCACCACCGCCGCCAATGTCCTTGCTGACTTCGCCTCTCTTCTTGCCCCATCGGGGTCCGAACCCCGAATAGTAGTAGAATTCGTAGGGGTTCGCTGACGAGGATGCTGACAATTTCTTGGGGCGGGCCCGCCGAGAAGGAGGGGGAGGAGGAGGAGGAGGAGCTTCGGCCGCCGGCTTGCCGGATTTCTTCGTCGGGTTGCTGTAGCTTCTCACCTGAGATAAGTGGTGCTCGCACATTGAATTGCCTCTTGATGCCTCGTTTTTGCATTGCCAATTCTTCCCGTCGGTCTTGCAGCAGAAAACAATCTGCTTTTTTTTCTCCGCCACCACCACCGGCGGTGCCGGTGGCGGAAGCGGCGGCAACGGCGGCGGGTCCACCTCCATTTTATCCACCTTAACGGCGGCGGCGGCGGCGGAGGAGGTGGATCCGGCGGCGGCGGCGGCGGTGGTGGTGATTCGTCTGCCTGGGTAAGTGGGGTATGGCGGCTGCAGCCAAGCATTCATCTCCCTATAATCCGAACGCAGATATAATTATATATATGTATATATGTATGTATATGTGTATATATCTCTGTATCGATTAATAAAAGGGAAGAACAAAATTATATGAAGTGTCGGGGGCGGAAACCCTAATCGAATTATATAGCGAAACGATAATGCGGAAAAAGGAAATAAATAAAAATGAAAATGAAAAATGAAAATAAAATTTATAATAAAAGCAGAAAAAATCTATTACCTCTCGATATGTAAATGAAGATTTACTGAGCTCCCATTTCCAGCAGAGACGCCATTCCGATCGACCTGCACAAAAAAAAAATCAACCCGATTTCGACAAACGGAAACATCGAAGCTGTAATAAAACGGCGATAGAGAGAAAAGCCCAGACAGTAATTCGAATTATCGAGCACAGACAAACGGCACAGACAAAAGGGATTAACGCTCCCTGCAGAACCCTAACGGCGAGAAAACCCTAGGAAAAATAAACCCAGAAATGGCAGCAGAAATGCAGAAAACACCCACTAGAATAGCGGACGAATGCCAGCAGATCTGTGGCGGGGGGGATTAAGGAGTTGGTCTGTGGAAAAAATTAACGGACCTGGGACGGCGGAGGAGCCGGCTGAGGAGTTGACGGCGGCGAGAAGTTTATCACGTCCCACGGCGACTGATTCAGCTGACAGCCATGGCGAACCAGAAGGGTTCTGTCAGGCGCCGTCGCGTTGCTTAACGGAGAGATTTTGGCGTGCTTGCGTATTCTCATGGCGGTACAAGGGGTTTTTTTTTTCGGGGGGTGGGGGGGGCGAAGTTTGGAGGAAGGGGGGCGGGGTGGGGGGAGGGGGCCGTTGAGCACGATGAAGTAGATCCAAATATTTGTTTTTCTTATTGTTGTGTAATATATATGTGTAATATATATATATATATATATATATATATATAATTTATTTATTTTAAGAATACGTGTAGGAAGTTGTATGTATAGGTAGGCGTATTTATATTAGTCTGTGTGTAGTTACTATTTATTATATTTTATTAGTTGGATGGAGGAAATCCTGGTCCCACCCCCTTTTTTTCTTTTATGCTTTTTATATGTATAAATTATAATATAAATAATAATAATAATAATACTAATAAATAAATATAAATATTGATTTTTATTTTTATTTTATTTTTTAACGAGTTACGCTCGACTATTTTATAGGTCGAACGATTCCACTAAGTCGTGTTTCTGGATAGATAAATATTATGATGTTCTTTTTATCGATGAAAACAATAAATAGTCACTGGAAGTGCACTGGTATATTGCGTCCACGTGCAGTATTAGCTCGTAAATTGTGAGATTTTTTTTTCTCTTTTTGAGATTAACCTGTAAAAGATATATATTTAAATGATGTAAAAGTTGTTATTGAGTTAAATAGTCAATTATTTTAGGAGTAATGATAGATAAAACGGGATCGGTTAAAATTTAATGCAAATTTAATTATAAATTCCAATTTATAGATATGTCAAAAAATGCGTGGCGCGTGGGTTGAGAAAATACGAACAATTTTTCTTTTAATAACAAGCTATAAAAAGAAATCCGTAGTCAATCATATACGTGTATTGACCATAGTTTGTAGATAATTTGAAGATTATATAAAGTAAAAAGAGTGGTTTTAATGAAATATTATGCCTCCTTTGATGGCCAAAATATATATCCAGATTATGCAATCTTTTGGAAATCCAATTGCATAATTTGATTTTTGGAGATTCATTAAATAATTTTTTTTTTTATAATTTCAACCAACAACAAAAAAAAAAAATCGAACCAACAAGTATTAAAAATAAAACTCAATGAATTTATTATTTATTTATAATATTATCAATCAAAATTGGACATAGTATATTATTGTATTAGTATACACCATAATTTGACGATACACCCGATAAAAAAATACACCGAATGATTATTGACCTTTGATCTGTATGTAGTTACATACACCCATGTGTATGTGTGCATAGTAAGAAATTATCTAAAAGTATGTAAAAAAAAAAGGATTTCTATAATCCAATTGTTCAAATTACAAGATTTTATAAGTCTTTGAAGATAAATCAGAAAGTGCCTTTTAGGTTTTGACCAAAATAAATGAATAAATCACTTTTTGGTGTTTTAATTTATTAAATTTTATTTTATATTATGTCAATTTATTTAGAAAATTACAAGAATGGATAAAGTGTTGATATTCTGTAAATGTACAAAAATCTATTTTGACATTTTTACCCTCATAACATTTGAGTAACAATTGAGGCCCAACTCTTTCTAGAACACTAAATTAGCTGAACCCAACGGATTGGCCCAATATAAGTCAACGCATCGGCCCGAATATAAGTCAACGTTATCCAATTATTTCAGAACGAATTATAAAGAAAATAATATTGTGATTATTTGAGTTAGTGATGATAAAAAAGGCGGGATTAATTAAACTCTAAACTCTAAAGTGTAACTACATAATAATAATAATAATAATAATAATAATAATAATAATAATAATAATAATAATAATAATAATAATAATAATAATAATAATAATAAATAATGCATGAATGTTGACTAAACTTTTTAAGTAATGCAAATTTAAAACAATAATATATCCTAAGGTATTAATTAGTGGACCAGAGAATTTTTAATCACACTAAAAAAAATAACATTGAATTAGAAATAATTAATATATTGAATATTTATAATATTATCTCCCCGTTTAATATTATTAAAATACGATATTTATAAATTAATAAATACGATAAATTAATAAAAATGGAAGAATAAAAAGGAAAATGTAGGCACATGATTTGATCGTAGAATCCAAGACAATAAACATAACCAGTCCCACATAGAACCCTCCATTCCGCCCAAACCCCAATGCTGCACCACATAATATATATTTTTTCTGCTTTATTTTTATTTTATTTTAATTAATAGAAATATTTATTTAATAATTAATTAATCCCCCAAATCTTCTTTCTTACGCTTTCTTCCCACTCCCTGTTCAGTTTTCTCCCTCCAAGAATTCCGTGCAGATACCTTTAGATGTACACAATTGCGAAAAGGAAAAGCCTCTCAGAAAATCAATTCTTTTTTTTTTTTTTCTTTTTTTTTTTGTGTGAAATAAAGAAGAATAAATAGCGAAAATAAATTCATTAGTATACGAAATTCATCAGAATTGCGTTTAATTAATTAATCAGTATACGAAATTTCATGTGGTGAGATGTGGGCTACTGTAGATTTCCTGTGGGAATCAAACCTCTGCTGTGTGTGCTGTACTTTCGATAGCGAAAGGTGATTTTTTTTTTTGTTTTTGTGTTTGTAATTATTAATTTTACTGTGATGGGTTTTTGATTCGAGGGAATTCTTATGGATTAAGGTTGCAATATTTTAAATCTTATATACATATATATGTGTGTGTGTGTGTGTGTGTGTGTGTGTGGGTTATGATTTGTTGATTGTTATGATAAATGGGGTGATTTTTATGGGTTTAAATGGAGTGGTACTTAGTATTTAGTGAATTTTTGAATGGGTTCATAGATTGTATATGGGTTCTTCTTTTGGTAAAGAATTCGGATTTTGAAATTTTTGACTGTTATCTTTCTTCGGTTTCAAGTTTCCTATTTATTACCACCTTTTATTTTGCTGAGTCAATCCTGCCATAGTAGGAATTCTTCTCCCATAGTAGAATTTGCAGCCAAAGGTGAATTTGTATGTGTTTTTACTCGATCATAATAACGAATAGCAAAATTTGATGCCATATGATTGTGTTGTTCTCTTTTAGAAAAGAACTCGACCCGATTTCTAGTACAGTAGATATTTCTCTTGCAGGTATATAGTTATCAATGTTTCTTATTTCGGTTTTCTGCTTGTTTTTCAAGAAGCTATAGAGGGGGCGAAACAGTATGAGCAATGAGAATCGGTTTGGACAGCGCAAAAGAGATAAAAATCGGTTCAAGTTTGGTAAGATAATGCAGTGTCTCTGCTCGGGCGAACAGTCTCGTGGGAATGAAATGACCCCTTTTTCCGAAACTCTTTCGACAAAGGATTGTTCAGCCAGTGTTTATTCATCGCGACATGGAGAAAACGAAAGGAAACCCGAGAGCGGCAACATTGAAGAAGCCGAATTATCGCTTCGTGAAAGCGGCTCTTTAAACTACGAGGTTGTTTTCTAGTAACAACTTTTTTCTTTCGTTCGTTTCTTAGTGGATACAATTTTAAACGGTCTTTTTTTTTTGTTTTTAGGAAGCGAGAGCGTTGCTAGGGAGGTACGAGTATCAAAAGGGGAATCTCGAATCAGCTTTGCACGTCTTTGAAGGAATCGACATAGCTTCCGTTACTCCAAAGATCAAAATCACCCTCTCTAAAATAGTAGAAATTCGCAAGAGACGATCGCAGAATTACGCAACGCCACCGATGTCGATACACGCTGTTAGTTTGCTTTTCGAAGCTATGTTTTTAAAAGCGGAATCTTTGAAAGCACTTCGTCGGTATAAAGGTATATCCCCACGTGCTAATTGATACAACCCGTTTTTCCATTAGTTCCTCGTAACTATTGTACTTATGAAAGATATGATTTTTTTTCTTGAAGAGAAAGAAATAATTCTCATTATCTATTAAAATCTTGTTATACATAGCAAGAAAGTAAAAGCTACCTGAAAATCTAGGTTAATTTGTCCCGTTTATCGAACTTTTTTATTTTTTATTTTATATATATATATATATATATATATATATATATATATATATATATATATATCCCGTTGTGAATTTTTGTCTGATTTGTGTTTGTAATGATCTTTTGCAGAAGCTGCTCAATCATGTACGGTTATTCTGGACATAGTCGAATCTACATTGCCGAAAGGCTTGCCTGAAAAGTTCGGTGCAGACTGTAAATTACAGGAGACGATAAACAGTGCAGTCGAGTTACTTCCAGAATTATGGAAACTTGCAGATTCACCTCGCGAAGCTATTTTATCGTACCGTAGGGCCCTTCTGAATCACTGGAACCTAGATTCTTTGACCACAGCAAAGATCCAAAAGGAATATGCCGTTTTCCTCTTGTACAGCGGAGTCGAAGCTATGCCGCCAAACTTGAAATTCCAAATGGATGGTTCCTTTGTACCGAGAAACAATACCGAGGAAGCCGTTCTTCTTCTGATAATTCTTTTGAGAAAAGTTACGCTCAAGAGAATCGAGTGGGACCCGTCGATTTTGGACCACCTCACTTACGCGTTGTCGATATCAAATGGGCTCGGTGCTTTAGCCAATCAAGTCGAAGAGCTTCTTCCTGGAGTTATTGATCGGAGTGAAAGATATCATATCTTAGCTCTTTGTTGCCATGGAGAAGGCGATGACGTGGAAGCTTTGAATTTATGGAAAAGATTGTTGAAAATTAACGAGGGTTTGGTTTATTTGCCTGCTTTGTTATTCGTTTCGAAAATATGTGTTGAAGAAGGGGCTATTTTTTCTCGTAAAGCGCTTGAAATTTCGCATGGGGGTTGTGATAATTTGAAGGGTGTCGCGCAGTGCTTGTTGGGCGTTTCGCTCTCGGCAAATTGTTGCTCTAATTTGGCTGATAGTGAGAGAGTTGAAAGAAAATCCGAGGCGCTTAAATGTCTTGAAATTGCTGGGAAAATGACGAAAATGAAGGATCCGATTGTTATACACAATTTGTGTTTGGAATATGCTGAGCAGAGAAAGTTGGACGATGCGATTCGTTGTGCGAAAATATTGCTTAAATTGGAAGGAGGGTCGGATATTAGAGGGTGGATATTGTTGGCTCGGATATTATCGGCTCGGAAATGTTTGTCCGAGGCTGAAAGTATTGTTAATGCGGCTTTGGATCAAACGGGGATGTGGGACCGGGGCGAACTGTTGAGAATTAAAGCTAAGTTACAAATTTCGGAGGGTCGAGTGAAGGAGGGAATCGAGACTTATTCTCAGCTTCTTGCTCTGCTTCAGGTTCGGAGGAAAAGCTTTGGTCCGGGAAAGAAGATTAAGGTTTGTGATTGTTTGCTGCTCACTTTGCATGGAATGAAATATTGTGTATCTATCTAATCGTGTTAAATAACAATTAGATATCTTGTCTGAAATATGCGACGTAATTCTTTAATTGTGGAATTGACCGAAAGCCCGTTTATATTCCTAATTGACAGGACGACAAAAACCATTTCAAGAACTTAGAGCTGGAAACATGGCACAATTTGGCTTCCATCTACATCAAATTGTCTCGTTGGCACGACGCGGAGCTCTGTCTTTCGAAATCTAAAGCCACTAGCGCCTTTTCTGCTTCTAGATGGCACACGACTGGTATATAATTATTTATTTTAATGTTTTTAATTTTTTTATTTATAAATCTGTTGTTATATGAATCCCTTTCTTATTGAGTGCAGGTTTGCTTAATGAAGCAAAGGGGGACCACAAAGAAGCGATGAAGGCGTACGGGCTTGCTTTGGAAGTGGATCCAATGCACGTTTCAAGTCTAGTCTCGATGGCTACAGTTCTCAGACAGGTCAACTGTGGGTCAACGGGTATTATTCGAAGCTTTTTGACAGAAGCGTTACGAATTGACAGAATGAATGCATCTGCATGGTATAATATGGGGTTGCTTCACAAGGATGGTGGTAGTTGTTCTTCGGCTTTGGAAGCTTCTGAATGTTTCCAAGCGGCTACGATTCTTCAAGAGACTGAACCCGTTGAGCCCTTTCGATGATTGAATACTCGCTGTTTTTTCGAGTCTGTAAGGCTATAGTGTTGAGCTAAATAATTTTAGTTCATTTATAAGAGTGTGTGTGTGTGTACTTGTTTGGAGAGAGAAATAGAAATTTTGTTTGTGTTGTTGATATTGTTTTGAATTGAGCAGTGATAAATTACTTTTTGTGCAACTTTTGTAACTCCTTGGTCTCTACGTTTTTTCGTTTATTCTCTATTTCTCTCTCCCTTTTGTATTGTCGTTTACATTATTCGACGATCACCAAACCAAAGAGCTTGAGTAAATACGTCATTTTACCAGTTTGTATTTTTAATTATTTTCTTAATTAAAAAAAATAAATCATAAATGAACATTGCCACGTATTAATACAAAATATTAATCCTGCATGATGCTGCTGATTCTGGTGGTCAATAGGTCTAAACAACAGAAGTACCTCCGCACTTTTTCTGCACTAAAATATGAGATCTTTGCCTTAGTACAAATAATAGAGTCATTGTAAATGATTTACCACTCTTAACTAACAACTACTGAAGAAACATGACCAAAAAAAAAAAAAAATCATGTATTTGTGTTCGATTTTGATTGTAAGACGTTTATTCAAAGCAAAGGAGCATAAAAGAGAAAGCTTACTCGTGTGCGTTATTTTCTCCAAAATCTGAAACGAGGGAATTTCTGCTTACATTTTTATGTGGGACACCTGAAAATAAAGGCAATAAATGCAAGAGAGAGATGGTATTAGAAAAATGACTCTAGAAATTGATCAAACACACGAAAGAATTTTTCTGAATATGTTCGGAGAATCTCACCCTCTCACCTTAAGAGATATATGTATCGTGGTCTATACATAGTGCAACAATAGGTCAGCCGAAGAATTCTTTAGCCTGCAGCTCTGCCCTAGATGAACGTCTCCGAAAAGATATCTACACAATCGTGTTCGTAAGAGTGATGTACATTCTAAAAGAAAGTTCTAAGTTTTACATCTTCTCCTTACACGATTTAGCGGAAATGAATGATTACCTGTATTCACAATGCTCGGCCCATGCACAACGAGCTTTTCCGTAATCCCAATAGCAGTCCTCGTCCCTTAGAGGCCCGCGGGTAGCTATTTAATTTTAAGGGGGCGGAAATAATTTAAATGATGATAATGAAGATGGTGGAAACAATATGAAGAAATCATTTCAACCTTTTGTGACAAATTCGGATTTCTTATCGGGATGAATATCGTGCCACATCTCAAGCCATAGCTCCCGCATTAATACTGGAGATCTGACGATGTTCCTGTGGTTTGCTGAAAAAGAGATGTCAGCTGAAAGAAAATATTGGATCCTTGCCATTTTTATGGTGATTAAATTTTGTAATGGATCTTTGATCAATTAAATTGGTATTGCGACCATAATTTTATTGCTAAAGATGTGTGACGTGAACTATCTAAATTGCACCTGTGCTTTCTAGTAATATATACATAAGTTTCCTTGTATTTTCGTTGAAGTGACAAATTGACGCATTCAGGATTGGGACAGCAAAACAGAGTACTACGGTTCCCAGGCTTTGTTTTTGTAAAATATTCAGGCAATTAACTTTCACAATGAAGATAATTTAATCTATTATAATCCAGATAAATACTGCATACACTTTTCGGTTGAACAAAGTAATGATATAAGATAATTGTTACCTTTATCAAGCTCCCAAACTGCTGTTCTCTTTCCTGGAAGACTTTCCGAGTCTTCGTAATAGGTTATGTACTTTACTCTAGGAGATCTTGTCATGTTGGGTATTATATCCATTTCCGGCTCACGTTCAACATCTAAATCCACTTGGACATCTGAACCATCATGTTCTGACTGCGATTTGTCAATATATTTCTCTTATCAGTGAGAGAAAAATATATATATATATATATATATATATATATATATATATATATATATATATATATACCATTTGAATCTCCAAGTAACAGAAGAAGATGTAATACAGAAGGTATATAAAAAGTAAATAAAAATAAAAATACAATCAATTCTTTAAATGTAACTAGAGAGTATAGTTTCCCTTATTAATTACCTGAGGAGCCCTTGTTATGTTTACTTTTGATCCTAGCCAGTTCTTGCACCAAGAGAGGGAATTATACGGTACCTACAAATCAAACTTCATCGTTAAGTTATACAGAAGTAAGAATATAATAAATTAAATGTCATATAATCTTAAGGTTAGTATATAGAAAAAATATCTCAGAAGTGTATGTTCATCTTACTGTCTCATCTCCACTTGCAGCACCTGGATTTCCTTCAACCAGGTTCCCTGACCTAAATCAACGATATATAAGAAAAGTAAATACCAATGTAGCAGTCTCTGTACGAACTACTAGTTCAATTAATGCAAGACCAAAAGAGTGCATTAAACAAATTATGAGCAGTGAAGCGCAACTTGATGGCATCTTTTCAAATTTTATGTTCCGGTCTCGTAATTGTAATGTTGTAAGTGTACCATGTCATGTCATCTTCAAACTACCGAAAAGGGGCTCTGGTAAAGTGATTTGAAGAAATATGAACAATCACAATTACTTCATTAAGTAACATTGCCAACACTTAACTACATCCTTTTTTTTCTATAAATAACATTTTTCAGTCGAATGTGACAGAGAAATGGAGGTTTCTGAGTTCTGAACTTTAAAGATTATCACGTATAATAATGACAAAATCAAAATCTCTGATACATATTACTGTACACAAAGGCTTCATCCTCTTATTTGTCAACATAAACATTTTTTATCTTTAGCATTCAATTGACTGATTTAGTTATTTTAATATGTTGATTTAGATTTGTCAACTGAAATGAAGGGTTGTTGAGTGATATACAAAGATGTTGTTCAGGCATGTAACAATAGTCACCTGGAATATAATGATCCTTCTAACTCATAAATGACATCAGTTATTATCCAGTTATCTGGATAAGGCTTTCCACTCGGCGCATAATAATAACCAACCTGTTTTGTCACATGTCAAGAAAACAAGACATCATCAATTCATCACATCAAATTGGATGTACTATTGAGACCGATGTAAGAATGACAGATCTAGGGTGATTATTAAAAAAAAAAAAAAAGGAGCTGCAGAAATTTGAACAAAATCACCATGGACAGACAAAAGTACCTCAGTTTTTAAATCTGTTCCATAAATGCAAAAGATGTTCCTCAGGGGAGGTCTGTCCCATGGTGTTAAAGGATTTAGAACAGGATCACCATGATATGACCTGAAGTATAATAAAAATTAGGTACAGAACGTTTTGTTATTAAAGACTAAATGTATGGATTACTGACATAGTTAAGCTTTTATTTTCAAGACGAGATGGAATATATTGATTTTATAAGTGACCAAATCATCAAATTGACTATTTGCATTAAATCAGGCTTCAAAATTTCTCTAGGAAAAGAAATCACACAATAAACATTGTCAATGCAGGAAGTGAGCATAAACAATGCAACGATGAATAATGCAATTCCTATGTTGACTAACCAAAAATTTCTTGCCCATTGAGAATTGTTCTGCAATTAAAGCACGTAGAGGCGTAGCATTAGTGGCAAGACACAACTTACTGTTCTAATTGGTACAAGAGTCTTTGACTATCAGAGTCATAATCAGCCATAGCTCTGAAAAAGGTACCATCTGAAACTTCACGAGCAGAAAAGGATAACAGAGTCGGAAATCCATATTCCGCGTCAGACATATTGACCTGTGTTGCTCCTACAAATGAAGGACAAGTTTCCTCTCCTGCCAATGCAGTAAATGGAGCACATTAGAAAATCCAGTATACATTCCAAAGCAGCATATAGTAGTAACATATGATGCAAGACCACATTTCATACCTCGAATTGCTGGAATTTCAATATTGATTATGTTTGTTGGCCATCCAGAGTAGTTTGCTTGAAACTCATGGTCGTCACAATGGTAAGTGTGATGCCCCTTTTTGCTCCTAGCAGAGAAGTGTTTCAAGTATCCGTTCTCTGCTCTACAATGTTTCGAAAATGGCATCATCCACAATGAAGAGCCAAATGAGTTGAACATCAATCGAGCTGTTCCCTGATGACTTGCCAAATATTTTTGTAAACGGCAGTTAATTCAGGGACACGAATTAAAATCAGTATAAATCATGGGCCTCCACTCCTGACCCCGCCACTTTTATACTTTCAGTTCAGTGTAGTGACAAACAATAGTATATCGTAAGCCAGTGGCGAAAATGCACACAGAAGACAAACTGCATCAAAACTAATCTTAAGATCATTAAGTTACAGTACAAAACTTTTAACTTAGTTCAGAAACAACTGATATTTTTTAAGTATTGAATTTCAAAAAAAAAAAAAAGGTCATATAATTTATGAAACACATACTGTCACATTCATTCCCTCCCTAAATCCTGAAACAGCTTATAGAAATATACGACCATGATAAAATGAGGAACCAGAAGATACTGGCATTGGAAGTGTAATTAAACAGAATAAACAAAATATATAAGTATTTTTGCATCAAATGAAGGTACGGTACTTGCACCTAAAGCAATTTGGATTTTTGGAGATAAATAATACCTCAGAAACAGGGAGACCAGATGTAAATCCTGACAATGTTGCCTTAATAGTCTCAGTTGCTCCAAGAAGAGGAGCTCCTGAAACAAATCAGAGAAATAATTCATGTAAGAGCAGGACATAGTCCTAAATGATGATCCATTAGTCAAACAAAAAGTTCACAAAGCCTACCAACGGCAAAGTAGGCATGAATGTGTTCATCCAGCCATTTGACATACTTTTTAGGGGCAATCTCTAATTTTAACCACTCCAGAAAGTATCTGAACACATTGTTGCCCAATGAGTGAGCAAAAACTATTGATGGCCCACCACGAAGCTTAAGAGCAGTTTCAAAAGTAATCCTGCGAAACCAAAGCATGTCCAAATCATTATATTTTTCCGTTATTTTGCACTGACAAAGATAAGGCCAGCATTCTCTAAGCAGACAGAGTTATATAGACGTTATATATAGATTATCTAAATTACATATAAATACACACATCTATTTTGTGAAGCAAATCACTTGAAATAGCAAGAAGAGAAAAAATATATATTAAACATAATTTTGTATCAAAAATTATTTCTTACCGTGGCTTTCAAGTTTTTAGTTAATTATTTTCATTTTTTTATCCGATGTCTGCTTTGCAATTTTTTATTTTATTTTTGGTGCAGAATAACAAGTGGGAAAAGAATAAAAAAAACAAGATCATGTTCTAATAAAAAGTATACTTAAACAAAACGGTGAAGATGAATATACTTTAGTTTATGAAAGTAAAGATCCCGCTCCTCAAGTTTGTTAGGTGGCAATCTCCAGTCATACGGGACCGCAATTATAGCATTAGCCTCAATACCAAACTCGATGCACCACTTAACCCATTCTTTCCACACTGAAGAAAGAGGACCTGCAGAATTGATGCTATCAACTTAATGGATCGTGTCAATCATATCTCAATCGAAATCAGGATAAAGCCTAGACAATTTGCATGTGAATAAAGCCAACATTAAACATTTGAATTAACTTACAACCGCAATCAACGAGACCAATAATGATAAATAACACAACTGTTGTTCTACAGAGACCATTTTTTTTTAATTATATTCGTTACTAGCAATGCTTCCAGTAAAAGTAAAAATGCTGCACACAAGATTCTCCAGGAGCATACCAGTAATGTAGCCCGGATCAAGCTCTGTAATAGCAGAAAGACCACCATCAGGGCGTGACTTGCATTCTGGATGATCAGTTTGGTTGTAAGGATCTAGCATCATACACTTCAGCCAGCAATTTACGGCAGACAGAAGCTGAAGAATGCACGTTCATACCATAAAAATTAACCAGAATAAAAGGATCCAACGAACTACAATATAAATATACACCAAACACTAAAACATCTGAGTTCATCATTGCTACTATCCAACATAAATATGTACAACCTTACTGAATATATTGTCAGATTGATTCGTACTGTGCATTAACAAAAAAACAAATATCTTAATCATTCAAATCTTCTGCAAATAGATTGACTAATTGGTAGCTAATGCATTAAAATTAAATGAGTCAAATTGGCTCATGAACTGGAACAAGCAAACCTACAAACCCATTATAGGAGAAATAAGGTAGCATTAAATTCCTTCTGTCAACTGCATTAAATACTCCATGGATATATACTATTTTGTGCGTATTACGGTACCATAGCAAAGCTACAAAGATCAGAAGAAAATTATGTACGCACAACTGAACAAAAAAGTGCCGGAAAACAAAAACTCATACTGCAATTAGAAAAATGATTCCAAAAAATATATATATATGAAATGATTACAGACTTTGGTGGTGTCGAGCCAGACTAAATCGAGGGGGTTGAAATCGAGAGGAGAGTACGGACAGTCTAAAATCGACCACGCTCTTAGCTGAGTGGACGCGAAGCCAGGTATTATGATTCCAGAAAGTTTGCCGTATCCTCCGGAGAAATCGCCGCCGTCGGCTCCGAATCCTCCTCCGCCGTGAGCCGCCGGTATCGCGACGAGGAGGAGGAGGAGGAGAAATGAAGCAGCGAGTAGGGTTGCGTGGCCTCCTCTCATTGGCCGTACGAGTGCTGCGTTTTGAAGACCTTTGTGGCGGTCTGACTAACTGGACCGGGAGTTGCAGCATAAAAGTGGTGTTGGTTTGGTGGTGGTTAATTACCTAATTACCCTCACTCTCGTTTCTGAGGAAGAAGCTTTTATTTTGTTGTTGACGTGGCTTTATCTGATTGGGTAATGCGGACAGGCTCCAGGCTCTGAGGAAAATTGATCAGGAGGACAAAAGAATATTTGCATTTAGTTCCCTATACTTTCTGTAATTTTCATAAGAGCCCACTTTATATTTTATTTGGGCCTGCAGCTCAATATTTTTTTCAAACGAACAAACCAAAGCTTTTTCCCAAACAACAATGGCGGCAGAAAACGACAACCCAGTGCTTATCAAAACCTCGAAATTACATTTTCTTCAACTTCCAATCGCAACAATTCTTCATCAAACCGTCGATTCCCCATGGACTCGACCTCAACTTCCACGTCGAGATTCCGATTCAGAGATCACAATCAGGAAATCGCCGCCGGCGAGGACTCGTCGGAGGGCCACACCACCGCCGATTCTTCCTCCGTTTCGAGCAACGAAGATGAGTACCCGCCGGAGCTTCAGTCCATGACTTCCAAGGTTTGTTGTACCTTCCATATTTTGTTTGAACTCGTTTTCCCCCCTTTTTTTAATTTCTGGGTTGGGTTTTTTCCTTTGATACATAGGGCGTTCAGCATCTGTGTTCTGAACTCCTTGAGCTAAAGCAAGAATCTGATGAGGATTTTCGGATGAATATCTTTTCTAATTACGCTGCTTTTCTTACGTAAGTTCCTTAATATTGATTGATTACAGTTACAGATCATCTGTTGAAGCAAACAGATCACTGATTAATTATTACTTGCAGAATACTGAAAGAGATCGAAGGCTTGCAAATTGAATTGCTGGAACTGAAAAAACAAGCTTCCTCACAAAAGAAACTTGTTAAAGATGTTAGTCACACAGTTTCTTTAACATTTCCGTCTGAGGAAATTAGGGAATCCATGCTTGAAGAAGCTCCAAACATACTCGAAACCCGTACGGAAAATATTTTGGAAATGTTGGATACACTTATCTCAGAGCACAGGCTCGATGATGCTCTAACTCTACTGAAAATGGAAGATGAGTTTATCCGAAATTTAGAACAATTTTCCTCGGATGAGTTAATGTCGTACAATTCCACTATATCGGAGAAAAGGGCCATAATAGTCAATCGATTCACATCCATAGCAAAACACCCTCGTATTTCCGCACCAGAGTTGCACAAAGCACTATCCGGATTGTGCCAGCTCAGCGAAAATCGTCTCGCCACTCAGCTTATGCTTCAATATTACGATTCAAGTATTTTATCTCGTTTATTCGATCTGCAATCCTCAAAAGAATTTCGAGACGTGTTGTATATTCAAGAATTAGCGAAATTTATATGTTCGATGATTTCTCGAGGTGTAACGAGTTTCGTTGCCTTAAATGGAGAAACTCATCGTTATCCTTCAGAAGTAACTCAGTGGGCCTCAGAGAAAATCGAGATATTTGCTGCTTGTTTCAACGAGTACATAAAATCCATATCCGATACAAGCAATAGAATGTCGACAGCTGTTGATGCTGTGCAGATTGCGGTATCGTATTGCTCTTTGCTCGAGACTCAAAGGATCTTCCTCTTGCCATATTTAAAGGAGCTTATTCGCCCTTGCATGGAAGAAATATTGAAACTACATATCGACTATTTGAGTGAAGTTACGAGTATTTTCACATCGAATGATAATTGGGCTTTAGCCAGATACTATGCATCAGGTATTTTGACATTAAGGAGTTACGCGATTATCGATCAACAACCGGAATATTTCTTTCTCACTAACAGCGGCAGAAAATTCGTAACATTGTTCCAGGTTTGTCACGTTTTTTGTCATAGTAATATATTCATAATAATTGATTGCTTAATTTTATTCTTGCATGATATCTCCCTGTGATTTTCAGTCAATTGCAGAGGATGTTTCACCTTTGATTGCCCTTCAAATGGAGAGTGCAGTTCTAAAAGGAATAATTGACCTATTGACAGCATATATCGTAATTCTTGAAAGCGCGCTCACAGGTGAAACGGAAATTTTGAGAATCAATTTGCCGGAATCTCCAACTCAAGGAGTTTTTATTTTAGCCAATCTATCAACAATAATCAGATTCTGCTTCAGCGTTATCAGAAATATGTTTGATGATACACATCAGTTGGATTTTGAGATTGATAATCACGTGATGTTCGTTGAAGATATTTATAGGCGACTTAAAGCCTGCTTTCTTGGTCAGTTCGTATCTAATATTTTCTCTTCGAACGTGGATCATGAATCTGGTTCGGGAATTTGCGTTAGCTGGGATGGTGATTCTAGAATTCATGACATGATTCCATCTGTACCGTACCTGGTATGCTCGAGTTCTTTTTTTTCTTATCCGCATAAATAAATTGTATCGAGATTTTCTTTTTATCCACATCATTATATAAAGTTGACGATGAATAGGTTTATTATTATTATAAGTCGACTGTTGAAAGATACTGTAGAAATAAATATCACCAACAATCACGTACACTTTGTGACGAAACGAACTTCTTGACTTTTGACATTAAAATCTGGATACTGTCGTTTTCTTTTCCTATTTTCCCCCCTTTTTGCATAATAGGAACTGTATTTAGAGCTAAAGAAACTAGAAAAGCTCGCGGACGTCGACTCCATTGATGTGAATTGGTTGATAAATCTGTTGAGGGAGGTTATAGATGCTGCATTTGAATGGTTATTGAGCAAATCCGAAATATGGAGGATTAGTAAAGATGATTTGGCTGATCATCAGACCAAATTCATGCAGGTATCATTCATCTTCTTTACCCCCAATCTGCTAGTTCTAAATGAATTTCCTCTTTTGTCATTTAAATAAACTGAGGTTTTTTTCTTTTTTTTTTTTTTGTATGAAACAGTTTATTCTGGACTCTCAGTTTCTAGTGGAAATTGCGAGATGTGGCGGATACTTGTCCGATAATGCAATAACCATCTCCGCAGATATCATGTCTCGTCTTGAAGCTTATACTACGAGGTGAGTACATATGATTATGTATAAATGGATTTTTCTTGATCCATCAGATGCAAGTAAAAGAATGGTATTCTTTTTTTCAACTTTCGAACAAATTCTTGCAGAGATGCAAGTGATTGTGAGTGGCCAGCAAACGCAGCTACTCGAGCCCTTCACAAGTTGCAAGAACTTCATGCAAAAGAAGAATCACAATACGAGGATAACAGGAACGAATCAGCACACAAATTATTGATGATAAATGCCTCGGAAATTGAAACAAACACTCGAGTATCAAGTACAGAAGAAACTCTGGTTGAAGAACAAGTGGATATCCAAGAGCAGAAAACCTTATCTAACAGCAAAGAAGTAACTGAGGAAGAGTCATCCGAAAGATCTGCAACCGAATTTTAAATATAGCACAAAGTCCATTCTTGTCATCAGAAACTATCCCAATTTAATTCCGTTTCCGAACAGTTATCCTTTCCATAAATAGAACTAAACAGATTAAAATTTGGAAGGAGACGAAGGTACATCATTTCATTACACCGTAAAAGGATACCATTTATCACTATTTTGTTGGGTAAATACGGATTCCAAACAGACTGTCGCGATATAATCTGAGTCTTGAATAGTTTACTGGCTAATACAATCCAAAAAGACAGCCTAATACCAGAAAACCTAGAGAAGACATTGGGGCATAAATAAAAGCCTTTCGTTCAAATATCATACAGCGAGACCATCATTTAGAGCAATGACTGTTGTCTTCACCGCATATTGTCACGACGCCTGACATAACGAGTTCGATCATTGTATCTTGGCCTGTCCTGAGCTCTCTGAGGCACTGGCTCAACTCTCCTTTGTCTCTCTGGAGACCTCTGAACTATCTCTCCGTTTACCAACAACTCAGCTGCCAAACCATGAAAAAGTTGGAACACAATATCAGAAAAATCTATAAAACTACGACTCGTGTTTTCTCATGTTTTAAATATTTAACATTCACCATGGCTTCAATTTGACACCAATTAGCATACAATACATTAAGGAAAAGGTGCTTGATTACATGTGAATAATATTTACTAATACAGAGGAAATGCTTGAATTCTTATATTAGTTTTATCTTATATGAAGTTACGAGCAAAACGCCGAAACAAAAAAATTCTTTCAATGAGAGAGCACAAAGTAAATGAAGATATAAGATTCCTATATTATAACCATCGGTTTCCATATTTCTATATCACAATTTACAACAGTGTTGTCTTGAAAGCTTCAAACAGTTAATAGAAGCATTCTTCTCAAGACTAAGGGTTATTCTCAACAAAAGCTAATTGTGTTAGATTTCAAGTTACGCATAGGAATCAGATCACGAGCATATCAGATATAGGGAGTCTAAATGCTAGCTAAAACTCATAGGCGCAGTACATCAAACAACTACGCTGGCAATATGAGTTAGTGACAGTTTTACTTTTTGTATGTACAATTTCAGGAAAAGTACCTCCGTAATCCTTGTTTTCAGCATCAACATACGAATCCGGAAGAACAAACAGAACCCCAGGAAGACCTGCATACATCACAAGGCCAACGTGAACACAAATTCAAATATCAAACATAAATTAAGACAGAACCAAGTTCTTGTTAGGAAAATACCTTCAAGCTTGTTCGACGTCTCCTCGTCAAGCTCGCAACCAAACCCAAAGTACCTCTCACACGAGACATTATATATCTTCCTCTTTGCTTCCTCCTCGCTGTAAATAGCAGTAAACACCAAGCAATCGTGCATTAAGGTACAACAGAAAATGCACCAGAACAAATAATAATCTTTCTAGATGAATCTTCAACAAAATAATTAGTTGCACATTAACCGCAAAAACCAAATGACGTGTTAACCAGTACCATACTTATATCAGCAGTTCAATTTATAAACTGTGAAAACCTCAAATCAGTGTGAGTACATTGTGGCAATACTTTGCTGATTCGATGAGCTAATACCAATTTTTTATTTCGTAGATACCTATGCGTAATATCAAAAGGACAACTAATTCTCTAATAAATCACACACACACACACACACACACACACAATATAAGAAAATTAACCTTCCGAGGACTTTGGCTAGGGTTTGAATATAGCAATCAATCATCTGCTGTTTCGTGGCCCCTTCGCCACCAGGCTTATCCATCACTATAAGCCAGTGCTCGTAATCGCAGCCGGGGAAGAGCGGAGCCATCTCGGTTGGGGGCCGGTCGTTGAAATTCGAACCAGAGTTCAGCGGTGAGTACGCCGAACCGGATCTAGAGACTCGGCATCGAATCTGATTGGTTCTGTTCGTAGAGATAACGCTGAGCGAGTGGGATAGCGCGGGCGTGGCAAACCGAGATGTGGAAATTCGTACGCGGGAGAAACCAGCGAGCGGCGGAGGGTTGGAGACGGTGGAGGATAAGAGGCGTTTCGGGAGGAGAAGAGAGGCGGTGGCTCCGGCTGATCGGACGGTCAGAATCGATCGGGCGATGGTGGCGGCCATTTTTGTGTGTGTGCAGTAGATGGAAATGGATGAGGGTTTTTGCGACTGAGTTTTCAGGGGTTTAGAGATAAAGTCGAGTGAAACGGGATATGGGGGTTCGGTGCGGTTCGTTTCTATCAAGTGCGGTGCAGTTCCGATACTATCGAGGACATGTGATCCCGATTTTACATTTAATTGTTTGTTAGATATCACTAGCGATTTTATGGACGCACCTCTTCCGTGTGAATTTCACTTTCACCCTTGACATTTTATCTCAACTTCATAATAGTCCCTATATTATTAATTAACTTCAGTCTAGTCCTTCTTTTTGTGTAAACTCATTAACCGCAACTCTAGCCTTATATCTAATAGAATCAACATCATGCTTGATCTTAAATAACCATTTACAATCAATCAAATAGCATTTAGTAGGTTTAGGCACAATATTTCAAGTTTGATTCACATGTAAGAACTTCATTTTATCATGCACATAATTTAAGACATTTTTATAAGATTTGTGTTCATTTGCCATTAAGTGATTCAAACATATTAAACACATAGAAAACAAGTTGCAAGTCATCAAAACAATGTTGTTTCCTAATGTCTCTTATAGGTTTGTCCTTAGTAAATTAGTAATCGCTCAAATCATCATTCATAGGCACGTCTATAACAAACAAGTAACGGTCAAAGACAACAAAGCTGCCTTCCAATTAATACTCTTCATATACGACGACCAACATTGAAGAAAGTCTCTAAAAACGACATGGGAAAGCAAAAAAGGAACATTAGAAGAGAAGGGTGAGAGTAAACCAATAGATGGACTGTGTAAATCAGACTTTTTGAATTAAACGGCCAAAATCAGTCAAACCACTTCAACTTAGCTTAAGTTGGCTATTGGGCTGATCCCAAGACTTGGGCTGATCCCAAGACTTGGGCTGCTCAATTATAACTAGGTTTTGGGCCCTATTCACATATAATGAATATCATAATGGGCCATAAATACTAACACATTTCACCATCAAATTTGCGTAATTTCACCATAACTTGATATACGGCCCATTTGAGATTATTATTAAAATATTAAATATCGCTGAAAATAAATTGATTGAATTAAATATTTCTTCACATTTTTTATTTTCACTAAAAATGTGATATTAATTTTCACATTTCAACTGCAATTTTGGGAAGCAAAAAAGTTTACTGCAGTAAATTCGTCAATGGTGGTGGGGGCTGAAAATTCCAGGGAAATCCCGCCTAAAGGTGAGTGCTCGCGCCAAGTTTGAAAACTCGTCTTCTTCCCCAAATCGAGTACCGCGCCAAATCCACCATAGATAAAAGCGAAAGTAGCAACCTTCACTTCATTCCTCCACTCTTTAGCGCTCCGAGGAAACCCTAAAATAAGAGAGAAATTTTTTTTAGGGGAAAATAAATCGCAATGTCGGAGATCCAGAACGCTGCAAGGTTACTGAATCCATGGAAATTTCATCTCCAGAAGCTCGGACTCGAGCTCAAATGTCCCGTCTGGTACGATCTTATTTACCAATTTCCCTTTGTTATGAGTGTAATTTTGTACGCACAATGTGATCTGAGGAACCCTAATTTTTTGTTCAATTTTTTTTTTCATCTGTGTAGTTTGAACTTGCTGAACAAGCCCATGTTGCTTCCCTGTAATCACATTTTCTGCAAGTAAGTTGTACTTTTCTATTTAAACAACAATTATTGTTCCTTGATCTGTATCCATGAGTTTCCCCCCCCCTTTTTTAGGGCTATATGTTTAAACTTGTCTAAATGTCTACTTTAATTTACGCAGTTTTTGCGTCCCACCACCGTGCCAGTTGAGCAATCAGTGTCCTGCATGCCAGCAGCAGTTTACCGATCAAGGTATTACGCACTGACCGCAATTTATTCTCCTGAATATTTCATGCATTTGTAGTTTTTGCGAAATACAATTTCACTGCCTAATTAGATGTTTAGTTTTTCTGATGCCAAGTCAAGTAATTGATTAATGTTGCAGAAATCAGACCTGCTTCTTACATGGAGAACATTGTTTCCATTTACAATAGTTTGGATGGTGCTTTAAACTCTGCAGTCTTGCAGCTTTCATCTACTGGTAAGAAAGATATAGTTTTTTTCCCCTTATACTGTAACATTGAAATAATTTTGTGAACACGTAGCTCATTTTATGTATATTTATGGTTCCCCTAGATTCTGGAACCCCGGTTCCAATCTCAACTTCCGCGGACCAGTCAAGAAAGAAACTCCGCGAAACATCATCCAAGAGGGAGATTAATCACAGTGATGCGTTGTTCATTAACAATGTTGCAAGTGGTACTGAATTAACTAACTACCTTGTATCAGAAGAGTTAGATGTGAATCATGGTCCAGAAACGTCACCTCGCAGTTCTCCTTCCTTTGGAGAAGCCAAAGCTGCTAAAGATCATAACTGTAGTCTGGGTAGAAACGGGGTAAGATTCAAGGTTTCATCTGGATGTAGCATGCACCTTGGAGTTTCTTTTCAGTAGTGTTTCTCAAAAGTAACCTAATGCATCATTTGTATTTAGTTATTCTTCTCCTATCTTGATGAATATGGGCAAACTAGTTCAACTGCTAACTGTTTGATTATTTATAAAAATATTAAGCAGTCCGTTCACTTTTTGCAAAGCATTCGTCTAGTTGCTATGGTACCTCACATCTTTTTTCCTAATACCATACTGCTCACCTTTGCAGGTTATAGGAGATAAATTTCTTACAGTTGAAGGTGAAGCAGATAACAAAGACACGCCTCATACGAGGGATTCTAAGAGACAAAAGAAGCTGAGTTATGGACCTGATGCAGTTTTGCAACCCCGAGGCTACAGCCAACAAGTGGTTTCTCATTCTGGTCAAGTTACACTTTACAATTGTAAAGAAGAATGCGAATCTAAGGAAGATACTTCTGTCATTTCTTCATCAGCACTCTGTGCTGCATCATATGACGATGGAAGTGTTTGCGCATTTTGCCATTCTTCAAGGATAACCGAAGTAATTTTCTGAATAATATTATGTTGCTCATTTTCTTCATGTGAAGTTGCTAAAGTTAATGTTATTTTTGTATAATATTTTGTCAGAGATTTGGTCTCCACCACACCGAGGCTCATTTTCTATATGTTGATTTGTGTTGTAGGGAACTGGAAAAATGCTGCACTATGCAAATGGAACTGAGGTAGCAAGAGGCGAACTTGCTTTTTCCAATGCTATCCCGGTCCACAGTAAATGCATTGAATGGTATGGAATTTGTTTGCATTAGTTTTATATTCTGCTAAAGTTGGATACTTTACTTCCCACCTTATTAGAAAATAGCAATAAGCATCTTGTTTAATATTTGCTAGTAGATTTCATATGATCATTAGATGTTTGATTGCTGTTGTCTATATTGTTTCTTTACTCTTATTATCTTCTGTATGTTCAATAGTTACGACACTAGTAACTCTTCCAAATGATGGCACATTTTGGTAGTACCGCAGATTAAAATGCAAATATTGCTTATAAGTTACATATAAGTGACAATGAACTGATATTTGTACTTTTGGGCCTTTTTTATTGCAGGACCCCTCAAGTTTATTTTGTTGGAGAAACAATTAAGAATTTGGAGTCTGAGCTGGCTAGAGCTTCTAAGCTCAAGTGCAGTAGTTGTGGCTTAAAGGGAGCAGCACTTGGCTGCTTTATAAAGTCGTGCCGCAAAAGTTATCATGTACCTTGTGCTGTGGAGATTCTGGACTGCAGATGGGATCTTGTAAGTTTGTTTCTTACTAATTTGAGTTTCTGTTTGTGTTTTGAAGCTGTCTATTTCTCTTAGACTAACCTGCTTTTTTTTAATACATCTTGTTTGCAGGATGACTTTTTAATGTTATGCCCCGCTCACAAGTCTGTTAAATTTCCAAGTGAAAAGTCCAACCTCAAAAGGCGTCGTAGTGGAGAGATGTGTTCCTTGACCAGTGCAATGTATGATGATTATCATTTACTAGTTGTATTCCATCTTCATAGTATGATATTAGTAATGGCTAATTAACTAAAACAAGTAGCTCTTGGCATATTTATTTAGTCCCCTGTCCACAAGCCTCTAACTTCCATCAACTATTTTATACTCTAATCGAACTATTGAAGTCAACTTCGTTTAGAATGGTTCTACTCATCTCTTGTTGGCTCACAACAGAGTTTTTGTTATCTTGAACACAGCGCACCTGAGCAGTTGAACTTCTGGTCAACCTCTGCTAACGGGCCTCAAGAATGGGTTTTGTGTGGATCTTCTCTGTCTTCAGAAGATAAGGTTGGTTTCTGTTCAATATCAACTTTTTTGACTTCTTTGTGAATATGCTTACTGATGTATTTGATGTATATTCGAGAAACTAATTTCCTATTCTGATTTCTGGCATTCAGTGTTTGATGATCAAGTTTGGCAAACTTTGTGGTGCTACCGTGTTCAAGTTCTGGAATCCAAAGGCTACTCATGTAATTGCAGCCACAGATTCGAATGGTGCATGCAGTAGAACTCTGAAAGTCCTCATGGCGATTTTAAATGGAAGATGGATCCTTACTATTGATTGTAAGCTCTATACATCTGCTTTCATGATTTACATATATATAATTATTTTGGGAAGGACTGTGGTAGCGGTTTGGGGGTGAAGACCAAATAATCTGTCAAAAGGTTGATGCTGCGAAACAAATTTGAGGGCATTAGATTCATACCTTAACTAAAAAATGATAATCTGGAGACAAATTACCTGCAAATCTCTGGCTTTTGTAACTACTTAATAATCTGCAATGTGTTTCTACGTTTAGGGATAAAAGCATGTGTTGAAGCAAATCGGCCTGTCAATGAAGAGCCTTATGAAGTTAATTTGGACAATCATGGTTGTCGTGATGGCCCCAGAACTGGCAGATTAAGGTCGTCAAATAATGTAAGCACACACTAACTCAAATTAACTGTTCATGAATTAGTTGCCAATGTTTTTAGGATATTTAATGTAATTTCATACATATATTATTTATGTATGAAATTATTTGCTGTGATTTTCTTGAAATTGTCTTGTTGGTCAGATTTGATCTATAGCGGTACTTGTCCTTTTATTGCACAGGCTCCAAAGCTTTTTGGTGGCTTCAGCTTTTACTTGAACGGGGACTTTGTTCCAGCTTACAAGACTGATCTTTTGGATCTAATCAAGGCTGGTGGAGGAAACATTATCGACAGCACAGAGCAGACAGTTGCACAAAGAGACAACGGAGAAACGACCTCTCAAATGATTGTTGTCTACAATCACGATTATCCTCAAGGATGTGCAGCAAAAGAATCTAATTCTCTTGTCTTCAATAGATTAGCCGAAGCTAAGGATGTAGCCGACGGCATTGATGCTCTGGTGGTCCCACACACATGGATATTGGAATCAATTGCTGCATCCCAACTTTCGCCCTATCCTTCCTGTTAACAAGGTCATTCTCATATGTTCTTTCCTACATAGTACTTAAATATGTTTAATTTTGTTGTAGTTAATAGTTTGAACCTTGAATGATTTCCTTCATGAATGTATGGTTCTTTTGACAAAGAAAAAAAAATATATATGGTAACTTGTGTCATAAGTACATATTAAGGAGAGCTTATGTTCTGGCTTAGTCATGCATAGAGCTCTTGTCTGAAACCTCCTCCTTCAGTTGTAGCTCCGTTTCAGCACCCTTCTTCTCAGTATTATAAACAAACATCTTGGCTACAAAAATAAAGAAGAGAAAGTTCACAAAGCTCAGAACAGCATAAAACGCGTAATAATAGTCCAAACGGGACTTATTCAGGTTGTCCAATATCCACCCTCTCCCGTTTCTCTTAGTAACCTCAGCCACAGTTGAAAGCAGGAAACTGCTCAAGAAATACCCAACTCCAAAGCTAGTCGTGTAATAAGCAGTTCCGAGGCTTTTCATTCCCTCAGGGGCTTGATCGTAAAAAAACTCGATTTTCGCCACCTCAGCAAAGTTATCCGCAACTCCCATCAGAGCAAACTGTGGGAGAAGGATAAAGATTGAGAGAGGCACAGTTTCTCCCTTCTTGAAAACCCCATTTTCTCGTGCGACGCTAAGCCGCCTCCTCTCGGCAAAGCATGCTGACGTCATGATGATGACATGGAGTGCAAAGCCGACGCCCATCCTCTGTAATAAGGTAATACCCCTGGGGTTATTTGTGTACTTCCGCAAGAACGGAACGAGGAAGCGGTCGTGGAGGACGAGGGTGAGGAGCATGAAGATTGTGACGAAGGCTGTTAGACAGGCTGGCGGGATCTGGAAGTGGGGGCCGATGCCCCTCTCGAGGGTGGTGCCTTGCTTGATGAAGAGTGTGTGGGTTTGGGCGATCATGGTGCTGGGTATGAAAGTTGATGCTAGTATCGGTATCATTTTTATCATTTGCTTTGTCTGTTCGACTTGTGTGATTGTGCATAGGGTCCACAGTGAATCTGCTCCGCTTTTCACTGCTGCTTTGTCGAGGATTCTACAAGTGATTGATGAAGCAACAACAGTTTATTACAGGTAAAAAAATGGATATCCCGAATTCTGCCAATTTTGATTCGAAACTTTCCGATATTGGAAAAAAAAAAAATTCAATCCAATTTCTGAAATTACAGTTTCCTTTTTACCGCAATTGGAATCAAATTGACACTTAAAAAAATGGATTTTTTTCTTAAGTGTTAATTCTGATCCGTCCGATTTCCAACCCTACGTGTGTGTGACTAGGCGTGAAATTGTAGCGAAAAAAATGTAACGAGATTTTTGAATCTCTACGAACCTGATAGAAGAGGAGTGATCAACCCTAAACCCTCCACACCTTGAATACTCCTCTAAGCTGAGCTCATGCAACTCTTTCGGATCAACCGGCACAACCACCCTCCACTTCCTCACAGCAGCCACCACCACCCGGGCCATCCTCACCAACGGGCTCACAGAAACGGGCTTATGCCTGTAATACCGCGAGCCCAGAACAAAGACCACTATCGAAACCGCTAGCCCAAGTGTTGGCAGAGCATAGCCAACGGTCCATCCCACGTTATCTTGAATATACACGAGAAAAGTGTTGGAGAATAGTGTTCCGAGGAATATGCTGAACATCCACCAGTTGAAGAACGATAGTTTCCGGAACTTCTCTTTAGGGTCAAAATCGTCAAATTGGTCGGCTCCCATGGTGGAGATGTTGGGCTTTGTTCCGCCGGTTCCTATTGCTATTATGTATAGAGCGGTGTAGAAAATGGATATTTGAAAAGTTGAGGCCCTCTTGTGGCAATTATCTTGTTCTTGTTTTAGCTGACCACATGAAGGGGGTCTTAGGTTTGGTAATGAAACTGCTAGTGTTAGTAACACCATTCCCTGATGAAAGAAAAACAAAAAAAAGGCAAAAGTTATTATATAGGTCATGTTTGGCGCGGACGTAAAATGTTTAATTGAATCGAATTATACCGTAAGGTAAACAGCCGATGCTATGATGAAAGTGCGGTATCGACCTAGGTAAGTGTCGGCGATGTAGGCACCTAAAAGGGGCGTCATCCAAACAGTGCCTATCCAGTTTGTGACATTGTTTGATGATGTCACCGTGCCTTCGTGGAGCTTGTCTGTTAAGTATATTACTAAGTTTGATGCTATCCCGTAATACGCCATCCTCTCGAATACTTCGTACCCTGATAATAATCGAAAACAAAATAAAATAAAAATTGAAGCATTTAAAAAAGAAAGAATAGAGAGTTATAATTAATTACCAACAATGAAGTAACAAGCTTTCCATTTGCCTGTGGATGATCTTAGGACAGGTCTTCCTTTGAGGTCCACTGTACCATCCTCTGTGTAATCCTCTGTTCCTCTCTCTTCCATCGTCGACATGAGAGAGAGAGAGCAGGAGAGAGAGAGAGAGAGAGGGTGGGAGTTGATATATGTAATAACGTTGGCAAATTAGCCGAGCATAAATCGACAAAAGATCGGTTGTCCGAACTTGATTCGAAGGTAGTGTGATATTGCCGTTTGCTGATTTATTTATTAATTAATCAGGCTCATTTATTACATTTAAAAAAACAAAATTATTTTTTCCTAGAATTTTCTGTTTGTAATTCAACTTTGACACCATTGATTGAGACTTGTGATGAAAATCTAGATAAGAAGACAACTTGCATAGATTCATTACAAAATACAAACTGTTTCATTTTCTTTTTTTATGGTGATTAAGGTGACTAAGGTGATCTCTTGGGGTTATTTCTGTAATTTCTCGCAAACGGGACGAATAATCGGGATCATAATTTTCTAAGGAATCAAAATAAATCTGAGAAAATTGACAGCATCAACATAATATATACCATGTTGAGTAACTCAAAATGCCCTCACTCCTTGAAGTAAGGTCAAATTATGAAAAAATCCCTTCATGTTTGAATAATTATAAACTATTTCCTTAAACTATATATTTTCTTACAAAATGACCCTCGTTGAACATATAAAATTGACACTTGTCAGGGTACCTAACATATAAGACAAATACACAGTTGAAGGTGATTGTAATTATTCAAACATAAAGATTTTTCTTTGATATAACTTAGGGGTTCACCATAATTTGCTCAATCAAGAAAGTCAAATAATTCATATTTTGTAGTGGGATTCTATTATTATTGCTTCTCACGTATGAATTAGTAGGGAAGCCCAAATATTCAGAAATTCAAATGTGCTTTATTTAATTACTATTGGTATTTATTTATTGTTGGCTACCATTATTTTCTTCCCCATTTTATAATTTTCGAAATAAATAATTAGTGTTATCAAATTTTCTTTTAATATAGAAAATTAGCAAAAAGATTAAGTAATGATACTAGATATACAAGACTTTTTTCCACTTTACATATTAAAATGTGCAACTAAAATTAATTAAAAGGAATATATAAATAAACATATATATTAATAAAAAAAAAAGGGAATAAAATCTACAGTACAGGCTGTGAGACCATCAAGTCAAACTCCAACGGTCACTTCCTCTTTTAAAAATAGCGCTCGCAGAAAAAACCCTAACCCCACCCAAAACTGACCGTTTCACCCTCTACGCTCCCCTCTTTCTTTCTCTCTCTTATTTTTCTTTCTTCGTTTGCAGAGAGAGAGAGATGGCGACCGTTTAATTCTTCTGAAATCAAGGCAAGGAGAGAGAAATTATTGGGGTTATTGAATTCTCTAGTCTGGAATGGGTTGTTTTTCCGGATGCTTTGGTGGCGACAAGGATAAAAAACGCCTCAAGCAGCGGATCAATCGGGCCAGCCCCCAACGCCAAGTAATGATCCTTTACTTAGCTATTCGGTTTTCTTTTTGGGGGGGAAATGTTGCAGAAAACCGATTGAATTCCTGATTTTTTCTCTTTCTCGCACATCTGTTCAATTAAAAAGAAAATAAGAAGAATACAGCTTTTGTTTTGATTGGGTTTTTGATTGTCTTTGTAATCTAGTCTGTTCAATTAAGTCACAGAAATTGATAGTAGTCTTTAATTTTATTTTTTCGAATTGATTTTTTCTTGATTTGGCCAAGAAACAAGACTGGAAGCTGATGAATTGTTTTGATGAATTTATTGTGAGCTGAATCTGATGATAAATTTATTGATACAGAGAAACAGAGTGCAGAATCTTCAGCAGGAAAATGTAATCACTGCAGAACAGTCGGTCGCAGAATCGATTCCCGTCGATTTGGTTCCGGAGTTGGGGTGAGTCGTTGTGTCTCCCTTTTACCCTTTTGGCTTAATTGAAACTTTATCTATTCAATATTAGTAGATAAGCTGTTGATTTTTGTTTTCTCTTTGCTTTGACCTTAACTCGTCCCGTTTTCTGTTTTATTTAGTTTCTTTCTTGTTCATGGCTTCATGCTGATAAAATTTAATTGAATTTTGGTTGTAGAAATAAACCGGAGGCGGCTGTGCAGCAACTGAGCCCAAGCCCTAAGAAAAGAGTTACATTTAACTCAAACATCACGACTTACGAGCATGTTCCAGTAGGCGGAAGTACAGAATCTCTGCCGGATTGTACACTAAATGCCGAGGAAGAAAAGCAGGAAGATTTGAAGGCAACATCGAGTCAATCACAGTCAATATCCAGAGATGATAATTCCATCGCATCCAGTGTTGCATCATATCCTCCAAATCACAGGTACCATAATGCAAGAGACAGTGATGACGAGGCCGAAGAATTTGGTGATGACGAGTTAGATGACTTGGATGATGATGATGATTATGACGAAGATGATATTGATGTTAGGACAGCTGGCAAGGAAGTTTGGTCTGAATCGGTTATAACTGCATCAATGGAGTCGAGCACAGAAAACCTTTTGGCAGTAGCCATTGATGAGGAAGTAGTGAGTTCTCTTGTGAAAGCTAGCCCGTCCGATGAGGAAATCACAGCATTTGGATCGAAAACAACTAATGCAAGGGATAGAAGCGATTATATCAACTCAGCGCTCAACCCTGTAGATAACATCACTCAGTGGAAAGTTGCGAAGTCGAAAGTCACAACTGTATGCAAGCCACAGAAGGAGAATTTGACTGCAAATTTTGAGTCCCCTCGTATATCTTTCAGCCCAGAGCCAACTTTTGGGCCTTCACCTTCGAGCTTCAAGTCAAAATCCGGTCGATCGAAAGATGCAAATAATCAAGAAATAGCAGTTGATGCAAGTCTTTCTAATTGGCTGGCTTCTCCTGAAATCACCACCACACCCTCAAAGAAAACTGGTTTTAGTGGCTTCGAAGACAGGCCAATTTTAGGTGCATTGACTGTTGAAGAACTGAGACAAATTTCGGCAACTCCCTCTCCGAGGAAGTCTCCTAGTCGAAGCCCCGATGAAATTCCCATTATAGGCAGTGTTGGGACGTATTGGAATCATTCGAATTCGGCGAAGCGCTCTGATTCATCAGCCTCTTCTTTTAAGGGCATACCAAACACAACTAGCAAATACAGAGAGGTACTTATGAAACGAGGAAATGGTTAAATGGTTTTGTGTTCGTAATTTTTTGTTTGCTTAAAAACTTTATGATAAATGCGCAGGATAAGAGAGTTAACTGGCACTCTACTCCTTTCGAGACGAGATTGGATAGAGCTCTCAATCGAGGAGCTGCTGAAGCCTAGTTCTACTACAGAGCGATTTTAGTGAAGTTTCGATTTTTTTTTTTTCGTGTGGCTATTTCTCGTTTGCTTTAGTTTCCCATATGTGAGTATAGTTTGTTATTGTTTGTGAATGCTATGGGACTTGCATATGCTGCATATATATAATTAATTCATTCTGTATCTCTTTGTATCGTTAAATATTGTAAAACATCACATATGAAATGAATTCGTTGATTGGATTGCTTCGGTTATTGATGTAAATGACACACGTACAATTTCTTGATTCTATTGCATGCAAGAAAATCTTGGGAAAAAAACAAACAATTGTAATGTACGCTTATTATGCATAACATAGCAATAATTTGAAATCAAAACTGCAAAGAGAAAAACGGGGACAATATCAACACTCGACACCACATTGCTTGAGAATCGGTCCAGTTTGTTTGGGCAAGAAAGGATCAATCCGAACCCAAACAAGAGAAAAAATCGAAGCCAAAAGAATCGACCAAAGAACAACAATCGTAGGCGTCCTGTTCTGCCTTCCCATCAAACCCTTGAGAAAAGGATAGAGATGAACAATAACCCAAAACGCAAAGAACAGCTTCCCAAACAGTGGGCCCCACGAACCGTATCCGTTATTAATGGCATCAGCAACTCCAGCCACAACACCAACCATGTTAAGGATGATTAAGGTTGTCGGTGGAATAAGAAGAGTTGTCCATTTGAAGAGATAGAGCTCTCCAAATTCGGCATCGTCGGCCGCTTTTGATGTGACGGTGAAATTTGTGTCCACTCCGGCAAGGACTTTGAGAAGGCCTTGGAAAACGGCGAAAAGATGGGCTGAGACACCACCGATTACCCAAAATTGCTCGTTCCTCCACCAGTCCTCGATGCTGACCCCACTCCACCGGAGCTCGAGAACTCCGGTGACTATGATTGAGAGGAAGAGTGCGATAAACCACACACTCGCTAGGTTATTCAGCTGTGTAAGGAGAACGAGATTTTAGTTAGAAAATATCGAAATTAGTTTTAATTTTGAACATATATGCAATATTTCCACGTCGTTTTTTTCACCGATATTAATAGTTGAAGGGTACTTACAGTGGGAACGATAAATTTGCCGGTAAGAAGACAGACAGCTGGAAGTGTGCAATAGGCTAACAGAGCAATGGAAGTGAAGGGGTACACAACGGTGTTAATATAAGAAAGTCTTTGAAGCCACTTCAATTTTCCACCGAAGCCGTACCAAAGTGGACAATGGCGACTAAAAAAGATCTCGACAGAACCAAGAGCCCATCTCAAAACTTGGTGCAACCTATCAGATAGATTTATAGGAGCTGATCCTTTGAAAGCAGCTCTCTTTGGTGTACAGTAAACAGACTTCCATCCTCTACAATGCATTTTGAATCCCGACAAAATATCTTCTGTAACTGACCCGTAAATCCATCCAATCTGTCAATTCAAAAAAAAAATCAAGAGTTTATTTTTCAAAAGTAAATATTTCAGAGCCATGATTTTTTTTATTTTTTTTTTGGTTGTCAAACGAACCTCTTTGCCCCATTCGGTTTTTTCTTCGTACCCACAGCTAATAACATGAATGGCTTCCTTGATTAACGACGATGGATTATTCCCTTCAGGGAAACCACCATCTTCCATAAGAGTTGAAGCTATGAAAACAGGCGACATTCCGAATCTTTTTTCGAAGTTCTTTTGTGACATGAGTGACGATTTCTCCAATTCATCGTACCCTTCGAGACCTTCTTCAATTTCCTCGAGATCGAAAGCTGCTGCGGACGATTTCCGAGTGTAGTGCTTGCCCATCATTTTCTTCTTATTCTTGCTGTACAATTTTCCGAGCCCGAGTAAAGATTTCAATCCCTTTTTCTTGCCACCCTTTGACTTTCTTGATCCACCGCCACAACAGCAGCAGTACCAACTTGGCCAACAGTCACAAGTCATCTTCGGCCGCTTCTCGGAAGCAGGGGGATCGTACCCGTATAATGCCTGCCTGTTAAATACACAACCGGTGCCAACGTACACGGGCCCTTGGATCCCATCTAAACCTTTCATGTTTATCTGGTAATAAAACAATTTTTTCAATGTCAAAACTTTCCATCTCTGATCTTATAGAATGATTAGAAAAAAAAAAGTAGGGAATGAAATACTGTAGATATATATATATATATATATATATATATATAATAACTTACATCAAAGAATACGACATTGCGATTAGCGTATCTATCATGTCGATCGATACCGTCAAATCTCTGCGGGAATTGGACGTAGCAGAGCTTCTTTCCGATTTGAGGATCCATCAGAAAGCACATGGCTTCTCTAACAGCTTTACTGTTATTGAGGTAGTGATCACAATCCAAGTTCAAGATAAACGGCGCATTTGTGAGAACTGCAGAAACTCGAACCTGTTGATTTTGCACAAATCAAATCTTTTCAGTTCTTTTAAACAAAAAAAGCAGCAAAATTTAACTAATTTGACAGATATTTATTTACCAGTGCATTTTCTGCTCCAGCTTTCTTATGGTGCTGATATCCAGGTCGTTTCTCACGCGACACGTACACTAGTCGTGGTAGCTCCTTACCTTCGATATCGAGCGCACCTTCACTTCCCAAATACACCTACAAAATCAAGAAACTTCATCATATCAGCAAGTTGATGAAGGATTTTGAGCATCGTTTGACGAAAGATTTTATTATATTATCCGTGATATATATATATATATATATATATAGTTTTTAAAAATAAAAACCTGAATCATGCCAGGGTGATCACGAGTATTGTTCCCCGGCCATGGAGTCCCGTCTTGCATAACCCATCCTTCTTCGGGTTTCTTCTGAGCCTTCGCCACTAAAGCATTAATTCTCACCTTAAACTCCTCATATTCTCTCTGCAATAAAATAAACAACTCCGTAAGAATAATCTGATATTTCCATCAAAATAACAAAAAAACGATTCACAAAGTTACCTACCTTCATGGCCCTTCGATCCTTTACGAATGTAGGCTGAACCTTATCTTTCAAGTAGTCCATTTTCTCCGAGAAGTAAAACTCGGGCGCCCTCGGCTCCACACTGTACTTCTTGCAAAACGGGACCCACCGCCTCGCGAACTCAGCCGTTTCAGACAATGCATCGAACAGAAGCATGGATGCACCATCATCCGACAGATAGCAACTCACCTTATCCACCGGGTAATCAACGGCCAGGATCGAAAGAATCGTGTTGGCTGTAATAATGGGAGGTTCCTTAAGCGGATCCACCGAGCTCACGAAGAAGTCGACCGGAGCCAGCCTGTCGGGCTCGCCCTCTCGCTCGAACCTCAACGAGAGGCGATCGAGGTAGGTCTCTCGGTTAATGGGGGCCCATTTGGGAAACTGGTCGAGAATCCAGGATAATCCGAACCATATCTCGCAGATAACGGATATAATCCATAGAGGATAAGCATCTTGTGCTGGGGTTAGGATTCGAAAATGGAAGAAGAAACAGAGGATTACGAAACGAACGACGATTACAATCCGGTAAGGGCTGATTAGGCGGGATGGGATTGGGACTTTTCGCCAGAGGGGTTGTCGGGCTTCAGCTATGCTGAAGAATCAACACAACAACAATAGCAAACAATTGGTACTCAATTTCAGAAAAATTAGGGCACCAATGCAATTTCAATTTCTATCGGCAAAAAAAAAAAAAACTTACAGAAAATCATCGTCGTCGTCGTCGTTTTTGTCGTTTCCTCCGTCGCCGGTTTTGGTAACGAGGCCTCGCTTTTCCTGTCGGGATTTCCATTTCTCCATTCGCTCTTTCCATTCCTCGTTGTCGGGAGATTCCTTTTCGCCTTCAAAATCTTTACCTGTAACTGTTTGTGAAGAACGATTGTTCGTGAGGGGGAGTTGAGTTTTATTAAATATGGGGTTTAATAAGTACTTTGATGAGAAAATTTCGAATTACCACTTCCAGCAACTGATGGAATTGTGTCGCCATTGATGTGAATTTGATTCTGACTGAACTTCACTTCCTGCAGCGGCTAAAAGTAATTTGAATTTCCCGCCTTATTCTATTTATTATTTATTTATTCAAATTATTATGTTGGATCAGAAATTGAAATTAAGAAACCCAATATTCGTTATTCGGCCCATCTTCATATGGGCCCGATTTCAGTCCGAAGATTTCTGATTTTGGAGTAATATTTTTTATTCTGAATTCCGACTATTTCAATTTCGATATTTTTTTTATTTAGTAGTAGTACATACAATACGATTTTAATTTCCAAAAAAAATAAAATCAGTTTTGATATGCATTTTATATTATATGTGAATTAACCAAAAATGGAATCTCCAATTTCGGCCAGTTTTGATTAAAAAAAATTCTCGATTTTCAATTTTTTTTAGACGAAATTGAAATTAGTTTTTCCGTTCCGAATGTACATATTTATTTATTTATTTTGCAATTATTCTAACATTGCTAATTTCGATTGAATAGAATAATTACCGAATGATGAGCGGGATCGGGAGTGTAATCATGGTGATTCTTGAGCTCAATTTGATCTTCAAAATCATCGTAATAAGCTTCTTCTTCATCCCCATCAGCCTTAGGACAACCTTAACAAAAGTACTTACTACACATTAGTTCCTGACCAACATCATTTAATAAAATTTCATTTACATTTAACTTCTTGAAAAAAATATATAAATATTAATTAATTTATAGACCTTTGTGGCGCTTGTAACGAGTGTGGCACTGAGGGCAAGTCTGGTGCCCGTCGCTCCTCTCGTAATCGTAGCAAGGCCTACAAACCGGGAACCCGCACTCGTGACAAGCAACAAACGCCTCTCCACTCTCCTGCAGTATTCCGATCTCGTCCCCACATATCCGGCAAATCTTGGCCGTCGATTCGGGCATTGGATGCCCATCATGCTATCGTCGTAAAACACATGCATGCGTTTAGTTAGTCGAGCATTAATACTTAATTTTTTAAAGGGGATTTGTTTGAGCAAGAAATTAGTTACCTCGTCGGAAGAAGTGTGGAGAACACGAGAGCCGGTGAAGAGGGCAGCCATTGTTGCAATTGATAGTGAAGAATGAATGAATGGGGTGTGCTAGATAAATAAAAATGGGGAGGGTTTTTTGTTAACAAATTAGTGTGTGTTTGTTGAGAGAGGGTACTACACCAGCAAATAGGTAAGGGGTCAATATTTTAATTGAAGGTTTGATTTGAAGAGAAGTTATATTAATTGGTGAGAAGAGGGACAGTGTCTGTTGTTGTTGTTGGTTGCTTCTTCTTTTATTTTTGACACTGATATGCCTAATTGGGCCAACCCAATGGGCCTACAATTTCTTTACCTACTGGGCTACGAGCCCAATATCGAAGACCAATATCACCGAGGCTCAAACACCTTCAAGTAAGGCTTGGGCCCAACAAAGCAAACCCAACCCAATAAACGACATATAAATAGAGGTTTTACTCATTTTATTAAGGTACGTCCTATTAACTGAGCAATACAAAAACGCGTATTCTCTGGACTATTTCTATGATCAGCACGTCTGACTCGAGCGTCTGAGGGGTTTCCGCCGGATCAACCCCCGGCTTAGTTCATGTGTTCTATGATCGCAGGTACCTCAGGATCATCAAGTTGTCAAGCTACTGATCTGCTTTGCTCTCCCAGTTCATTTTCTACACCACCCTAGGTGAGCTATATTTTAGCATCATCAGACACTGTGTAAGAAATATTTAGTGTAATAATATATTGATACCCTGTCTTTGTAGCTTCCACTCTAAGGTATTTTTCATATATATATATATATATATATATATATATATATATATATATATATATATATATATATATATATATATGTGTGTGTGTGTGTGTGTGTGTGTGTGTGTGTGTGATTTCTCAAACAAGACACAAGTTTTGTAATTTAGACTAATTTCTACGCGACGAAGCAATTAAAGATACTCATTCACAATCACAGGTCCCCAAATTATTGAAACATAAGTTCTAAACATTTGTACAAAGCTTCAAAATGAAGAGAAATTCGGGTGGGGTGGGGCCGGAAAGGTAGGTGTCATGTTCGAATCAATTTTTTTTCCACAATACATGTCACGATTGCCTAAGTCAGAAGACCTACAAATTTCGAGCGGAAATTCAAAACAAGTTTGTGAGTTGTGACACTCTTAAACATTCAAATATTGCTTATCGACTAAAAATCTTCACCGAAAAGGAAAAAAAAAGCATCATGCGCCATGAAAATTCATCTAACAAATAGACTCGGAATTTGACCTGCGGGGTCTTGTTCATGTATAGGCATTGATATATATTTTTTGATTACACTGCCTGGGTATGCCCAGCGTATTTGTAAAGTCCGTTTTGATCTATATATTTCACATTTACCGATCAAAAAAAAAAAAAAAAAAAAACAAATAGACTCGGAATTTCAGAGCTCCCTTGTGAAAGCTTACTCTCGAGAGAGCTGGTGAGCCGTTTTATCTGTAGAGTCTTTGATATGATCCAAAAAGACGACCTTACTCGTCCACTTTCGCACGCTTTGTTGGCGGTGAGTCAGATTTTTCACCAGCACTCGACTCGGGATTTTCAAGAACTACAACCTCGGCTGCTTTTTGTTTTGGCGCAAGAATTTCGCACTGCATCTGCCAACTCTTTAAGAGCGTTCTCACCGGCCGAAGAGGCTCCGCCCTTGACCAAGTCAACTGCTTAGTAAATTGGTTTGTCTATTTCTTTCATACACATTCTACATGTGAAAAAGAAAAAAAAGGTTTGGATCAGTAGTTTCCTCCTTTCTTCTTTCTTACAAGAGAAGCAAATCTGTTTAAGTGAAAAATACCAAAACATGGTCAAGATATGAGACACAAACAAAACCAAGTAACACTACATATTTCAGTAAAATCCAAATTGCCTCAAGAGCAAGGCATTTTAATCCAACAAAATCTTGTACATATTGACAACTATTCCGACAGTCGTTCAAGTTACGTTCAACCTACAACTATTCATTTAGTACACTATACAGATGTCGTTTCAGACATTCTCAGACAAACTACATAAGCGGAAAAAATAAAAATGATACGGTATCTTCAATAGCCATGCTTCCTTTTCTTCTGAGCCCTGACTACTGAGAAAGAACTCACTGCATGCCGTGAATTGGCAAGCTCGCGAGGAATCACAGCACCAGAAGATTCTAGAATATCAACCAACTCTGGAAATATTTTCTTATCGTCCTCGTTCACAAACACAATCGCCGCACCATCTTCTCCCATTCTCGAGGCCCTACCAATCATATGCACATACTCTTTTATCGAATTCGGCACGTCAAACACAATAACCTGCCTCACATACAAGAGATCAACTCCTCTGCCCAACACTCCCGTACCCACAATCACACTAACTTCCCCAACCAAAAACGACCTCACTACATCTCTCCTCTCCTTCATTTTTTTCCCTGTTTACATCTCTCCTCTCCTTCATTTTTTTCTCATTCATTTTTTTCTCACCATGGATGGATAAAGCTTTCAGCCCTCTTTCGAAATTGTTGCGGGGTACATCAACACTTGAGGATGCGATAACTTGCTCTCGAAACCATTTTCTCGAAACCATTTTTCATGGCGCAACGGTCTAGCTAAAAGATTTTTTTCTTTTTTGGCTGGATACAAAATTGTAACTCACACTTTTATCTTATGCCAAGTGACATTTCTAACCAATGATTATGATTTATCTTCATTCAACGACTATAGTTTATCCATTAGAAGTATCCATAGAAGTATCTATATATTTTTAGTAAAAAAAAGACTTGGAGTAAGTTTCTAGAACATGGTCTAATCACTAATAAACTATACTTCTAAACATTTGTACAACATGGTCTATATATAATTTCACAAACAAGACATAATTTTCGCAATTTTCACAGATCCCCAAATTATTGAATCATAGATTCTAAACATTTGTACAAAGCTTCAAAAGATGGAGGAATTCGGTGGGGCCGGAAAGGTGGGTGTCATGTTCGAATCAAATTTTCCACAATACATGTGACGATGCCTACGTCAGAAGACTACAAATCTCGAACGAAAATTCAACAAGTTTGTGAGTTGTGACACTCTAACATTCAAACATTGCTTATCAACGAAAAAATATTGAGGGGAAAGACAGAATTTCACAGCTCCTTTGTGAGCTTACTCTTCTAGCCCTACTCGAGAACTGGTGAACCGTTTTCTCTGTAGAGTCTTTGATAGGAACCAAAAAGACGACCTTACTCGTCCACTTTCGCACGCTTTGTTGGCGGTGACTCAGATTTTTCACCAGCACTCGGCTCGGGATTTTCAAGAACTACAGCCTCGACTGCTTTTTGTTTCTCCCCCACTAGCTGAGAAGTTTCTCCCGATGTTTTGGCAGTTTCGCCTTTCGTTTCATTATTCTCAGCTTCTACTAGTAAATTATCTTTGGCGCAAGAATTTTGCACTGCATCTGCCAACTCTTTAAGAGCGTTCTCACTCGTGGAAGAGGCTCCGCCCTTGATCAAGTCAACTCCTGACTTGCACTGCTTCTCGAACATCATCTGAAGATATCTCCCCTGTTCTTCTATTCGAAGCTGTAGATTTCTTTGAATCTGCATAATATTTTTTTTTACGAATTAATATATGAAGTGCACTGCAAAAGTGCCAGCCATTCCCCAGAAAAAGGCTTAAAAGTCATTCCAGAAACTTAAAACTTATTTCACATTCAAATAGTAGAGGTTGAAATTGTACAATTTCATAATCGGGAAGAAATTTCGCAACAGGGACATCCAATATTCCAGAGAATATCATATAGCAAAAGTAGAAATTATATCATGTCTTTTGTACATAATTTTTCTTGTCTTCAATATCTGTGGCAGTTGCTGTATGCAAATTGCGGTTTCCTATAATGTATCAAAATAATATAATGCTAGACTTAAAAACCATTGGCTGCTTTAAATTTGTTTTAACTCTTCATAACATACCATCTACTAGCTAACAAATCAATTTAGTAAATCCTTCATTTTTAGACGGTTCTCTTAAAAAAAAAACCATACCTCAAGTTGTTCATGAAGCCGCTTCTGAACTTCCATCTGCAATCGCAGTGCTTCAGTGATCTCAATACCCCTGTTTTAAAACCAGAGACTCATAACAATCAGCAAGAATAACATATGGCATAGAAAACAGCCAAACACAGGAAAAATAAATATATTAAGCTACATTTTTTTTCAAAGGTTCACGTTCAATAGAAGAAATTAATGCAATTGGATTGCCGAAATGGAAAGTGCGAGTGAGGAAGAGGATATTTGACCAGCATCGCCAGATGAAGCTAGACAATAGAACAAGAGTTCGTGTCTTTACATGAAAGATTAAACGTGCAATACCAAAACAGAAGGCAGAAGATCTGGTCAGGGTTCAATAGGAAATTAACAGAAACAAAGGGATACAAAGATATTTAAAAGCGAACATATTTTTCGCTGACATATTCGACAATTTCAAAATGTTCCAATCGAGCAACCATATTTGGTCCTTTTTAACAGTCATCCAATCATTGTTATGGTCATTTGCCCATCCGACTTTAACTAGAACATTAAAAAAAAAAAGGAGCTATGAAAACTAGTCAACAGATATCAGAGTTAATAGTAATACCATCTAAAAGTTTCAACTCAACAGAATACATCAATTACAAGACGTGATTTAACGAAATAAATCATAGCATTTCAGTTTTTAGAATTCATCACAGAACATTTAAACTCACGTTTTTAAGTCCAAGGATGATAAATCTTCAATGGAGGCAAGTTTTTTCTCTGAAGATTCTGCAGAAGAAAACATTAGGCAATGATCAATATTCTCTTCTATGCACATTAATTCATGGAATATTTGAGAAGAGTAGAACCTAGCATCCGAGGTCATCGCCAAGTGAAAAAACAAAGAACAAGAACATGGAGTTCATATTCTAATGTGTACTTATTATAGGTCACAGACCACCACAAAAGAAACGAAAAATAATGGCTACCAAGCAATTTCATCGATTTTCAAGAAAATTGGCAGAACATGTATATAGCACTGCACCGTCGTCAGTATCACTGTTGTGAAATGGATGATGAACGAATGGGTTACAAAACATGAAGAAAAGGGTATACCTTCTGGTGTCTCTGGTTTGAATCTAGCCGTCCGATACTTCTGCAGTTCAGAAATCGGTATTAAGAAGAGTGAGAATCGATGCAGGTTTAGGAAAAGGTCAGAATATTCCATACCTGCAAGTGGCTTTTCACATGATAAATGGTCAACCCATCAACTTTCATTTGTTTCAGGACACCCTTGGGAGTAGCTCCTGTATCAAAGATACAACAAATGATGTTAAGTAGCAGCGCAGTGATTTTACATCAGGTTACTTGAATCAGTGAAGCAAGCAAAATAAAATTACTTTCACTGCCACCAAGCTTGTTGACTGCTTCGACAAATGCCTCATGAAGTTCTGGCGTCCAACGCATGCGCTGCTTTGCTGGAGCAGCATTTGCAGATGATGATTGACCGCCACTGGTACAAATTTCTCCAGGTGTGCCGGGGAGGTGTAGGGATATCTGAGACTGATTCATGGAGATATTTGGTGACTGTTCAGAAATCTGATACGATGGCTACAGTAAAACAGATAAAAGAAGAGAAAATTTATGTCATTGACTCAATTGAACGGTAGTCAGTATATCATACGCAGAAAAAAAAAAAAAAAAAAAAAAAAAGTTTACCTTTGGTGCTGGATCTGCAACAGTTGCATCAGCAAGAATCCCATTCCAATCAGTAGCCAAAGCATCATTATCAGTAATAAGCTGATCGGCCCAATCCTGCCAATCACTTGGTTTACCGAGATCCTCGGAGGGAACGGGAATGCCACCATTGGTACTAACATCTAGTTCATTATTCAGGATTGTGGTATTCATTGGAAAATCAAGAAAATCGGGCAATGTTTCCGTGCACCACGAATCATTGTTTTCTTTGTTAAACTGACTTGATGCAGTGGATTGAAGAACCCGAGAATCAACAGGATGTGCTAACATAACCGACTTCCCGCTACTTGTTGATTGAGAAATGAAGGGGGGTTGCCTTGGATGTCTCTCTTGTTGTTCTATAGTTGAAAAATGAAGATTGGTAGAAAATCCTGAAGAAGAAGAAAATATATGCCCAACAACCCCATTGTTGGAAGACAATGGAGCTGGCTGACGATGCATGAGTTCCCTCTCTACGGAAATGTACTGGGAGTCGGAAAATTTCGGAGACGACTCTTGCAGAGCAGCTGGACGAGCAGGAAATGAAGGAGAGAGTGCTGCAGAGGCCCCAAAGCTACTAATCTGTCTGCCACCTGATCTTTGAATAGATAAAGCTGGTCTTGCTTCCATTTTTGGCTTGTGTTTAGTGAACACCTACTTCAATATAAGCTATTAGAAACCAGCTCAGATTCTTCAGTCACCTGTTTAACTGAGCCACAAGAACATACGTCGATTTCATATCTCAAAGTGTTAAAAAAACACATTTATACCACGTTTACTAAAAGAAAATGAATGAAAATTGTGACTTATCAATGTCAGACTATTTTGAATACTGTGAACAACAGATCTAAAGAGACGTAACAGATGTAACTTGCAAAGCATAATTTGAAGGTTTCATGCCTCATGAAGGTGGGCAAAATCCCTCACATCTAGAAGGTGAAATAAAACATTTCAATTGGCAAATAAGATCACTAAAGAACAGACGGCACGATATTAACGTGATCGGAATCTGTTCATTTATACAAGTCCAGAACTCCATTCCACCATAACAACAAGGTCTTACATATTACCAAAGCTTTTTCAAAAAAGGAAACACCTAAGCTGTACATCACCGACAAAAAAACTCGGAGAACGAGCTGCGATAAGCTAGATGGCGTGCTTGCAAACAAACCAATATTAGTCTAATCACGTGTTTATAAAAATTAGTCAACAAAATCTATCATCTCAAACTCATGATGAAAGATGATTCAATTGCAGAACCGAAACCATGCACCAAGGATAAATACATTAATCTCAAAAACAAAAATTAGGTCTACAGCCTTGGCAGATCAAATCCAGTGGGTAAATGACGTCAGAATAATACAACAGTAATCCTAAAAAACAAAAATATCTGCCGTAATCAATCAAATAATGTTTTTTTTAGAAATTAACAAGAAAAATCCTATGTTCATAACAGCCAATGAACACCACTTTCTCATAATCAAAATAAGAGATTAAAATTCAATTATCAACTCGAAGTCAGCTTTTGGAGAAAAAAAAAGCCCTGAAAATGGACAAATTGCAGCAAATTCAACAGAAACAACCAAAATTAAAAACACCTTACGTTATAATCAGAAGCGAACTCATGAAATTCAGCCACAATCCCGTGATGGCTGAGCTATAAATTAATTGTGTTGGAACGGCACGCGCGGCCTGTTTGAGGGAGGTTCCGTCACCGGCGAGTGGACAAAAAGGGAAAAATGTACGGTGACAAGTGCGCCTTTATTTTGATGTCTTCTATATGAGTTTGGCTTCATCCGATTCATGTTTTTTTTAACTCGGGGGGTATATATCCGTCTCACGCGCTTCCTGTGGAGCGTGTAGTTTTATCCCCCTTTCATTTAATTAAAATAGTATATAATATATTGTTCAATGTAACGATTAATTAATCTAAGGTTGTATTTTTGATGTGAGGAATTTGGAATTAAACTATTTGGAGAAGAAATTTTAAATGATTCTAAGTGCAACGAATTTGAAATTCATCACGATAATTCAAAAAAGAGTGCTAAAGATTTGGTATTCATTACAAAATATTATTTATCAAACCACCTTCATACATTTATTATTATATATAAATATATAAATTTGAAATCCTCTCTTTAAATTCTTATAATTGATTTGTGATTTGCAATTTTCTTGACTTTTGCCTAGTTTTTTGCATTTTCTTTCAATTTCCAAAGCCATTATATCGAGACGTAATAATACCAAATACGAAAATTGTAGTCATTTGGAATAATTTTCTTATACAACTTAAATCAGCCAAATAATACTAATAATTATGTAAAAAAAAATAGAAAAAAAATTAATAAATAAAGAACTAAAACATTGATATATGTTTTGGGTGTGTAGGTCCCACATTAGTTTGTGGATTCTGATTGGGCACTGAGAGTACCTCCAATTGATGTGCGTGTGGACAAAATAATTGACAAATATTTTAATTTTTATGATATGATTGATATTATTTAAATATTATTTTTTTAATAAATATTGTATGCTCTTTGAGCAGGCTAAAAGGGCAACCGTGAAGCCACTGTTGATGGTCCAATGGACCTCTTTTTTTTCTATTGGCCCACTTTTTATTTGCTTCCTCCTATTAATAATATTGAGATGGCCCTTCTCTAATTTTGTGCTGACTATGATAGGTATATATAAATTGCAATAAATTTTTTTTTTTTGAGTGAAAATTGCAATAAATATTAATGGACAAGTTCCCTTAACTTTTATTTATTTATTATATGCTCAATAGTTAATTTAATTTATTATATACTACACTATTAAAATAAATAAACAATACTGAAGCTGTGTTCGGTAGTATTTTTTAAGTGAAAAAGAAGTGTAGGAATAATAATATAAAGTGAGGGACATTTCGAACATTTCGCATGGAGAGCTATAGGTCCCCTGAAACTAAAAACTAAGAGTGCAGTGTCGAAACTCGAAAGTATACTAATATAGACTTTCTAGTATATGAAATTAGCACAAAGAAATTTACGAGCTAAAATCTCATTATTTCTTTTAGGATAAATTACAATCAATCATGAGATAAGGTCAAATTACGAAAAAATAGCTCATGTTTGGGTAATTACAACTATCCATCAACTATGGATTTTCTTTCACGTCCACACTTATGGTGTCAAATTCAACATAATCTTCTTAATTTCGTTTTAAATGTTCACTAGTTTGTACTCGCTTGGTGCAAAAATGCGATGCACCACAATCTGATATATACAACTCAAAAAATACATTTTATAATCATCTTGTTTCAGAATGTGGAGCTTGAATGGATAAAACTAATACAAACTTGAAAATATTCCATTTAATCTATAATATTCCACTAAATTTGACACCACACGAGTGAATGTGTAAGAAGATTCATAGTTGATAGGGGATTATAATTAATCAAAAATGAGGAGATTTTTCGTAATTTGACATTACCTCGTGGGTTGACCGTAATTTACTTCTTTTTTTTTTTTTTTTTTTTTTTTATAATAAACTCTAAAAATTATTTAACAAGTAATATATCTTGAGTCATTATGAACGGCCTCCAATCGTATCCGTCCATTCTGAGTAAGTAAAATCTACTCTATTTCAATAACTAGGGTTTTAAGGCTCTTCGATCAAAATTAGTTTTACACCTTGTTCATCAATTCTTCCACACAAAACCTCTGCAAAAATGGACAAGAGCATGCTTGGAGATCTGGACGCTCTTCCAGAGGAAGATAAGCTCCGTATGTCCGCCATGATCGACCAGCTTCAAGTTCGCGACAGGTAATCCATCGAAAAATTACCTTGTTGATTTTGAGCTCTGAAATGTGATAGTTTGCGCGTATTTTCAATTCATTGATTCCGTGAAAATGCTGTGATAATCGTAGTGAGAGAAATAAGTGTTTCAGAAGATTTTCATTAATCGAATTGAAAATTTGTAGAAGTTGTGTTGAAATTAATGAGATTTTAATGGAAAAATTAGTCTTCCCTGCTTTATGGTTCAACAGATGGATCATCTGTTTTGCCACTTTTTTGTATCTGTTGATGATTTATTGAAATCGTATTTACTATAGAGTTTGCCATGATTAATGCGTAATTCAAGCGGTAGAAGAAGCTGTTTTTTTTTTTCTGGTGTAATACCGAGAATTGCAGTTCTTTGCCGGTAATCAATGGGAAAGAAACAACCGAGAATCGAGATTTGCTAATTGATGAAATAAAAGTTGCCTAGAGTATGAATAATTCTTCGCGTTTCATGCCTCTGTAGTTAAAGCTGCCACGAGTTATGAATGATTGTTAACTGAACAACGCTCATCCCTGAACACCTGGCAAATTCTCGAACTTGGATTTTTGGTGAAATGTTAATCCTCTTTCTTATTCAGATAGCTTGACGTGGATATGGCTATGTAGTTCTTCTTTTTAGTTGCGTCTTTTCTTTGTATAACTTGATTTGTTAGACCACCAAGTAAATAGATATGTTTAATTCATTTACACAATCGTGGTATGGGCTGATCTTCTTCTAGCAATCTTGATACGATGTTTTTAGTTATTCATGTGAAACTACTCGATTTACTTCTGCTTTCTGTTCCTTTTTTTCACCTGAGAATTTACTTTTATTCTTGTAGCAGTTTGATCGCAAATGATTGTATCTTCATTTATTTTTAGTTACTGCAGTGTTGAAATGTTTGAATTTGTTGTACAGTTTAAGGATGTATAATTCATTGGTGGAAAGATGTTTCACTGATTGTGTGGACTCGTTCCGGCGCAAATCTCTCGATAAGCAAGAGGAGACTTGTGTTCGTAGATGTGCTGAGAAGTTCCTGAAGCATTCCATGCGTGTTGGCATGAGATTTGCAGAGCTCAACCAAGGTGCTGCTACACCAGATTAACGAGATCTGTCATAATCTTATTCTTCAATAGCATTTGCATTGAAAAGTTGAAGTTGAAACAAAACACTATTTTTTGGGTTTTTTGGTATTATTTTCTTTTTTTTTTTGGGAGAAAAAAATAAGATGAAAACGGTCCTCTTGTTTTGTTTTTTTTCCGTGGCAAAAAAATGCATTGCTATTTGCTAGTGCTTTTATAGCTTATGCTTACTGAGATTGAAGTTGCAACAGACATCAACGATGTTGTACTGATCAATTTTTTTCTTAACCTAACAGCTGTATGTAGTTGAAGTAATGTTCTGCTTTTTCGCCTTTATACAAGTGCTAAATACCCTGATTAAATTATGTTACTTTCCCTCTTCGTAATCTTTTTTATCAACGATTATACAAATCGAAAGCTAACCAATTACAGCAAAAACGGCCAAAACAAACTAAGTAAAAGTGGTTGTTCTTGATGTGGCATGGGATCTACTGACATGGAAGATATAAAGACACCAAATTCTCTCTGCCACCTCACCTGCAAGTACGAGCAAGAAAAGCCGGTCACGGTTTACAAGTTCGACGCTCAATTCATTCAGAGTTTGAAAGTAAGAAAACAAACATAGAGAAATATGAAGAGAAAACAAAGAGACTCACATTCCCTGTGCTCTACTATATGCTCGGCTGCATCAACTCTACAACTGCAATATCTACACAAAAACGAAAACATAAAAACCTAAACAAAAGCTAAAAAGATTCGTACGTACACAGATAATGTTTATTAACAGAAAAATGAGAGGTTACAACGACAGACCTCGTCGCAGTACAAGTTCCTCTAATTTGACCCTCAAGCTCATGAAGATAGGATCTGAACAACTGTGACCTGTAATCGAACAGTACATACCAGAAATACAAATGAAGATGTTATAATATGAATTTAGCGAAGGGAAAGCATTTGGCCGAAGTAAAATAATTTGAGAAACGTAAATGTACCATGAAGGAATTGCAACTGCTGCAAGGACAGGTGATAGTTTCCACAGTTGGTTGAGTTGTCTGCTAAGCAACACTTCCAAATATTCTACAACACTTTTCTCCTGGTTTAAATCGACAGAGTTGATGGTTGAAAATAAGAACTCTAATAATCTCTATCTTTCAATAATTACTAGAGAGCGTACATCACAATCATTGAACTGATCATAAGGCAGCTCAAGAGATGAATAAAACCGTAACAAGTGGGATGCTTCGATTAAAAAGATTTAGTGCTCGTAAAGAGTGGGTCCCACTAAAAACAGCAGACTGAAGCACGTCTTCCCAGCAAGTGAGTAAAATCCAGCCCACAGACTTCTTATTCGCCAATACATCCAGAAAAAAAGGCATCCAATAACAAAATGTACCTTAGGATTTACGAGACCTTTTAGGGGAAGGTTAACAGAGTTTCCTGGCTGTAAGTTGAACACTTGATGATAGAGCATCGAGACGGTAGGGGAATCGTATGAAACTGACATCAAGTGTTCAATTAGAGCACTCCATCCATCTGCAATACATCCTAATAACAATAGCTCCTGCGAATGACAAGAAATATAACTGCATATTACGAGAAATGAGGAAATCTTTCGAATTTTTTGAGGTAATTTTTTTTTCCCTGGCTTACTATTATTTCACACGTATCATCGTTCTCAGCTGAGGTATCAAGTCTTTTAAACGTTTGAGCCCATTGATCTTCAGGCGCAGAAAAAATTAAACTGGCACCAGATAGTAGCCTTATAGTACGCTTGTCGAGCATATATGATAGGCTTTTCGATCTCCAGCCACTCCAGATAACTGAATCAACTGGCAGTTCCTCTGCACTTCAGATATAATAGCAACAAACGAGCATTAAAACCTACCTTAAAACGGACACAATCGTTCCCTGATTGAAAAGAAAGCATATACGGCTATCTTAAGTGTTCAAAAGAAAAATGTACTGGCAATTAGTACGACAAACACCAGCTGCTGGTAGCTTGAATAGTAATTAAATTTTCAGCTATAAACCCAAGAATCGGATACGTTCACTCGTAAATTGGAAATAACCAACAAGTATAATCCCAATTTACAATACCCTCAATCAAGAGCCAACTTAGAGAATGACAACTCGATATAGGTTCTCACGTATTTCCACATTTATGCCTTCTAGAACAGTAAAGGAGGCTTAATAATGGAAGCGCGACCACATCGCAAATTAAAAAAGTTGAGGAATTACATTTGACACGCCGAATGTTTTCTTGGTTCTGTGTTCGAGGTACATTCCACCTCATCATTCATGCTTTGTCCAATAATTTTCGAGAGTTTTTCCAAACCAGTCTCCACTGCAGACGAACACGACACTGAAAGCTGCCTTCGTCCTAGTTGCCGAACAACCGACGCGCTAAACTCCACATCACTTAAATCGTCGCGTCTCCCACTTCTAACAGCATCTTGATATGGAATATTGGAATCCACCACGAAATTTCCGCTCTCACTTAAACTCGGCGCATTCAACGGGATTCGCATTAACTTTTCAACATACACATCAACGCAATCATTATCTAGCCTCTTACTAAAATCCATCTCGACAGATGCACTCATTATAGCTTTTAAATGCGAATCCCTCAGAGGTAAAGTAAGAACTAAATGCTCCAACAGAAGATCCCTCGATCGACCAAGGGTACTGCACGACAAACGAGCAAGACCCTGCTTAAAAAAAACATTAAAAAATCCAGCTAAATACATTAAAGAAAAACTAAATCAAGAAATAAAAAGAGCTACAAAGAAAACTTTTAACCTGAGGGAAATGAGGATTGCATGTTAATTCATATAAAGCAGCATCTAGCTCTTTAACAGAGGCTTCGTAATCAATCGAACTTGTTAGCTTCTTCGACACCTAATCGAACACATGAATAAATATTAATCTAATATTAAAAAAATTAAAAAAAAATTTAACAATCAACATCATGTTAGAGCTCCAACTTTCTTCGTTCAAATTCCAGATTATTCTATCAGAACTCAAAACCATAGAACAAATTATAATCGAACGAAAAATCGGGAACCGCCGCTTACATTCTCGAGAAAGAGCGCCCAATGGAAACATTTGATGATGTTGTGGGAGTCCCAGTGCGCGAGGCGGCCGCTTGATTGATATCCAGAAGCCAAAATCAACATATCTATGAAAGTTTCAATCAATTTTATCAGATCTGCCATGGATGATTCAGGGTAAGACCAACCCATGTAGAAATTACTTGACCCGAATACCGATTCTCCTCTTCCGATTCTACTGTTCAATTACAAATCTACAGTCTAACCAACTGAGAGAGTTTCTGGAATTTTCCCGCCTTGCAATGAATCATTATTCAGAAAATTTTCAGATATTTGGGCTCGGCCCATTTTCAGTTACGTGTTAGCTAAAGGCCCGGCCCAATTGTTTAGATTAGAGGACTAAAGCCCGTAGTGAAATAAACTGGCGGGATTTAAATTGTTTTGTGAGAATTAAAAATTCATGGCAATTTAATCTTTGCAAAAATCAATATTTCATATTTTAGTTCATAAAAAAATTCACTTGTATCCAAATTTGGATCTATGATCTTTGAAAGTTTTATTCTTTATTTATTTATTGTTTTTGTGAAAATTTTGATCTCGTTCATCATCTATCATATTATTTAATTAGGATGAAATTCACATTCTTGCATGAAAAGGGGAGATTTAACAACCTCTCTGCACGAATATACGAATATTTGACGCTACACCTAGTGAATTTCGTTGCGTGTATATTTCAAAAGTGTCATATTACACCATCTATGTCCTATGATACTTCATTACCAAGTCCATTGGTCAAGACAAAATCGGAGACATAACTAAAAAACAACACACGGTAACATCAAACTTCGTTCGCATAGAACTTAAATAAGCTAAGAGCACCTTCAATCAGAATAAAGAGTAATCCGGATATGAAGTCAAAAAAGCAGTATCACAATAATTAAGCGAATCCAGATAAGAAACGAGCCCAGTTCTTACAAAAATCTGATAGAGAATAACAGCATTCATTCCTCAACATTCAATAGTCGAAAGATTCAAAATCACAGAAACAGGCACAAAACTAAAGGGAATTGCAGCAAACTTCTACGTCTCGTCTAGACAATGGCGTTGGCGGCACTTGCAATCCTAGGCCACAAATCAGCACACTCCTTTCCAATAGGACCGGTGATGGCAGATCCTTCATATAATAAAAGCAGCGCAAGAAATATAAGACACAACTCGAAGACAAAATCAACAACGATACATTAACGATAATTTCGAAAAGAAGTTAATCTACGATTAATACCTTTCATTTCACCCTTAGGATTCACAATAACCCCAGCATTATCTGTATACACAAAAGAGTTTAAGTTACATTACTTAACTGAAATGCTAAGCACTATAAAATGACAGAAAGTTTGAACATCATTCATTCGGTAAGATACATAGCAAAAAACAAGTTTCTCCACAAAAGGACCACACGCGAGTCTTGCTATCGTTGTATCTATATGTTTAGAGATGATCGTGGATTAAGTAAATAATGAAAATTTCAATTCTAAGCTAATAAAAAAACTCTACAGCAGGTAATTAGAAAATGATGACGAGACGGCAATTAAAAATGAACTAATACCATCTCTAGCTTTCGAGCTTCATAGGAAATGTATCGATTATGAAATATATGAAAAGAAAATAGGCTGCAACATTGTATTACAAATTACAGGCCCCCATTATCATATTTATAAACACCACATAGAACAGCTGTTTAAGACGACAGAAATTAAACGATTTAACACATAGATCCAAATGCAAGCGATACGAGCACCGCTAACTAAGCACATATCAAACAAACCATCACAGTTCACACAATAATCATACTCTACAACAGCATTCACAATTGAAATAAGATGAAAAAATCAAAAAAACATATTAAATCTACCTTCGAAGTACATGAAGACACCGTCCTTTCGGCGCCACGGCTTGCGCTGGCGGACGATGACGGCGGGCATGACCTTCTTACGGAGCTCAGGCTTTCCCTTCTTCACGGTGGCCATGACCATGTCGCCGACGCAGGCCGACGGAAGCCTGTTCAGGCGACCCTTGATCCCCTTCACTGAAATGATGTACAGGTTCTTCGCCCCGGTGTTGTCGGCGCAGTTCACCGTCGCCGCCACCGGCAAACCCAGCGACATCCTGAACTTGTTACCGGCCGATCCTCCGCGCCCTGCGATCACACAGAATCATAAGATAAACACCACGTATTCGGATCGTACTTTCCGATTTGGAAAATGTGAAGAGAAATGAACAAAGTTTGGGAAATTGATCTGCCGTACGTACCTCGCTTCGACATTTTCGCAGGATCTTCACCCCTCTCTACTCTCACCCGAAACTGTATGAGCAGCTAGGGTTTTATATCGGCTGTTAAAAAAAATGTTTTTAATTTGGGCTAGGGTTTTTATTTAATTGTGGTCTTACAGATTTACGGGATGAAAGATACTAGGCCCGATAATAATATTCTTATTTAATTATACGGGCTGAAAGATATTAGGCCCGATAGTAGTGTTAATTTTATTGGGCTTCTTAGCTAAACCGAATGTTTATTTTTTTTTACTTTTATTTTTTATTCTTTATTTTTTATAAAAGCTTTTATTAAATTATAACATAATTCAACTTTAAATTCGAACTTTAATTCAACGAAGAGAGTAATTAGTAAAAAAACAAAAAAATAATTAGTTGTGTTTTATTGAATATTTTTCCTAAAATAAATATATGTTTTAACTCCTAAACTTGTGTCCACTTCAGGTAAATACAATTTCCATTTACAATATGGGAATAATTAAAAAGAAATTGATTAATTGGGTTATAAGAATTTATCAATACAAAAACAATTTGACAAGCACGAATCCAAATGTGTAAGGTAGTAAAATGAAAAATCAGAGCATCATAAAAAATTTGCTAACAACCAGAGATGAGTACTACAACTATATTAGCTCGGGGATAAAGATACAATGATACATCATTTCATTCTCTAACCATTTTTTTCGCTTTCGATGGCTCAAAAATTACACGAGCGTACAACACAGAAGAATCGTTTCAAGTTTCGATGCCGAGGATGGAGAAGAATCGACACATGCTCATCTTCTAGAAGATCTTGATCCTACGATAGACACAAAATCAGATGGTTATGACTTAAGAAGCATCGATGGCATTATTACGAAAAATGTGGACTGTGATGTAATTACGCTTACTAGATCGCTTTATATTTCGGCACGACTTGCTTCCACAGTGACAACGAAATGCCTTAATCGGGTGTTCGTGGTCATCAAAATCAATGCCATAATCCTGAAATCAATTGTAATATATATATACATATCTTCTCAGCAAAAAAATAACACTCGATCCAGGATTATTCTTTAATGCACGACTAAGTTTTAGAGAGATGATTGAAATTTTTTAAACAGACTTACCCAATTGAGTTCTTCCATGGCTTTCACTTTTCTTGTAGTGAAGAATGCGAGCTGAAAGACAAGATCCAATCATACATAATCAGAAAAAAACTTGAAGTCGGACAAACTTAGAAAAAGTGGAGGTAATTGCATACGTGATAATAGTGGTGATCGGGATTCTCGACTTCCACTGGAATCTCGACTAAGTTTGAATCAAAACATCTGGCACGGTTTCAGAAAACAGAATAAGGACATTAAGAAATCTGCAATTAAATCAGAAATAGAAAGCCTCTAGTTGATCGGTCGCGATCTCATGATTGTTGCAAATCAATGGTCATGGTTAAGTGATCGTTGTGAATTGTTGATTCAACCATTTAAATCTTTTCAAAAAAAAAAAAAAAGGCTCCGGAACAGTGAACGAGCCCAAACTAGCTGGTTCCGTCCCTTGGCCATGTTAATGCAGCAAATGCATAATCTTAACGCAAGTGAACTTACCTGTGGTTAATAAACCTAGCTAGATTTCCGTAATATGTAGCATCTAAGCAAAGAGCTTCTTCATCTTTCAGCACTCCTTCTGCACACCAATCAGCATCAAGAAGCACGGGATATGAATGTTTCTCCCCCTTAGGACTCTTTAAAACACGTTCAAATAGCTCTGCATTGGTCAAAACTTCTCCAACGTACTCACAAATAAATGCACCTTTTGGCAGGTCCTCCAGAGTACGTAGGCCCCAACCTTTTCCTTGAGGAGTCATAAACACCTAATAGCACGCAAATTAATTATAAAAAAAAAAAAAACAAGTGACTGTTAACAACTCCATAAAATTAAGTGCAGCTGATTAAAGTAATACCTGTAACTTGCGAGTTATTCCTCGCTGTACCACCCGGTTGCCACATTCTTTATGACAGCCACATTTCCACCAACATTCTTTTATAAACTTTCTTACGAGATGACCTTTGCAAGGTTCGATAACATCCTCGCATTTTGATCTTTCCAAAGGACATTCCTTGCAGAAATACTGACAATGTTTTTTCGGGTTGCGGTTCATGGAAATACACTCTTTAAGAAATTCCTCCCGAACAAGACCATCTGTGGTGTACGCAAACTCGCCTCCAGTTTCATGTGAACATGCACAAGGATGGGGTAGCGACAGACAATCACCAGAACAGGTACCACAGCAAATGTTATCTCCAATACGAGCTAGAGAGAAATTCACGTATGCATTTTGGAATGCTACATTTTGAGGTATGTAGCGGAAAAATAGAGGACGCTCATCATTGACCTCATTCACCATTGTAATTACAACATTTTCTAGCCCATTAGCAATGTCAGCAACATCATTAAGTGACCTTGTAATTTCAGGAGCAACTTCCAAGCTCGGTCCATCAATTTCTTCGGCACAATTTTCTTCGTTTTGCATATTTGTCATTATTTCATCTCCAGCATCTATCTTGTTCGGCAGTGGTCCATTATTTGTGCCGTTGCAATTTTGTATTTTGGGCTGAGGTATCCTGGTACTAGAACGGCATTTTTCACCTACAGCATCCATTTCAGAAGATTTACTCACTGAATCAATGGTTGGAGTCACATTAAGGGTTTTTGGTGATTGACTACTGGAGTCAGTTCCTAACTTCAGAAAGCATTGGCACGTTTCTGTCATAAGTTTCGTCATAGAAATGTACGGGTCCGAAGTTTTGTGTGATCGAAGACATTTATCTTCAACAGATTTTAGAACTGCTTCAAGACTAGGCATATGGAAGTCAGCACTTTCAGAAGCGAAGCCACAGGTCAAATAGATTTTCACCTCTCCACAAGTCGAGGAAGCAATCTCTAGATTAGAAGACCGTGCACCTGAGACCATTGCCATCTCATTATTGTATCGTGATTCATTTAGCATGGAAGAGTCGGTAGATGTTTCCTCTTCACTCACAGATTCCGTTTCTGATGGTTCAGAACTACAGTTTCCTCTATTCGATGAATCTCCTTCATTTGATGTATCTGTAAATTTTGAACTAGAATTGTCAGAATGGATAAGGCATTAAAAAATTCTGTAACACTAAGATAAAGTAACATTATAGGAAATAATATTGTGTGATAAATCATCAATGTGTTATTATTATACTTGGTACAATAACCTTCTACAAATATAACTAGACATCTCAAGTAAGACACGATAGGGGAACTCCAAGGAATGACATAGGAGTAACACGATAAATACATACCTCCACATTCCGCAATAAAAGTTGAAAATAAAATATTCAACTAGAAAAACTATAATAACCATACTCTCCTTAATAACAATTGCATATCCCCAAGGACCAACAGTTGTCTAAAACGTACCAACTACATAGATAAATTGTTAACTATAGCAAAAGAAGATCCTTGAATCACACATCGTGATGATTATTGACAATCCAACAAATAGAAGAACGTAATATTTGAATAAACTCTGAAGTGTGCAGACAGAAAAGCAAAAGCATACCCGGATGAACGTTCGCACCAGGAACCTCTAAACTCGGCACGTCACTAGTGATTGGCTCATCTTTAGGCTTAATTAAATCACAACTTGCATTGCTCTTGTTTTTAGGTGACAAAGGAATGCTTGGCTCAGTCTCAGACTCTTTTAGAGGTACAGCATGGGATGAACTTTCAGGAGCTCGCCGCTTCTTCCTGGATGGAGTGTGAACATAGACAACTCCTTTCCCTCTTTCTCTGAGCCTCATTGGATGAGACTGTGATCCGTATTCAATTCTTGATCGGGTCTTTCGCTGACTTCCAGTGGTGCTACTGGGCCCGCTTGGATCACATCTCTCATGAACAACCAAGGGTTCGGGAGAAATAGGTTGTTTTCCTTTACTTTTACAGACTGATTCTGATGTGGCAGCCCGTGTATGAATTGTTGTGTTTTCTTCGTTGTGCTTAGGTGACTCCACCATGACTTCTTTTTCGTTTAACTTGGGGGTATTAGCCCCATCCAGTTCTTTTTTAGACTTTACAGGTGCAGTTCTTTGCTTTCCGGCATTAGACGTATTCAAAGAGGAAGTTTGGCCATCTTGGTATCTACGTCGCAGCCTTTTTAATGGTTGTTCTGGCTCTTCAGTTGCATGAACTTCTTCTTCCAAATTGTCCTCTGTCTATTTAGGAGGATTAAGTCATTGTTTAGTGCCACACCTTTTAAGAAAAATAACAGTGAAAACTGATATTGTATATAAAAATTTATCACCAAAAACTTGGTAAAAAAAAAGGGATTAGTAGCTGTAATAGATCACCTACTTGAGCACTCTCAATCTTCTTTGACTGCTCTGCTACCTGATAAAATGATACGAATCAAATTACTATCGCTTAAGTTGCCTTAGTAATTGGGCTAACGTAGGCGAAAAAGATATCAATTATAAAAGTGCAACTACTATTAAAATATTGGTTTGCTAAATACAATTACGGAGCAGATGACGTACTTCATTATTCACAACCTTCTTTGGAAGCTCTTCTGCCTGAAAGATAATAATGTAGAATTAATATCTCAGATTGATTTACAGTAGTTACCAACTAAACAAGAAGGGTACGTGAATTTAGCCTGCAACACATACTTTCGATTCATCTCTCTCAAATATCACATCAGCAAGAGCTCTATAATTTTCCTGTTCAATAAGCGCCCAATTTTTATCGTACAATTTTAGCAAAGACTTCAGTACTGGCTTCACCTTATCTTCGGAGATTCCAATAGCCTTCATAGCACGAAAGGCATTTGCAACTCTTTCTTTTGTTTCCTTATTGCTCATTTCAACAGCTTTTATATTACAGATTCTGACCCTTCCAATAAACAAAATATCTTCCATTTGTCAGAAAGCAGAATAATGGTAGCACTGAAAAACAAAAATCTGCTAAACTTGTAATGGGAAAAAAATCATCAACTGGCCTAGTATATGCAGTAAAAGCACGAGAAACACCACAATATAAAATAATCATCACTGGTTCATGCAGAATGTCAAAGCTTATCTTGCCATATAGCAGTTACCACTTCGAGCCTGTAATATAACTTCATCAATGCACTCAGTTTGAGGTTAAATTTAGTTCAATAACAAGGGCACTACGCAATGTGATTGGCTTCAAAAACCAATACAAACTGCGGAAAATTATGAAGGATAGCCTCTCACTGGCACCACTTGATCTCTCTCTCTCACGAATAAGTTAAAATATAGGAGCATAATCTGCGAACTTCCCACCAAAATATTACTTCAATAACCACACCCGATGTTCAATAAACATGAATTCTCTAAGATAGTAGTTAATTTCTAGAGTTAAGAGAACAACTAGAAATTCCAATGCCAGATAAGGTCCATGCAACTTAGGTGGCAAGAATGGCACAAGTTCATCCTATTCGATCTAAACCACCCTCTTCTCCAGGTTAACCGGTAATATAGTACCATAAATACTTGTAAACCAAAATTACTGTATAACAATTTCCTCCATCAGTCGGAACTGCGTACTTCAGAATTTTATCAAAAAAGTCGTACATACAAACGTACTATATTGGCCCTCATTACTGATACATTATTTTTACTTTTACATACAATGACTAGCCATGAAAAGAAACGTCAATATGTAGTTCTAGCAGTACATAAATTTTCATAATGAGGCCCGAAAGCAAAAAATAAAGATTTCATACTTTTCACAAACCATAATCGAACTTGATATTAGGCAAGTCACTATAAAGACACATTGGATTATTTATTTTAGCGCCAAATTCAACTGATACTGTATATCAGCGCAAGCGTAATGTAAACAAAATATAACTAGAAGTGGTCAAAATTATTTTAATATTTCAAATATATTGATAATGTCTATAGATGGTCACGGTTCGGTCGAAACTATGAACCACACCGTATAATACGGGCCGGTCACTGTTCGCACATTTTTCAATTTCGAATAGTTGCGGGTTCTCTTGTCAAAATCTCACTCTTCCTACTCAAGAAAAAAGCGAACGCATCTCTTCCATTAAAAGCAAGGTATTGAAAAATGAACCCTAAATCCCCAAAAAAAAGTTGAACATAAACATATTTCCATAAAATGTACGTCGAAAACTTTCCAATTACGCTGAGGAATCGCTTCGAGCGACTTACAAACAATTAAATTTAAACAAAAATGCAATTTGATACGAAGCGAAAGCAGGTAAGACATATGTGCTGGATAATCTGACGAAGAAATGCAAAAAATTGATACACAGAAACAATAATGGAAGAAAGGGCATACCAATGTTCACAATCCGCTTCTCTGTATGTGTTGTAACGGAGGTACACTGGTTCTGAGAGTGCTGAATAAATGAGTGGAAATGGAGGTGTAGTCCACGCGCGAGAAGCGTGGAGAAGAGAACCAAATGTGAGGGAAGGCCAGCAGTGCAATGTTTTTCTGGCAATAGAGTAATTTCACGCACTCGTGAAGGGTAAAGAAGACATTTAAGGGTTTTTAAATATTGGGCCGATAAAATTTCAGCCCGATAACAATCCAAGTTAGGCCCACGGGCATACAAAAACTTCGTATTCCTCATGTAAACTAATCCAACAATTAGTGATAAATTACTGTTATTAAGGGCTTACTCACATTTTGCACCTCTGAAATGGAACCTTTAATAATTTAAACCCTTAAAAAACAATAATAGCACTTTGCACTCTCAAAACATCATAAACCATTCATAATGCGCCCTTAACTGAATAATAAAGAATAGCTCATTTTTTATTGGTTTTTTTCCCGCGGGGTAAAATAACAAATTAAATTGATATTTCTTCAATCTCCAACCTAATTTCGAGTGCATAAAATGCGAGAAAAAAAAATTAAAATTACACCGAGAATTGAATTTTTTTTTATATTTTTGTAGAAAATAAAATCAATTAAACTTTTATCACTAAATTATTCGATAGATCTTTTCTTGCAATTGGTGGAAATATTAGATAGAAATATTTAAAAACAAAATATAATTTTCAGATAAGTTGATAACGTAATAGTTGAAGAATTTTTTTCTTTCATGAAATATTTTTTATGATAAAAAATATAACTTTTAAATAGCATTAAACATATTCAATTAAGTTTATTCGCGTAAAAATTGGTGTTTCGAGGGTGCAAAGCGCTATTTATTTATTTTCAGGATGCAAAGTGTCGAAATTGTATATTTCAAGGGTGGAAAGTGGGATTAAGCCGTTATTAAGTATTATTATATAGTCGACATGATTAATACAATATGTAAACAGTGGCTGGCAACTGTGAATTTGGCAGAGCAGATCTTCCACCCACAAAATTTTCACACACACCCCAAAAATTCTTGTTCTTACCCAAATCAAAATCCAATAAATACTCTATCACCAGATATATATATATATATCTCAAGAATTTATCAAAAAAAAAATATATATCTCAAGAGGACCCTACAGAAATTCTTCCCCAAGAAATCAGCGCACAATCTTCACGAACTCCACACAAAAAAAAAATCATTCAAAAAATGGGTCCATTATCTCAGCCGCTGCTACTCCTCATACTCACAGCTCTGTTATCCACCATCGCCGCCGCCGCCGCCGACAACACAAACTTGGTGTTCAAAGGCTGCGCCGACCAGAACTTCCAGGACTCCGGCGGGACGTACAAGCAAGCACTGACGAATCTGCTCGACACATTAATCACCCAATCCTCCGCCGCGAAATTCTTCAAAACAACCTCCGGATCGCCGCCGTCGTCCATCACCGGCCTCTTCCAATGCAGAGGCGATCTCTCGAACGAAGACTGCAGCAGGTGCGTGAAGAGGACACCGGATTTCGCGCAGAAGCTCTGCGGCGGAGCAATCGCTGCCAGAGTCCAATTAGGCGGATGCTATTTGAGGTACGAGATCGCCGGATTCAGGCAGGTGAGTGGGACCGAGTTGCTGTACAAGGTGTGCGGGTCGACTCGGGCGAGTGGGGCCGGGTTTGGTGACAGGCTGGAGTTGGGGTTTGAGGAGATAGTCAAAGGCGTAGGGAGTGGGAACGGTGGGTATTACGCGGCGGTGTATCAGTCGGTGTATGTGTTGGGTCAGTGCGAAGGTGATTTAGGCGGCGGCGACTGTGTGAACTGCGTGAAAAACGCGATCGACAGGGCTAAATCTGAATGCGGGAGCTCCATTGCTGCACAGATTTATCTTCAACGCTGCTACATTAGCTACTCTTATAATCCCAGAGGCGTTCCGGCCGACAACCAACAACCGATTTCACCTTCATCAGGTAAATAAATTTAAATGTAATATAATTAAATTAATGATCATAGAATTATTTTCGGAATTAACATTTGAAAACTCTTCAAATTTTTGGTGTTTACAAGATTTGAAAGCTAAATATTATTTTGAATTTTTATGTTCTAATTAGAATTAGGGCAAATTACAAGGACACCCTAAGTTAGGCCTAATTACGAGAAAAAACAAAAACCCTTATTGTTTGCATAATTATGAGCATTGAGGTATTATTCGTAAGACGAATTTACTCTCGCAGATAATCAAATAGATTCCATGAAATATACATTATACCTTAGGAGTATAACTGTAAGGTTCTTAAAATCATTCTTCTTCTTTTTTTTTTTTTTTTATATATAGTTCTTTTTAAACAATTTTTTTTCTTTTTTTTATTCTTAACTAGCCGTTTTTATGGAAGAAGGTGTTCCGTGTAAGGTTTTACATTGAATATAAGACCTTTTTTTTCTCTTTCATTTAATTATTTTAACGCCCGAGTAGTTTAGACAATAACCACATTCTGTTAGGGCTCGGGAAGTGGTCGTAATTATGCAAACAGTGAGGATTTTTTTTCGTAATTAGGCTTTAGATCAAGGATTCCTTGTAATTTGCCCTTAAAATATTTTGAAACATGAAAGTGAAAACTGAAAATGACAGCTAAAGATTTTAGTGAAGATGGTTGAATGTCGACGTCTATGGTTACTTTCCCCCAATATGTGCTGGGATGCGGGTTCTTTTTTAATCGGGGTGGGATTTAATTGTGTTTCCATTTCCTGGATATATTAATATTATAAGGTCCCGTTTGGTTGTCAAGATAAGCCATGATTAACTAAATAGTTGGACTTAATTTGATGTTTGGTATCCTCAATAACTTGCCGGGTCGACCCGCCAAAATTATATAATCATGGTTTATCTTGCCTTTTAATGAGTTTTTTTTGTTGCACCTTTCAAGCTCCAATAAAATAATTGGGTCTCATTAGATTATTTAATCTTATCTTGCCAATCAAACGAGGCATAAATATATTATGAAGATTAAGATTGTTTTGTCTGAAGTGTTTATTTGATTGGGTGTAGGGACAGGGAAGATTAATACAGAGAAGATAATTGCAATTGTGCTGGGAGGGCTAGTGGGTGTGGGCCTTGTAATGGCTTGTTTGCTCTTCACTAAATCAGCTTTCAAGAAAAAAACTCATTCTCACAAGTATGGTGGTTAGAGAGGTTAGTAGATAGTTTCATCTCTCTCTCTCTCTCTAGATCTCTCTCTCTCTCTCTGTGAGATTGTTTTTGGGCAGGACAAAATCAGAAGTTTTGAGGTGGTATTAGAGACTAAAACTGGTATTAGTATATAGACACAAGCAATGGCAGTGGGTGGGTTGTAAAGGGGGGATGATTACATTTGCTTTCACTTTGACACAGATGTAAAGTTTTTTCTTCCACTCTAAGTTTTGTTATTGTAATTTTGTAATGGCATTACTGTAAAATTGCTTTCCCTTATGTTAGTGACCTGAATATTAATGAATATCCATAAATTCATATATAATCACCAATCACTTGTAATACATGACTGCATAGCTGCTGCAACCATATCCTACATAATCACAATCAGTCCCATCAAACTTGTCCACTTTAAGTTCCGCAGACTATAATTAAAAAAAAAAAATCGGCAGACTATAAACGAAGAGTCGGAAAAAGAAATGGGAAAACACAGTGGAGATCATGTTTATGGTTATAGATATGTTTTAAAATAAAACAGGGGCTCATGTCACACTTGATGTACGCTGGAATATGAGAGAACCAAACCAGAGATAACTCACCTAATGAAGATAAACTCAGTCGGAGAACGCATCGGCTCTTATACTTTGGTTTTTTGTCCTTAATTATGGGAATCAGAGAAGTGCGAAGTGGTTCAAGTTTTTTAACAGACTGCATCAACTCAGGCTGCCAATTGACTTGAGCAAACACAGAGAAATTGGAGAATAAAGTTTCTAAGCAAGTTCACTTCAGGTGCTGACATAAAGACCGGCAGACAACAAAACGACTATTACTCCAACAGAGAAACAAAAAGGTTCGAAGATCATCATCTCATAGTAAATTCACAAGGCTTTCATAAAAAATGTCGAGCTTGTAATTTTTCAATTCTGTCTATAGTGTAAATTAAGGAAGTCTATTAGCTACAAACTTACATAAAACTGAAATGGACAATATATTCGAAGATTTCACAATCGGAACCATGTCATGTATAACAAAGGAAAAAAAAAAGTTTTTAAACATCATGTACGTGCTTACCGATTCATGTCCATTTTAATGGCGGGATGCTGCAAGAAGCTTTCAATATGTACCTACTAAGCTTTAAAATTCAAAGACTGGCATTACCGAAATCTATTCACAACGATGATACGACCAGCGACTGAACACCTTCAACAACGATAAAAATCGGCAAATGAATGACTACACAGTTCAATCGTTTGGGAAGTATGTTTCTAGCCGAGATTGAAATCTTCGGAAGTTAATGCATCCACTTATTGACTAAGATTTTCAGAGCAGCACGTAGAAAGTAGAAACTCTATGTTGACCGGTAATATCTCATTTGAAGTGTACGTGCATAGTTTATACGATGTAAGCTTTGCTCCAACGAGCAGCAATGAACCAGATAACCTGAGAATTTGATTTGTGGACCATAATTATGCAAGTTGGTGTGAACGTACCTTCTTCGACAGCTCTGAACCTAACCCTAATCACGGTTTCGAAACATTGTGTTTCATAGAACAAGAACCAAATTGCGTTAGTAATAGTGATAAAGCAAAAACCAAAAACCGACAGTTACTTAAACCTCGTAACAAAACTTATATGGCCAAAAGTTTATTGTTCAAATAAACTTTATCAACAACAAAAACTAAGTATCAAAAATCCCTTAACAACTGCGTCTAGAACCAACGAACAACCGTAGGATATTCACCTTAGTATACATGTGTTACCAGTTCTTGCTTCCGGCCCTACATTTCAGTTCAACCAAATTTGAATCCAGAGCAATTTAAAATTCATGTGTAGCAACTTCCCCCTCGGCAAAATTCAAAATTAAATATAAAAAATTACACACGAATACAGCACAAATTTCAGTTCTAAGATTAATGAAAACATTACATTTAAAAACAAGGTATGGTTTCACATAGTACAATCATAGAGGATCGAAGAGCCTCAGAAATTTAAGAACAGTAATAAAATTTTGTTTGAAGATGAAAAGAAAAAAAGAGGTAAGGGCGTCGATTGCTGCGCTTAAATTCCATCCGACCTACAAAAAAAACCCAATACCAAATTTATTTAGGGTTGCAAAAATTTACTTGGGGGAGCCGCCGAGCAAGCTAGCTTGCTGCAGCTCGAGGTCGTTGAACTGCTGCTCGCGGTCCATCTCGATAATCAGCGGAACGATGAGCACGAGGAAGGTGGTTCCGACTATCCAGGCGGCTTTTCCGGTGCTCTTCAGGAGCTTCTTCGCGACGAAGGCGGTGTCCGATGCCGCTTTCTTGCCGCGGTAGACGACTGGCGACTGTGAAACAGAGGACGAGACGCGGGAGATAATTCCGCCGTCCGACGCCGATGCTCCGCCTTTCTTCGGTGCCATTCTGCTCGAGCACGGAGATGGGGTGGGTGGATGGCCGGAGGGGAGGGCTTTTAGGGTTTTAAGTGGTAAAACGCGTTTGATGGTTTCCTAAAGCGTCGAATAAATGAAAGAATATAAATTGCAGGTTAAATTACACTAAAAACCCTGATGTAAGATCAAAGTAACAAAAAGGCCCTGAAGTATAGATAATTATAAATAAGGCCAAAATATCGGTGAAACAGTGAACGGACAAGATCGGTTCTTTACATTTATTTATAAAGAGGGTTTCTAAATATACATTTTCTATTTTTTGAATCTCCTTCTTTTTGGTCAAGATCGACATTAATTACTCGATCACCGATTCAAATTAACATATTTTCCTTGTATATGTATAGAAAATATCGAATATTAGCTTCCAACGTCTCTCAATGCTCATCATTTATGTCATCTTTATCTTTTATACGTATGTGCTGGAACGAAATGCGGTTTGTTGTTCGTGCGCATCCAAGCAAAGTTGTACGGCAAACTCCATGCTAGTAGACTTTTACCAGTGAATTTTCCAAGAGACCCTATCTTTAGCTCTTACTGGCCTTTGGCCCAATAAATCCATCCCAACCCACATGATTTGTTCACATCTTACCAGTAGGCTCAATATGGGTAGTTCAACCCAACCTTAACGAACTGAACTCCATTAAGTGTGTATATATGTGTTTGCGTGAAAAGAGTGTTGAGTGTGTTTATATGTGTGTGCGTGAAACGTATATTGGAGTGTGTGCGAGTGTCGTGTGTCAGATGTGTATGTGTATATAATATGTATGTGAAAAGTCTGTTGGAGTGTGTGTCAACGTGAATATGTGTATGCGTGAAAGATGAGTAAATGAATTTTTAACCATATAAGTTGAGATATTAAACATATAAGTCGAGTTACATATGAAATAGTTCATATGGATCCATACAATCCGAATAGCAACTCCAATCCACTTTAGATTCATTGACATCGATTAATTTTAGATCGTAACCGAATCCAGTCCAAGTTGAGAAAATCACCATCGTATAAAATATACAAGACTTATCCTAATTTAGACGCCCCAAAATATCATTTTTTTTGCTGGCCCAAGTCGTAGGCCTCTTGGGCCAACCTTGTACCAAATTGGATCAACGAAAACAGCAATAAATGGGCCGTAATATGACGATAGAGCCCATCAAGCATATATCCCCAGCCCTCAATCAAAATCCCACACTACTGTAATACAGCCCTCAAGCTTTCATTCATTCTCCCGTTACAAATACAGCCCTAAATTCCCTCTGTTCCATTTCTTCCCCCCTCTATTCCACCGGTTAAAACCACAATTACAAAACCTCTTTTCTTTTTCCCAACGGAGAGATAATTCAAACTTCGCTTCTGGAAAGTTCGGAGTTCCACCGTCGCGCCGCCTCTCTCGTTTTCCGGTATGTGAAGTTTTTTTGTTCTTCATCCTTCGATTTATCAAGTTTTTGTCTAGTTCCCAATGCAATTATGTATGCATGCATTTTGTGTATATATCGCTTTAATTTGTTCGTCCTCTCTTTAGCTACTGCTACTGCTTGATAAGCGGGGTCCAATTTTAGCGTATGTGTTTTTTTTTTGTTTTGGGTGGCAATTATGTTGTTTAGGGTTTATAACGCCAAACCCTAATTATGTAGCTGTTTTTGTTAGTTTACTGGTTCGTTGCAGTCTACTCGGGTATTGAGTTGATTATGGGGCAACCCTTTTGGGGTTTTATTGGTGAACACAAACAAGCAAGCTAAGACCAATTATGATATTTTGTTTGTTTTTGCCTGGGCTAGCATATGATAGCATGAATACCTGAAGTTCACCAATGAGCTTCGTATTTATTTGTGCTGATACGAGATCTACTGAGCAATACTGTATAATGTAGGTGAAAATATGTATTCTGCCCCTAACTCCATTTATCAGCCGTCAATTAGCCAAATTAATGTCCTAATTAGCACTTTAATTTTTTGCGTGTTTGCAATATAACTAGTAATGACACGTACGTCTATGAAAGTTGAAGATTTTGGAGTCATCTGAAAACATTTTATATTTACTGGTAGCTGTAAACTTCACTTGACCTTCCCCGCGATCTTCTCAAGAAACGAAGCGATACATATGTATTTTTCTATTTGATTTGTATAAATTTTATTCAGATTAAACATACATCGGCTGCTAACGTAAGAAGATAAGGGTCTTTATATATTTTTTAATTTGAATACTTCCCATGGGCAGGATTTTATGTGCATTATGGAATGTTTCAACTGTAACCTGTCGAACTCAAATTTAGTATATGGTATTTGAAAATTGTTCTGGCAAAGCCTCAAGGTACAATGTTATGAAATTCCTAGTGATTTTTTCTGCAATTGAAATATAATAGAGGAAAGTTGCATCACGTATGTTGTCATGCATTTCCGTTTCTGACTTTGAATCTTCTATGCTGGATGAGCAATCGAACCATAACTGATTCCAATTTATGCAGTTTGTAGTGGGTGCCCTTTTGGTATTATGGGAGACAACGAGGCCATGATGGTAGAAACATGTGCTGTCGATACAAATGCTGCCGCTGCTTCTGATGGGGGTCATTCAATTGCTCCAGCTGACGCTCCTGCTCCTACATCTGTATCTGATGCAGGAGAGATGGTTTCTTCAGCTAGCAGTATACAGTCTGCCGATTCATTGACCCTGCCCTCCAACGTAGATTCTAGCAATATGAATGCAACATCAGTAGATGTTACTCAGCAAGAAACCCCTGATGTAATGGCATATGATTCTAATGAAAATTTTACTGGTATTCCAAACTCTCTGGATTCAACTCAAGTTGCTGGTTATGATTCTTCACTGAATGTTAATGGTGTTAGCGAAGCAGGAAATGGAGCAACGGCCAGTACTACAGAAAATGGGGTCGCTGACGGTATTGGCACTGCTGCTTTGCATCAGCCTCTCGATAATTCTGGTATTTAATTTATGATGCTTTAGAAATTCAATCGTTGAGGGTAGCTTTCCATTTCAGTTTCTCATTTGTACGTGACATGCTGTTCATTGTATATTAAAAATTTAAAGTCGGTAGCACATTTTTATCTACATGGTAGGACATTCTTATTCTTAGCAACTGACGCCCTTGAAAAGGTCTTTGTTACTTGGAACGTGCATGTACAGACATTAATGCCTGTAGCAAGAGCTGAATAGTTGAAGAAAAATATCATCTATTTGCACAAATCAAGGGACATATTAATGATGTTTCGTGTTATATAGCGCGCACATACGTATTATCTATGTATCATGATGTTTTAATTGTAATATAGGAGTCCTCTTAAAATCTCTACTCTTAAAATCTAAACACTCAGATTACACGTAACCTCTAGAAAGATAATGGGAGTTAGTTGATTGTTGGTAATTATGTTTAATGGATGTCAAAGAGGAACTTTTAAATGCTTGCACGTGAACGGAAGTGCTTTTTTCCCTGCTGTTTTGTATCTGTGGTCTCATAATTTACTATTGAAGCAAAAGCTTTTTCACTGGAATGCCATCTTTAACATTGAAACATTTTTTGGCAGGACTTAGTGCAGAAGAGGAAAGATTATGGAGCATAGTGATGACTAATTCTGTGGACTTTGATGCCTGGACTGCCTTAATTGAAGAAACAGAGAGAATGTCAGAGGTATGACTGATGAATTCGAATTTGACTTTTCTGTGTATGTTGCTTCGTTGATTTTGTTTCCAATATAAAAACATTTGAGCTTGAAGCTTGTTACAATGCATTTTGATTTGAGTCAAGGTGCAAGAACAATCTTTGACATACTAGTCTTTTGTGTGACTGCCTCTTAGACATTGTTTTAGGGGACTCTTAATTGTCATTCTTCATTAGACCGTATGGCTGTCAATATGATTTACTTTGGTTGTCTTTTTTCCCACATTGTTTAGGGCAACATCTTGAAAATTCGGAAAGTTTATGATGCCTTTTTAGCGGAATTTCCTTTATGCTATGGTTACTGGAAAAAGTATGCTGATCATGAGGCGCGTCTTAGCTCAATGGACAAAGTTGCCGAGGTTTATGAGCGAGCCATTCAAGGAGTTACATACTCTGTCGACATGTGGCTTCATTATTGTGTTTTTGCTATTAGCACATACGGAGATCCTGACACTATCAGAAGGTAATTTCCTATGTGTTACCTTGCTAACTTTTAGTCTGTGTGGTCTCCGTGATTTACATATTATTTTGTTGTGATCTTTTGTTTTTCTCTAACATGATTTCAGCCATTTGCAACAGAGATTACTGAAGTTTAAGGTGTAAAGGTTTGAAAGGAATGCATATTAGATAGTTTTTTTCTGATGAGCAAACACTTCCATTTTTTACTACTATATTTAGTAGCCGAGTTTCTTTAGGGTTCAAACTTTTAATGGGTAACATGGACTGGTCATCCCTTCAGTTATTCTTCTCATTAGGGTTAGAATGTCATTCTTCATGAAATTGTGGTGTTTTTAACCATGGCACATGAGTTGCTTCAATACATTGGCTGCCGTGAAGATGTTGCACAGTAAGGCTATGATGGCCTCTATGATACCTCCCTGACAAGCTGTGTAAGATTCTTTTGAGGAAAGGTAAATGCAGCAAAATTTGTTAGTTCAGACTTCTAAAGTGCTCTTTGAGTGAATTAATCCTTCCTCCTCAACACCAGTCCGCTATATGCTTTTGTGGTTGACCATTTATTGATAGACATTTTTAATGAATATAACAACTATATTTTGCTGCTCTGTGTTTCAGGCTATTTGAAAGAGCCTTAGCATATGTAGGGACTGATTACTTATGCTTTCCGCTCTGGGACAAGTACATGGAGTATGAAATTTCACAGAATGATTGGCCCCGTATTGCCACAATTTACACAAGGGTATTGGAAATTCCAAATCAGCAGCTGGATCGTTATTTTGAAGGGTAACTTATTTTGCTTCAGACATTTTCTTCTTTGTTATCTGTATTTTAAGTTGAATTCATATTTGACTATGAAATCATGTTTTACTTTTGAGAAAGTCAACCTCCTGCCCACGTGCTTCTTTTTCCTGATAGTGTATGTGGTTAAGAAATAAGCAGTGTGATGGTAATGTCTTTGGTCGCCTAAGCCCGTGTCTTTAGGAGTCTAGGAGTGCCTTAATCTGCTTTTCTTACCAAGAATATTTTTCTGATTTCATTCCGCTCAATCAGCTTGCTTTGTTTTCATTTTTCATTTTCCTTAACGTCAAGATTATTGCCTGACATTGTATTTAATACCCACTATATACTGTTATTTCTCTCTTATTGGTATTAAGACACACATGTATGTGTTTGTTTGTCTATTTGTTTCCTCGTCATGACTGATAATTTTAATGGTGCTGCACGTTGTTACAGATTTAAGGAATTGGTTGCTAGTAGGCCTCTATCTGAATTACGAACTGCTGAGGAAGTTGCTGCAAATTCTGAAGCTGCAAGCCAAGAAAATGAGGGAGAGCTTCCCCCTAATTCTGCTGAACAATCTTCTAAGGCTGTAAGTGCAAGTTTAAAAGATGCGGAGGAGCTGGAGAAGTATATTGCAATAAGAGAAGAGATATATAGGAAAGCTAAAGACTCCGATTCTAAGATTATTGGTTTCGAAACAGCCATAAGGAGGCCCTACTTTCATGTGCGACCCCTCAATGTTGCAGAGCTTGAAAATTGGCACAACTATCTTGATTTTATTGAAGGTGGAGATGACTTTAATAAGGTATCCCAGTTTGTTTCTTTGGCACATTTATTTATTTATCTTTGTATGTAGCTTTAGTTGTCCTTGTTACACATTGACTTACAGTTAGTAATATCTGCCGGGTCATATGCTTTATTGGCTAAACCGTTGGAGAAGCATCTTTTAAAACGGGATATTGAACTTGGACTAAAGCATGGGCCTTCGATTTGCTTTCTATAAGGCTAAGTACTTCAACCTCTCATTTGTGAGTCGAAATTCTAGGTTCATGATGTATAATACGGATGTATATTTGTTTTGAAGTTCTAATGTTATGCATGCAGGTGTGTTCTTATCTTCCTAACCATCTATCTGTCACGCAAGGAGGGTCCCTCCTTTCGTATTTGAGGGGCCTCCCTTTTTCTCCAGCGGAGTATTTCTTGTGCATTTCTCCATAGTACTTTTTTTTTTTTTTTTTTTTATTTCTTCGATTCACACAAGTTTGAATTTGTATTTGTTGATTGTAACTTTTTCTGTGTCCTCAGGTTGTTAAGCTATATGAAAGATGTCTGATAGCATGTGCTAGGTATCCTGAATACTGGATACGGTATGTTTTGTGTATGGAAACTAGTGGTAGTATGGAGGTCGCTGAAAATGCACTTGCCCGTGCTACTCAAGTCTTTATAAAGGTATGTAATCTTATGATAGTGTGTTTTAGCTTCATATCCCTGATTCAAGATTCCTCCTAAAACTTGTTGATGAATTATAATTTGCGATAAATGAATGGAATGTAAAGATATTCTAAATTGAGTGAAAGTGAAAGAAACCCACATCTAGTCGTTTTAGGTGTAAAACCTTGAAACATTGCAAGCCAATGCCTTGATTTGGTACGACTGGGGACAACGATGACATGACATGGTGGAGTATGCTAGAATATTTTCATTTTGTCCTTGTCTTGACTATTTAAAAGTTTGAGCTATAAAAGATTTTTTCACCTCGATCTTTTCTTATTTTTTTTTTCTAACTTGTTTTGCTGCATCTGTTCTTATTAATCTTAAGAAACTGACACTGATGATCTGTTCCTCTAATTTTACTGTTTATTTGATGCTCCAATAATAATTCCTCCTCAACTTTCTACCTTTACTTATTTATTTCAGGGGTACTCGCCTCTTTCTCATGAAATTTACCAAATTTAATTTGATTAGTTCCAAGAAGTACCCTTATAAAATGAAACAATTTGTACAGAACAGTTGTAGTGAGGCTTATCAGAAATGTTTTTTTCTGTAGAGTGCAACTTATTTTCCTGTTTAATTATAATGTGTGTGAACAGAGACAACCAGAGATCCATCTTTTTGCTGCTCGATTTAAGGAGCAGCATGGTGATGTTCATGGAGCTCGAGCTGCGTATCAACTCGTGCACACTGGAATTTCACCTGGCCTTCTAGAAGCTATCATCAAGCATGCAAACATGGAACACCGACTTGTAAGATTGTACTAGTAAGCTGTTCTATGTTGTACTAACAATTTGTTTGTTGATTTCTAACTTTATTTTTCTTTTGTTAACAGGGAAACTTGGAAGATGCTTATTCTTTATATGAGCAGGCAATTGCGATTGAGAAAGGAAAGGAGCAGTCACAGGCTCTGCCTTTGTTGTTTGCCCAGTACTCACGTTTTGTATTTTTGGTATGTCTTGTATTTCAAATGTAGCTCACCGTGGATAAGATTCGAGTTGAAGAAGAATTTGCTTCATGCCATCTGTGTGACAACGTCTTTTTTGAAATTTTTTGGTAGGTTTCTGGCAATGTTGACAAGGCAAGGGAGATTCTGGTTCAAGGTGTGGAGAGTGCCCAATTGTCAAAACCCCTTTTGGAGGTTTGCTGCCCTGCTTTTCTTATGCTATCTGTACCTATACCTTCCTCTTTATTATTTTGTTTTGGTCTTCATAATTGAAAGGACAAAAGAGCACCCCAGAAAGAAAAAATGCTCATACCCGAATATGATTCTTTGATTTACTCATGGCATTCATTTGGATTTAATATGTTCTTAAAATTTTCAAAATTGCAGGCGATGATCCACTTAGAGTCGATTCAGTCACATCCGAAGCAAATAGAATATTTAGATTCATTGGTTGATAAATTCACAGTTCCGAATGCAGACAACCCTAGTGTTGCAAGTATTGACGAAAGAGAGGAGCTATCCAGCATTTTCTTGGAGGTAAGAATGACACGTACAGACACATATCAAATACTGTTTTGGTGACCTCAGTTTTTTGTTCTCATGTGAGTGTTAAATCATTAGGCAACGCAAGTGTCTTTATATATTCATTAGGCAACGCAAGTGTTTTAAGAACTTGTTTCGGTTGTGTTGACAGTTCTATTTTTTCGTCGTTCCTTGTTTCCTTCTTTTTGTGCAAGAATACTGCTGCGATACGCATCTGGTGCAATTTCCAGCACTTGTATTATGTCATGTTTTCTCATAGATGCATCTGTGAAATACCGATCTTTTGGGTATCTAGGAACATTTTTCTTATTGTGCTGGCATTACAAATTGATTGGCTTATGTGTTAGCTAATGTATTTTGCAGTTCCTGGATCTCTTTGGAGATGTTCAGTCTATTAAGAAGGCTGATTATCGACATGCAAAAGTGTTCTTGAACCACAGAAGCGTAGCCGACTCAAAGAAGCGTCACGCTGATGACTATTTAGTTTCAGACAGGACCAAACTGGCAAAATCACTTATTTCAACATCTGCTCCCTCGGTGATGGGTGCATATCCAAGTACACAAAATCAGTGGGCAGCAGGTTACGGCGTACAACCTCAAGCATGGCCTCAGGCCTCACAAACTCAGCCACAACAATGGAACCCTGGCTACGCGCAACAGGTACCTGTTATTTTCTGTTTTCTTTTTTGCTTTTTCTTGGGTGTCAGTAATCAGAATGATCTATTTCAGTAAAAAAAAGAGGCATTTTTCTGGATATTATGTCATGTCCCTTCCCGTGGATCCTGAGCATTGGTTGCATGTGAACTCTAAAATATTGTTCGATTATGAAGTTGAAGTCTAGAATATTGTTTGGCATGAATTTAAATTGCTTTCTTACTTGGCTCTCTTTTATCTGCTGCTTTTTGTAGGTTATCTGAGTGCTGTCATATATTGTTAAATTGTCTTGATATGTGGTTACTATATTGCTTTTTTTTTTTTTTTTTTTTTTTTTTCCTTTTTTAGGCGGCATATGGTAGTTACGGAACGAGTTACACTCATCCACAAGCACCTACATCCGTGCCTCAAAGTGCTTCGTATGGAACTTACCCTCCAACTTATCCTGCCCAGGTAACATAAATATTATTTACTTCATTTAGTAACTGTTTACTAATATTATTTTCCACCCCTAGTATTACTGTGGTTTTTGCTCTTACATCTTTATGCATCTATTTATTACATTAACGAAAAAAGCAAGCTTATAGTTATAATTCCAGCTGGTTCTTATAAAACACAGTATCCATTTTCCTCGAATTTGACTTGTCCTTTTATTTTTCCTCAGCAGGCTTACGCACAGCCAGCCGTAGCTGCAGCTTTGACTCCAGGCCAACAACCTACTGCTGCTGCACCTGCATATTACCCGAGTTATTACTGAGGAATGACGACTAATTCCAATGAGCTTTTTTGCTGTGTAATCTTGCTCTGTAGATCGGCTGTCAGATGCGGACCAGTACCATGATGTTTTATGTGCATCGATGTTGTCTGTAGACAGTTATTGTATTTTTAGTGATCTAGTTTACATTTTTACGACCCCTTTGTAATATTTTTTTCCTGACTCCCTTTCGGTTTTGTTAATTACGTTTTATCTTTATGATGCATTTTATGGATAGATAACTTGGAGAAGATGTTTGGATATGCTCCTGTAGTTTGCCTACTTCATGTAGGAAAACAGAGTAGAAAATATCATTCAGATAGATCTTATTTGTCTTGTCGTTTATTAATTGCTATGTTTCGATTTTTTTTCTCGTTTACCTCGATTCTTCCCTTGGTGCACTGATAGAAGACAAGAGCAATAAGCATTGCTACGTAATGTTGGACATAAAAATTAATTTTTCCAACTTGTGTGGCAAGATTTAAATTAAATACTGAAGTTATTATGTCAGAGATTTGATAGGTAATCTTGTACTTGTCCTAATTTGAAAATTTCGTTGATGTTTACATCTCTTTGAAATATACCACAAATGGTTAATATAACCACCCCTAAGGTATGGTATAATTATGAAAAATCCTCTCATGTTTGGGTAATTATGACAACCTCCCATTGCGGTTTCAAATTTAGTGGAATCTTCTTGATTATATAAAATATAATTACTTTTGTACCCGTTTCATTACATTCGAACTCCACATTTTGAAGCAAGGTGATCATAAAATGTGTTTTTTGGCTTGTATATATCAGATTGTGGTGCATCAAAAAACTGTATTTTTACACAAAACGAATATAAATTAGAGCACATTCCATAGATCTATAAATAATATAAAGTAGAGCACATTACACAGAATCTACAAACAAGAAGGAATTTTTTTGGTAATTTGAGAGTACCTCATTTCAATTATTATGTCCCAAGAGTAAGATAGAAAACTAAGCGGATCTTCGCGTCACCTAAAACGCTCTTTAAGATCTCTCTCTCTCACACACACACAGCCACAATCAAAACAACAGTGTTAATTTTGTTCCGGTGCAGTCAGTTAAAAAACTGGAAATTAAGAGAGAGAAAAGTTGAAGCTCCATTCTGGGATAATCATCACTCAATCCGTTCGAACTTCGAACCCTAGAGCTCTTGACCTAGGGTTTAAATACTCGTATTACTGATTGTTGCGAGTTTGACAGTGGGGAAGAATGGCGAATCAGCGCGTGGCTGCAGTCACCGCGACTCAGGTATAATCTGACCTTGCATGTTCCTTCTTCCTTAATTTCTGTTGTTTTTGCATTTTATTGAAATTTATGCGTAGTGATGTTGATTGTTTTCCCCCTTTTGTCTTTTTTTGAGTGATTAGGTTGGCTCGTATTTCGTTCAGCAGTATTATCAGGTTTTTCAGCAGCAGCAGGATTATGTGTATCGGTTTTACACTGATTCCAGCTCTATGGTTAGAGTTGATGGAGAAATCATCCATTCTGCTTCCGATTTGGCGGTAATTGCTAGCACAATTATTGATTTCCGAATATTTATTTGTTGAGTTGTTGTGAGGTATTATTCGATTAATCTGATTACGGAAATATTTGAAATAAGGTAGACAAATTTCGGTTTGTTTGATATCCGTTTTGTACAGCCTCGTCTGAAATTTAGTTATTTTGTTTGGAAATTAATGCCGATTGCACTACTCAAGAATTGTATGGATCATCTAGTAATCTAGTTGTTTCCTAATCACTCAGTTTAAAAGTTCTGTTTTTATTTTTATTTTTTTTATTTTTTTTAACAGGAACATAGTTGGTTGATATATTTATGTTTTGCTCTAATGTGTTTTGTTCATCCTTTATTGTTTAATTTCGATCGCATATATGGCTTAGCCTTTATTGAAATAAAAGTATTTACTAATTTCGTTGGCTTGAGGACCAATGGGATATATGAAACTGTTATCTTCCTTGCTTGCTATCTTTCCTTTGAAATGCATGCCCTTAAATCTCTGGTTTGGTCTGGAATGTATTAAATTTGGTGTCCAATCAATGATTGCATGTATTTGTTTTCCTTCAGAAAATCCATGAACTAATCATGTCGCTGAATTTTACTGGGATTGAGATCAAGACAATAAATTCCATCGAGTCTTGGAATGGAGGTGTTCTTGTCGTTGTTTCTGGTTTTGTCAAGTCAAGTGATTTCAGTGCTGGAAGGAAATTTGTGCAGACCTTTTTCCTTGCTCCTCAAGACAAAGGCTATTTTGTTCTGAATGATATGTTTCATTTTGCTGACGAGGATGTGGCATACCAATCTTCAGTACCACTAGCACAAGACAATGTTGATTATCAACCTACTATTTCTAATCATCTTCCTGATCCACCAGGTATCTTGTGACATTTTTTTGTGTTTTAAATACCTTTCTTGTAGAGATCAATATGATATTGTAAGTAGAGTCTTATAGTTCTATATTTTAGATCACTTTTCCAACTGGTATTGTACGTCCATAAATTTTAACTGGCCAACTTTAGTACCCTATCACCCTGCTGGATATCGTGTAGACCACAATGTAAAAGAAAAAAAAAATCACCAGATCGTCAAATTAATGACACCCAATCGCAATTATTTCTACTAACTATAATTTAGACAAAATATATGCATGCCAAAAATTCAAGATTGCTTAAGAATGTGGGGAATTATATTGTATTTCCGGAACACTATTTCATCTCTCCACCATTTTTAGTCTAGACCTTGAATACTAATGTAAACCTTAGCTTTCTTTATCTATCTACTGTTCTGCTTCTTCAGTTGTCAAATTTTTAATGATCTCTGTAGATTGTAGGGGAACATTCAGATCAGAGGTTTGGCCAAGATAGGTTTTCAACTTTGATATAGTAACTATTTATCAGGAATATGTTTATTTCCATGCTCAGGTGTTTAAAATGTTGGGAGTATTTGTCCATATTCTGTAATAGTTATATATGGTGTGAAGTTATTGAAAATTGCTATATCATTGGCTAAAATGGTTATATTGTGCCACAGTATCTGACTATGCATTGGAGGAAGAGGCCATGAATCATGTTAACTCCATTCGTATTGAAGGAGTTGACCCAACTAACGAATACAATTATCAGGAGCATTATCAGCCGGACTTGGAGGCCGAGTCTGAACCCGAGTCTGAGCCCGATCTTGAGGCTCTAAGACGAGAGGAGGAAAAACCCATCGAAGAATCAATTGCATTGCTTCAAAGTGCAGTGACTGCCCATAAAGAAACTCAGCCTTCCACAGAGGAACCTGTTGTAGAACCCAAGAAGTTCACTTATGCTTCTATAGTAAGCACCATTCATATTATAGATAGCTCAATAAATTAAATTATAATATCGTAATCTCATTATTGTGTCATGTGAATACATTAGCTGAAACACAATGTCATTATGCTGCATTAATAAATTGAACTTTCTCTAGAAAAAGATGATTAGTAGCATGTCAAGTACTTGAACTGTATTAGCTCATGTCTTAAGTGCTTATTGCTAAAAATCCTATGGAATACATGTAAAAGAAATTGATATTGCTCGTCGTCAAATTAATGCCACACTAAGAATCCCATGAATGCTAAATGATGAAGGTGCTTTTTGGTCATTCAAAATGTGATGTACGTGAACCCTGCCGCACCAATACATCATCCTAATATATGGGTGAAAGAGAACATCCTTAAATTCGTCAGGAAAAAAAAATCTGCGCCAGGGGAGAATGAGGCGAACATTCATAAAATGGGTCTTTATGTTCTTGCTTTCCTTGAATCAAACGCCCTGTCTTGGTATGCGGCATTTTAGAAACTTGTTATGGTTTTGCGCCTAGGCTGTATAGAAAGGCTGATAGGGTTCGTATGAGTTTTCTATTTCTGCAGTATAATTTTCTTTCATGGAATTTTGTTTTCCAGTGTCTCAAATATAAGATCCTTGTGGAGTTCAATTGCAATTCATCCATTCTCTCTCTTTGTTTTTTGTTTCGTTTAACGTTGTTGTGACGAACTGTATTATGTGCTTATTACATTTTCTGACTAAGCCTTTTCCTCTTTATCCCTCCTGTTGCTTTAATAATTTGAAGTTGGCGGTTAAAGGAAAATCTCCATCGACATTCGTTTCTCCACCAGCTTTCTCTCAGAGAGCACCACTTGCTACAGATTGGACTCATGTCTCACAGCCTACACCCCAGCAGTCGGACCCAATTCGATCAAGTTCTCTTGACCATGCTGTGGATGAAGCTTTGTCACTAGAAGGTGGTAAACTTTTTATATGTATTTCTCCATTGCTAAAACATGTGCTTGTGTGCTTTGGCTTATCACTCCATTAAACTTATGCGTTGGTGAAAATATTTTTAGATTGATAATATTACATGGTCTATAGTTTATCTATTGTTTTTGGGGTTAATGTTTGTTTGTTAGCCGTGAACACGTTCTCTATGGAAGGATACATTGATTGATGATGAACAAAACATTGTAATTCATGTTGCACTTGGCATTAGTGCACAAAATTTTAAAGTCTAATGTCAGGAATACCAATTTTTATTGTAATCAGCACGATTCTATTTTATTTTGTAATCAACACGATTCTATTTTATTTTCTCAGGGGAATCAAAATCCGTCTATGTGAAGAACTTGCCTCTTACAGTGACAACTCTTGATATTCGGCAGGAGTTTCAGAGTTTTGGTCAAATCAAGTCTGATGGAGTCTTCTTGAAGAATCGCCAGGTCTACTACTTTCTATCTATCTTTAATTCATTATCATTGAGCGGTTCTTGCAAATCTGAATTTGCGAATTGTGAACAGGAGACTGGTATCTGCTTTGCCTTTGTCGAGTTTGAAGATCTTCAGAGTGTTCAGAATGCAATCAAGGTTTGAATCTTTTCCATTTCGGCATCATCAAAACTTTTAGTGAATGCCTAGTGGTCCCAATTGAAACACTTTGACTTACAACTTTTTTTCTCGATTTGTCTACGTATTTTTCTTATTCTATATTGTCCGTCCTAGAACTCACATAGATATCAAAGGAATTTAATCATTCATCGCCTTTTGTTGAGTATCATTTGTGTATACTTACAGATTTTTTGGCTTATAATATCATTTTAGTTAATATATGTGACTTCCATTTTATGATTACATGTGTGGCATAGGATGCTATGCTAATTTTGATTGGCAAGTGTGCTGTATGCTAACATTTTTTTCCTTTCAATTCTCAGTTGCATTTTAGTTTGGCACTCTTATCTTTCTATTTGTAAATATTAAGCACTTGGCGCAAAATTTCTAGAAATTACTATCGGGTTACAGAGAAAATTATCAAGTCATACTTTATGCTGTGATTGCAGCCTGTTTTGAATGTTTTTTTTTTTTTTTTTTTTTCCTATAGGCTTCTCCAATTGTAATGGATGGAAAGAACGTCTACATTGAGGAGAGACGACCAAACACTGGTGCTTCTCGTGGTGGACGTATGTTCTTCGAACTATTTTATTATTCTATTATCTATTTATTGCTTCAACATTCCTTCTTTGTAGTTATGATTGTGCTTTGAATATATGTATGCTCTGTGTGCTGACATATATTATTACTGCACTCGAATTGTCTTGATCAGGAAGGGGCGGAAGAGGCACTGTAGGTGGAAGGTTTCCTGGGAGGGGAAGTTACCAAAATGGCGGTGATCAGAACAGAGCTCGATCCAACACTTACCGTGGCATTTGATGAAATAACCGTCGTCAAATATTTTGGTGTGGGCTCTCTCCCTACTCGTGGAGATGTTGTTTCAGTTTTTTCGAAGTAGAAGCAAATTCTGCTTCCGTTTTTTATTCGGAATGGAAACTTCTTGTAGAGGAACATTCCCCAGAGTGTTTTTTAGTTTCTTGCTTTTAACCGACACTGCTCTCATCCTTACCAATTTTGAGGAGCATATTTATAATTTGGAACAATGACCCATTACAAGGTTATTTATTACTTGGGTTTTACTTGGTACCTGATTACAATGAAACTTCTGAATTTAAATTAGCTAATTATCTTTCAGACTTTCAGGCATTATGTTTTTCATGAAAATTCAATTACTGACTTCCATAGATTGAATTCTCCAGTATTCTATATGCTAGATAAATTTAGTTCTCCTAAACTTGTATTTACACTAATAAGCAGTTGCAGAGGCATGTTGGAAGAACAGCTGCTGCTCGGTTCGGGAATTTCCTGCTAATTCGTCTTCTTCGTCCTCATCCTCTTCTGCATCCCAAAGGAAACAAGCGTAGGCCGCATGTATATGGCTGATAAAGCACATAATTGCGATTTAGTCAATATGTGATGAAATTATTCGTCATGGAAAAAAAGAAAAATCAAATGTTGATCATATCTCGTGTGTGTACTAGTACTGTGTGATTTTTGTCATACCTGTTTTCTGATGATGCTTGAATTGCTCTTTTGAAATAGTTAGCTGCTCGCTCTCTGTCACGGTGGAGCTCCCATGTTAACTTGGCGTATTGCGACAGGATTTCACCATCTTCAGGGTCTGCCAAGATTGCTCTGGAGTAGTATTCTTCAGCACCCTCAAGATCCATCTTTTTCTGTAAGTAAATAACCAAATATTCAATTATAATTTTGTTTTTTTTTATTAAATAGAAACAGAAATATTTGGAAAGTTGGGCCCAAGGTGGATGGATATCTATCTACCTGATACAAAAACTGAGCATAGTTTCTCAGAAACAATGGATTCCCTGGATTTTCTTCCACCATTTTCTTGTAATATTCTTCCATGCCAAGGCTGTTGTTTTCTCCACCACCGTCCTTGCCTAAATCAACCGGCCGATAACCTCCTCTGCCGCCACCACCACTGCCACTTCCACAACCGTCGACAAAATCAATACCCGAAATCCCAAGCCCTGCTGCAAGGTACATCTTCCCCTCACCTCCTTCAAATCTCAAATTGCCATAATCATTGCTCACATCATTTCCAACCGGCCCGAAAACCGAGTCTTTATCCGCACTCAACGCATTAGAAACACTTTCCGATTCTAATTCTTCCTCCTCCACAAAGACATCATCATCACTGTCATCTTCTTCTTCTTCGAGATAAGGTGTTCTCGAATGACTGAACGAAAACGAAGGAATTGCCTCCAAGGCGCAGAAGCTATTCCTTCTAGAAGATTTCTTGGCAAGACTGAGCCCATCAACACTGTATGGAGAAGAATCATCACCCAACTCCTCCAAGTTCCCTTCTGATAGAACTCTTCGAAACCCATTCCCACTTGCGCATTTCTTGATATCTGCTACCGAATGAGAGCGAAACAAGCTTGATTTCCTGACATTTTGAGACCCTCCATTATTATTGCATGAAATCTTGCCATTTGGTGTGTGTTTGTGTGTGGATCCATGCAAATATTCAGAGTGGTGCTGATTGTTGTTGTTGTTGTTGTTGGGGCTGTCTGAAAATGATGGAAGAAGGGATCCAAGAACTGGTGTTGAGGAGCTTCTTAGCATCATATTTTTTTTGGGTTTTCCTTCTTGTTTGGTAGATTTGATGTTTAAAAGGCCTGCCTTTTTCTATAAAGATAGATAGATCAACTGTGTGGAAGAGAATAAGAGATGGTTTTAGAGCCAAAAAATAAAAATATAAATTGATTTGCCTAAATAAATATGGTAGTATGTAGTGTGTCACAAGTGGTTATAATGCAACACTTTATTCAGTGGTGCAGTTGAGACCTGTGCCTAAAAATCGAACTTACCTTGATGTTTGGTTGTGGTGGGGATGAATAATCTTGAATGAAGAATGGAGGTCAATTTGCAAGTGGAGGAGAGAGAGAAGTTATATATAAAACAAGTTGTGGGAGACTGGGAGTAGCCCTTTTTATATTGAGAGAGAGAGAGAGAGAGAGGGGGGGGGGGGGGGGGGGAGGCAGAAAATTTTGATTTTTATAGAGGAATTACAATTGTTGATTAGTCTACGACACTTGGTATATACTTTTGCACGGTGCAGAATTCATGAATCCAGCTGTCATGTAAATACTTTTTTTTTTTTTTTTTTTTTTTTTTATAATTTTTTTTTTTTGTTTGGTAATAAGCAATTTCCAGTGTAAAGAGAAATAGTAGAATACGAACCAAAACATGAAACGCATGTTTTTTTATTTTTTCTATTTTTTTTTAATTTCTAGTGATTTTAGGTTCTAAGCTCTACCAGCGGTACACGTGTCCATCAGGCGCTTTTACTCGTTTTTTTCGTTTGCTTGATTGAAGGTTGTGGAAAGTGAAATATATTAATTTGAATAATCTAAATTTCATGTTTATTCTCAATCAAATATTGAATATATTACATGCATTTTCATCTTTGATTATGCATAACTAGGGGCCCCTAAATATAAAATAAAATTATATTTTTAGAGAAATAAACCAAAAAAAAATACATATGGATCCCGAATTATATATAAAATATAACATAATAATTAATAATTTTAATATTTGTACTTAGAATTAAATAAATAAAAAATATTACCCAAAATATTTACTTTTATATTATTTTTTTTAAAGGGTAAACTTCATTTTACCTACCTGAACTATACCCAACGTATAAAATACCCCCCTGAACTTCAAAATGAATCAAAATAGCCCCTCCGTTTAAGATCCGTCTGCTCCTGATGATGTGGCATTTTGACTTTTGCATTAATAGTTATTTTAAATAATTGTTGCATGTGTTTTGACATTTTTGCCCCGAATACTATTATAGCTATATGTGTGTGTGTATATATATATATTATATATATATATATATATATATATATATATATATATAATTATATGTTTATATATTAATTCCCACCGAATATCTTATAAAAAATAAAAATAAAAATTCACATCGAATATACAGTGTCTCCACCGGAACTCGCAACCTTCGCCGGAACCCGCAAGCTTGAAGGAAAACTGGCGGCTTATGAACAACTGGTTTCTAAAACCATTAAACTTCGTAAAATAATCCAAAGAGATGAAGAGATAACACAATTTCAGCACTTCCCTTCACACAAAAAAAAGAAAAAAAATTCTGGAATTTGTTAAGTATAACAATTGAATTCAATCCAATAATAGCCCACATTCAAGAAATTGTCAAAATCCAACTTGGTCCCATCAAAACCCAGAAAAAAATGTTCTAGCAATTTCCCCAATCACTCTCGCTAAAAGAAACTTTGGGTTGAATCTTTCTCCCGCCGACAAGGTATGTTGAGAAGCTCGACGGTTTCCTAAAATTTGGCGAACTCATAACCCATATCCACCTTCGTGTAATTTCGCTGTGGGGGTGTGGTTTGGGCTGGAATCCTCATCTGGGTTGTTCTTGAATTTGTGATTTTTAGTGAGTCTTGGGGATTTCGATTGATTGGGGGTACGGATATGGGTTTGGGGATTTCGATTGATTG